CCCAAAAACGTCAAAATATCGACGCCAAAGAAAAAAAGGGGCGCCCAACGGACCGACGGGGGAGATATCGAGTACTTAATCTAATTGAAGTGACATTTTGTAGATAGATTAAAGTGGGTGGTACATGTCCATCATAGCTACCTAGTCGGTGCCTAGGTACCTGGGTACTGCAGTATACTGTAAAGCTAATGGGTGGAAAAATTGGTGGGATGGATCGGGGGGGTTTTTTGGCTAGGGGGTGCTGTAGCTTGATACCTATGGGTAGGCACCTAGCTAGGTCTTATGATTGGGGGTGAGTGGGTAAGTGCGCCTAGAAAGCGGTACTGATCCGTGCCCTTACGCACAGGTTATAGGTGTCTAGGTAAACAACGTGCAACCCAGGTAAAGGAACTGGGTATGGAAAGCGCTGAGAGTGCCGACACCCCCTATTTACACTGCCTTAGGTAGGCTAGGCTCCTTCTAGGGCAGCCGTCAGGGCCCCAGGCTTGAAATTAGGCGCCCCTCGCCCCCTAAGATTCATGAATCATGGGGAACTTTAGGCGTAGTACTGAAAGATTAAGAAAGGGGAGGTATTAACACCTTCCACAAAAGCTACCTAGGCAAGCTAACAAATCAACTCCCAGGCTGGTCGACCCGATACAGCAGCTCGGCCACATTGAACCAGCCTTCGTATTCGATCTCGTCCCTCGTCTCGTCCAGGTCGTAATGATAGTGTCCGCCCTTTGTGGTCTCTCTATCCCCATTCCCACCCGCGGCGACACCTTCGGGAGAGACAGTGAAGCAGTGGGTGTGTTCCATGCGCAGGGCCAACCCCCCGTCGTGGCCCGAGTGCAACACGCTCAGGCACACCAAGGGCGGCTCCTCGGCCGCAAAGGACATGTCAAAGTACCGCAGCCACCTGTCGACGTCGGCCCGCGAGGTGAAGGGCTGGGTCGGGAAATCCGGCATGACGTGCAGCTTGGCCGTGCCCTTGTTGATCAGAAACACCCCGCCCAGCGAGATCAGTTTGTCCCCAAAGGCGGCCTGCAGAGCGTGCTGGATGGTCGCCGTGAAGTTGAGCGGACCGCTGCGCGACCGCGCGGTGACGTGCAGACACTCGCAGGGCACGCCGTCGGAGCAGAACAGATTGCACATGAATGCGAAACCCGTGCTCTCTTGCGGGATCGGGGCGCAGCACACCGTGTCTGCGGCGGTGATCTTCGCATAGTGCGTGCGGTTGCGGACTGAGTCGGCGGCCCCTCCACCCTGGCCGGCGGCGGTCCCATACGCAAAGTTGGGCATGAGCTCCGAGTTTTGGCCCAGCACATAAAAGGGCCCAGCGCCCGCGCCGAGCAAGAAGCCTGTCGAAGGGGACATGTCGACCTGCCGAGCGATGGCGGCCAGGTCATACTTCTTGGTCAAGTTCGGCGATGGAGCGAGGTTCGGTGGCCCGCCCACGTCGACGATGCGAGTAGAGCCGCCAAGTCCCGGTCCCGCCAGGTGATAAGGCGCAGCTGTCAAGTCCGGAGGAGTGGCCATTGAACAGGAGGAGACAGCGAAGTTGGAGGAGAGACCCGAAGCGATGGCCTCAGCGAGAGACGCCAGCGAAGGCGGCGACAGCGCAACCTTCTTTACCTGCCATGGATTGTGCGAAGCCATTCCGGCAGATGTCGTTGCTTGCAGCGGAGAAACCTGTAGTGGACGCAAGCAGCCTACCTGATCAGTTGCAGAGATGTGTATCTTCTTCCAGAGTCAGAGGGAGACAGAGATGCGGCAACGCCTCACTGCTCTGAGCAAGTCTGGCAGTTGACCTCGGATGAAAATGGAACAACAATCTTCCGGCGCGCAATATACAAGGCAAGATGTGAAATACACCCGTCGACGCCATCGACAACAACATCAACACGATCACGGTATTCAGAGCAACTGCCATCACTAGTCACGGCAAATGGCCCCGAAGATACGGCAACAGTAGCCTCCACATCAACGTGATACCTCGACACTGACTGTGGGGTCCATCGAAGGCATTGCCGTAGGGATGGTCAGTGGGCTGTCTGGACAGTACAGAGACCGCAGCTGCTCCAACTCCGAGACGACTCGATGCAGCCCTCGATAGCGGCAGGAGAAGATGGCTCGTTCCAACGACACGTAACAGCCGTTGTGTTTGGACCCTGTCTTGGTGGCCTTGATGATGCACTGGTTCGCACGCCGGGAAAATCTCTGTCCAGATTCATGATAGATTTGGGTAATGTTGACGTCCAAGGCAGGCACCATGACCGAAATCCTTCCTTCGGAAACGCGCACATATTTGGCGCGAGAGGACCTTGGCTCTGAGATCTTTGGACCTGTTGGTCCACGCTGTCCGGGATTGTCCTCTTCTCCTGTACCGCTGCGTCGACGAGCCCAAGTACGAGGGCGCCTAGGCCGGAGTGTCATTGAGAAGGGAGGAAGCGCATCTGCGCGTGCACGCCGAGTCCTTGAAGGAGTCGGGGCACAGGACCTGCTAGCCTCTCGTGCCATTTGGCAAGGAGAAACCGCCGGCGTGCGTGCACGCCCAGGCCCTGGAGTTTGTGGGATGTCTTCTGCTGCCGCCGTGGCTGTGCTTGGAGTTTGTGGGATGTCTTCTGCCGCCGCCGTGGCTGTCCTTGGAGTTTGTAGGATGTTTTCTGCTGCAGCCGTGGCTGTCCTGGCAGTCGTCGTCTCCTGACTGGCTTCTTCAGGAATATCCGACAGATCCACTTCAGCGTCTGACATGTCTTCATGTTTCACCTGTGTGACGGGAACATCGTCCTGCTCTTGGCTTCGCTTGCGAATGACAGGAGCATCAGGGGAAGGACTCGGCATTGACTCGACCGCCAAAGAAAGGGCGGCATCCTCACCAGGGGAAGGACTCGGAATTGGCTCGACCGCCAAAGAAGAGGCATCATCCTCATGGGAAGGAGATCTTTTCAGAACTCCAACTTCCCCTGTGCGACAATTTGGGTCCCTGTGCGGCTTCCACCTGTACCCAGGGAGAGGGAACAACATCCGCGGCCGCCGTTGCTCGAGAGCATTGTGCTTGTCTCGCAAGATCTAGGAAGGCTATCAGCACATATCAATGGGTCAGCACTCACTGCCACCCCCAAATACTGGATTGCATACCGTTCTCTCTGCCTCGACGTCACGGTGAAAACGAGCAAAGGAAGCATCTTCGCACTCTCGACGTTCTCGGACCTCGTAGGGACAAGTTCGACCACGACGCACAAGCACGGCGTCGTCCTCGGCCCGCTGCTGCACCAGCTCTCTGAACTGGCGGGCACCTCTTTCCTCGACAACATTCAGGACCTGGATGCGAAAATCAGTCTCATATTGCGACCCAGGCTCGCCCCCTCGCGGAGGCAGCCGAGGTGGCACTGCAAGGCCACCGCGTGGTATAGGGTTGGTTGAGGACTCGTCGTGTGTAGGCACGAGGCTTTCCAAGAAATCCGTCATCCAGGAATCTGGCAAGCTGCTCTGATATGACATGGACATTGTTTCAACCGAGACTTCAAGGGGAAGATAAAATAACGTGGCAGGAAACGATAGACGGCTGTCCAACCCTCAGAGCAGGACGGTAGATATGATCTGCGATGTGCTAGATCTTGGAAGGATTCGATTAGGTTTATAAGGCAGGTCGCATGGGCTGAAGGCTTCTCAGCGATATAAAGGTTCGGATCTGGGGAGATGGGTTGGGGCCACTGGGGGTTTCTTCAGACAAATATGGCGCGGAATCAATGGAACAGGTGAAGATGACAGCATAACAGCACGGCCGCAGCAAGTGTCGGCCAATTCTTTATCTCTCTTGAGAGTCCATGGTGCTGTCATGCTCTTGGAGGGGCTGTATAGCTCCCTCACTCCAGCCTTGACGCCAGGATCGGTCCCTGACATGGCTTCCCGATCACCTCCTAGTCCCGAAACTCATCTTTCAGATAGTCTGCACAATAGCCGATCTCTTTTCCCCCTCCACTGCGAGCGGCCTGCCACTTCAGTCCAGTTAGAACACATCTCTCCATATCGAATGCCGTTGGTGGCTTACGTTTTCACCCTTTCTAGACCATTTTGAAAATGGTGTCTTTTTCTTGTGCGGCCCGTGGTGACCGTAGATACTGGATGAGGTGCTCGACGCGGAAGTAAACCCAGATTAGCGGCAAGCAGGCTCCGCCGATCAGTCCAACGAAGGGACCCAGAATGATGATCAGAATAGCGGCGACCTTCTCGTAAGCCCAGGAGACTCGGCTCCGCTGGTGCAAGATCTCGTCCTCCATGATGGAGTCGCCTTGGCTAGATTCCGGAGTCATGGGGCCTGTGTAAAAGTCGAGTCACTGAAAGCCCATGTGCTAGATATGTTCACCCCACTGTGTTTGGACTTTGGAGCACTGTGAGGCAGTGAAATGAGGTCGGAGCTGGATCTTGGTCGACGTGGAACTCCGCAACTATTGGGTTCTTACGACGTCCTCGTATTGCACAACCCTTTGGTCGAACTAGTTGATCTCGATGGACCGGAGTGCGCAAAATCTTCCCATATCCCCCGTGCAATCGGCGAGGTCGGGATCTCTTGACGCCTTCAAACTGCAGAAGCTCGTCTTGTACTAATTTATTGGACCATTTTCTCCAGCGCGGGGTTTGATCTGTCAGTGGCGCTTGGCTTGGCCTTCAAGAGGCAGGTGGCTACCATGAGCGTGGACCTTATTGGTACTGCCGCTGGTTTGCTGTGCGAGTTGCTCGTACAGGTAGCCCAACTCGACTTCCGGTCTTGGGAAGACCTGGTCATGGCGGTTTGTTGAGTAGCAAGGGGCCGAGAGGGCCCTTTTGGCGTGACCAGGGTTCTTGGATTGATCGGACAGATTGACCTGCCAACTTTTCTTCGCATGTGCCTCTTCTCTGCTCAACAAGGCCAAGCTTCAGAGCGCCCACGGCATCTTCTGGTGGGCTGGATGCAGTATTTTCTGTCGATTGTGGTAGAGTTTGCCTTTGACGTGCACGGCTCTTTGCCTGATAGGCCGAAAGTCCTAGCAAGCAGCTGGTCCCTGCCCTTTGTCGGGGCTCTATCCTTCGCTATTGAGCGCCACGCCTAGAGGCCAAGTGGAAGACATGAGCTGAGGCTGCAGCAGAGGCTGCAGCAGTGGACAGCGTCTCGCAGAGCCGTGGGTCTTGATGACACTTGAAAATGGTCAACTGAGTCGTAGCTCATGCGTGCTCGCATTTTCTCGCATTTCCCAGGCAGCTGAGAGCTGCCGCCATCCTGGTGTAACCTGAAGCGTCAACTGTTTTTGAACTCCGACATTCCACCCCGGCTGGAACAAGGGTGATTTGGCCAATAGCCTCACTCAGCCTTAGCCAGTCGACATTTCAAGCGCCCCGGCTCCATTGTTCATGGCATGTCGCCCTTCACCAATCAGATATCCGTGCCTATGCCTGGCGGTGGAGTTCCAGCAGCCAAAAATGACAAGTCAGGTGTGAGCATCGCAAGGGTCGAGTGTCTAGCGAATGCCCTTGGGCGAGAATCAATGCCCATTGGATCATCGGGACATTCATTGGCAAGACCGTGCCGCAATTCCTCCACAGCTCCCGCTCAAGGCGGACGGACTGACACTCAGGCCGCTCGACCACTGTCTATGCTATTGTTCAGCAGCCGGACAGAAAATACGCAACAGCGTTTCCCCTTTCGTTTTCCTCATATGGAGAGAGCCAATTGTGTGCCGGTAGACGGCGAACCGAGGAAAGCAACTTAGGATACTGGAGCTAGTATCAGTCATTACGCAATCTCCTAGACCGCAACTTACTCGAAAATAGACCGCAGCCACCAGGTGGCAGACGGAACAAAGAAGTCTATCCAGGGGATAGCAATCCGAGAAAATACGGAGACGACATCTCCTTTGTGCTCGAAGTCGGTAGCGCCAGTGCACCAGAGCAGAGCGAAGCGAAGCAACGGCGACATTGTGTGGGGGAGGGAATGGTCATTCGCACGCTATTGAAGCTGCCTTGCTGTACTCCAACTTGACCGACCTTGTGGCGTGGCTTAGAAACCATCCTGGAACAAAAGCAAAAGGAATATGCTTCGTTGATGCAGAATACAATGTCCCGGAGGCGGCGGAGTCCTCACTCCGTCTTGCAGCCTGATACTGACAGGTGGACATATCTCTACGCATTTGCTTCCTGGCCAATTCTCCAGCAAGCATCCTGGGTCGAACATCCACTTGAAGCAGGAGGCGGTTCCGTAGAGAGACAGAACACGAAGTGTTGAGGTCCCCGCATCAACTCTGGCTAATGACCAGCCTATCCGCTGGATGGATCCTCTGTTGACATCAGCGAAGTGCCATAGACCCGAGAGTCATGCAATCACCAGGAGCAGATGTATGCAGAGGCATCCTGGCCACGGCTGAACCTGCCGTGTTTCGTCCTGTTAACCGCTGGTTCCGTTCGGACAGCTGAAGATCTCTGCCATTCTAAGGATTGGCAGACTGGCAGACAGACAGGAGAACAGCTGCATGCTGTTTAGTAGCTCGCTGTCGATGGGAGAAGTACACAATTTGCGATTAATCCAGGCCTATCAAAGACCCCTTTCCGATGGCCTCTCGGTAGGCTGTGCAAGTCGTGCTTCTGCCCAAGGCTGCTCTGGCGGTCAATTCGGCTGCAACCCCTGCCTCTCCAGCCAAGTGTCCATCCATTCCTCGTTCCAGTTGTGGTCACACGCGTAATCAATCATCTCCCCACAGGGGCGACTAGCTTCTGCCTCCTGGAACCAGATGTGCTTGTTGAACTCTTGGAACGAATGGTAGAACTCGGTTGAATCTTCCGTCTCTTTGTTGAGCCTGTAAAGCTGGAAGATTTCCATTGCTGGGACACCGTCGTCATCCATGCTCATTCGAACATTCATGATTTTCCCCGGTACAATCGTGGTAGGATCACTGTCTGAGGCGCGTTGACCCTTTTGGCGTACCGAAACTCTGCGCCAGATCTCGGACTTGTCTGCTATCTCGCTTCGGTGGAAGAGTACCAGAAAGAACCGGCTCACTTGAATCTCTTGGCCGAGTCTGCCGGTCTGGATTTTCAGGAGGGTTGCAGGGTGGTGCAGGCGATGGAGGTCCATTTGAAAGAGGGTTTTGACCAGAATCTGTAAGCCTGGCAGTTTGGACAAGTGACAGACTGAGTCTCTCACAGCAGAGAGCACACTTGCGAACGGCCAGATACGGCTCCGATCCTTCTGATCGCCAGAGTGGTGCAGCTCCAGGTCTTCGTTGACTCTGTCATCGTTGGCATTTACCACCAGGCAGTGTAGGACCGAGATGAAGAAAGTCAGTTGTGGATGTTCAGAGGAAGGGTAGAAGGCGACAGTGTTAGTAGGAGTCCAACCCTCAATTTGGAGGACTTGAAAGGCCGTAGCCGGTGTAGCTGGTGTGGTTGACCTCGCTTCTGTGCCTGGGCGAGGAATACTTTCGGAGTGCGAGGCTTCCATGGCGTCGGGGGTCATTCAGGCTTAATGGCAGGAGTTTCCGTGGCGGTGACTGCTTTGTTGCAACCGAGCGATGTTAAGGTGAGGCAATTCAGATAGATCTTCCTGTGGTAAACGAAGAGCAGGTTGATGAGGTGGAAAGGCAATGCTGATGACACAGGTCCTTTGGGAGGATGTGGTTTTAGAGAACGGCGAGGTCGATCCGAAAGGCAAGGATGCCAGAGAAGTGGAGAGAGGTAACCGATAGCCAGTAGACGCTGGTGGATGCTCTGTGTAGAGGAGTGATAAGGGATGAGTGATGCAAGATGAGACGTGCAACTTTGAAGATGTGAGACGTGAGTTGCGCATGCCAGGGAACGCAAGTCATTTGTCACCACTGGCCTGATGGGAGCAATCCATACTAGAACAAGCAGGAATCAACCAGGCAAAGCAAGGAGAGCAGAGGAGACAGAGATGAGAGGGAAGACATGGGAAGACAGGGGAAGACAGGGGAAGACAGGGGAAGACAGCCAGATGGTGGGGATGATGGCTTCATTGAACTCAACTGCGGTCGCAGGAAGGTGACTGCGCTGGCTGCGCTGGCCGTCGACCTGGCTGCGACTGCGATGGTCGCTGGGTCACCAACCTCATCACCCTCAACATCTCACCACCTCACCACCTCACCGTCCTCATCTCCTTGACCTCGGCGGCCGCATCTTTACCATGCTGGCTACTTACCCTGCTTACCTACCTTGACACCCGTGTCCATCACCCTTGCAAGTGCTTCCAGGGGTCAACTCAGCCTTGCGGGACCAGCGAGACACAAGGCTCCAGGCTGAAAGGGGTCAGGACTCGGTGTCACACAAGCCATGTCTTCTGGATACCTGTATGTGCTTTGCCCGTAAGATATGGTACAACAGTGACGCAGTGGTAGATGTAGTCTGCACTACAATTAAACGTCTTGGTCGGCTGCTCCCATGTATGAGATGAGGTCTTGGTAGGCAGAGAGCACCTCCAGCACGGGCTCCATGACTCGAAAGCTCCTTAGGTACCTACCTAGGTAGGTACCTAGGTAGTTAGAGGGCTCTGCACCAGCCTAACAACAATTGACACCCCAGCTGTAAACCTTGCGATGACCACTTCTACCTAGTTGGCCCGGTGGCTTCCGTTGGGCCATTAGGCGGCGGCCGAAACTTCATCTTCGGGGCACCTGGGCAGTGAAAGCCAAATCACAACAAATAAAATGGGGCCTGGGGGCTCATGAGAAGCAACGGAGCATGCCCCGGCCCAGTACGATAGGTAGTTAATCAATTGAATATCCATCCAGTAAACTTCGTGATGGCATCTCTGCATCCGGATTTGCATTGACACCTCGCATGCTGCAAGCCTCCGCCTCACTTTGGAGCACCTACAAAGTGAGAATTTCCCCTTCTTTTCTTCGAAGTTCGAGGCGACTGGCGGGGACTGGCATGGAGTGCATGAGACGAAGCAGAGCAAGCACAGTAAGCACAGCAAGCAAGCTGCCTGGTAGCCAGTTAAGTCAGTGAGGCACCTTGGGCAGCTACTATGCCTATGTATTATTATTTGACTTGGACTCCAGGGGGAGCTTTGCCTACCTAGGTACCTAAGGTAGTTTCCTTAGTTTGTTGGCTCGCTGCGGCAAAGCCGGGAAGTCTGAGTTGATCAACCCTGGGGTGGTCAGAGTGTACCTAGCGAGCTAGGTAGGTAAGAGTTACAGTGGGAGAGAACGGAGTCGAGGGGGCGGCTGCCTGCGCATTTCCAGTTGGCGTGGGGCCTATGCCCACCTGCACTTTTCACTCCGAGTCCCTCCCTGCGCTGCTTCCTGCCTGCCGCCTGCGCCAACAAATCCCCACCACCACCACCATCTTTGCTTAACCCAACCACCTAGTACATTACCTCCCGTCCTGCGTACGAACAAAAAGACCCAAATTACCAGGCCAAGTCCATTGCCATCGACGCCTCCTCCTTCTACCCTGCGTATGCCTGGACACGAGACTCTCTCCCCCCTCACCACAACTACCGGACATGGGTCTCAACTTGCCAAAGCACCGTCCTGACACTGAGGTAAGTGGCGCTCAAGCAGGAGGTTGGGCTGAGAGCTTCATTGGCCCTGCTGCGCGGGGGGCTAGCTTGCTCGACTCGAAGCTGGTTATGGTGGGAAAGCTGGACTGGAAGCATACCCAAACGACACAGGTTAAGCCAGTCAGGACGCCATCGTTGAAGAGGAGGATGGTGATGGTGAAGCGGACTTGACAACAGCCACCTTGTCTCGTCAAGGTTTTTCATTCGCAAACCACTAATCGCTTTCAACTTTGCATGACGCGGTTCTCACGCCAGGCAAGGGGGCCAGCAGGCAGAGGAAGCTATGAGCCAGTGAGCAGCATCAAGTGACTTGTCAATTCCCTCCCGCTTCACCCCTTCGACCGGCCTTGACCTCCTATTTTCTGCAAACCGGATTGACTAGTTGGGCGGCAGCGCACCAGCCTCGTATTCATGCAGTCGCGTACATTTGCCAACGGAAAGGGCGGGACAATCAGGCCACTGTCGCCCGCCAAACCACGTCGCGACCATGAGCCATGTATGTGAGTTCTACCGTGCCTCTCCATCTGGGGAATGTGATCCATGCTCACATATGGCATCAGCACCGTATCCTTGATTGACGGCCGCATCAATGTTGAACGAATTGAGACCATCGGTTGCATGAGACGTCCCAAAGGTAACCATATCAGCCGCGTGGGTGTGCGGACATCCGAAAACTACGACAAGGTTGAACGATAAAGGTACATACCTAGGTACCTCCGGAAGTACCAGACACCTACCGAGTCACCGAGCAATCCTGGGAACCTCGATACCCAGAATATCACGATTCCTCCCGGGGGAACGAGGGAAGAACAACTCTGAGTTCCACATCCACGTTGACTTTCGCCTTTGATCGCTCGATCGCTCGATTTGCTCGATTTGCTCGATCTTGGTCGATTGCTAACCAGCCCACCCCTACTCGCGCTACACTGTGATGCAACTCACGACTCGACCCAATGCATAGCTAGGTAGCTAGCGACCTATCCAGAGCCCCCGGAGCTAGTCCAGACGGCTTTCGTCATGACTGGTAGCCACCTGCCATCAGCAATGCCCGGTCTAGCATCCGGCGCTACGACGGACATTCATCATCACGAGAGGACAGGAGAGGAAGGCGGAGTACCTCGTAGAGAGCTGCAATACACCTGGTCAACTGCTTTCCAAGTTGCGTTGCGAAGCTGAGGCAAAAGACTCTTGCCGGCCAAAAGACGAACTTTTCACGAGGCCAAAATCAGCCTGTGGCTCAAGTTACATACATGAAGGACACATTGTACCGGGCAGACAAAGCCAACAACCAACATCAACCGAGAAAGCCCGGTTCTATACCATATGTTGATGGCCTAACATCCCTCAAAATGGTGAAAAGACATATAAAAACCCGAAAGTCAAGCACACCTCCACCAGCTTAAAGTCATTCCATGTCAAAGCTGCCGCCTCCCCGCCCCATTTTCTCATAGATCAATGCCTCCTAAGCCATCTCCATATTACCTTTCATCAGATACATGCATTTCTCCATTTTGGCCAGTAGGAAGGATAAGTCGTCACGGTACGAGACCCAGATCCGAAGCCTATTGTCGACGTCTCGTTCCACCCGTAGAGCATTCAGGAACACGTCGGTTTTGCGATGGAGCCCGATGACTTCGTACACGTCGTCAATGTTTGCGTCTTGGACGTACTCGTCGCCCTTGGCCGCTTCCATGACGCGCTGGTGGAGGTACTCGGAAGCCGTGCCTGTCATGGACGCGGCCAGGGCGCCATGGACGGCGTCCAATTGTCGTGACCACGAATCCAACAACCTACCCGGCGGCAATTCGTCCGGGAGAGTGGCGGGATAAAGCCACAGCAGGAGACTGAGCGAGTCGTAGGTCTCCCACATCTTTTTCAATAGCTTCATCAGACATGCGGGCTTTTCGAGACAAGGTAAAACTGTAGTGTCAGCAGTGGCGCGACTTTCTGGGGGCTTCGGAAAGAAAAGAAGGGTCTGGTAGCATTACCCCATAGGTGTTGGTGATTTCCTCGTCCTGAAGAGGGTTGATTCCTCGATCTGGCCCAGAAAACTCAACCGCCATGAAGAGCAGGCCGCCCCAGTGGGCAAGTCGCACCGACACGGGTCCATTGCCCGCCAGCTCGGCCGGTCGGTCAAAGTGATGGAAACCCGTATCAGCCGTTCCGCCATTGTGCCAGGTTCTAAAGTCGATACTGACGATGGACCGGGCCGGCACGACCACGACGTGGTTCCGTCGCCGGTCAACGGCGTTTCGACCCGACAAAAGCGCCTGATAGAACTGGTCTGAAAGAAACGACACGTGCAGCATGTGGTCGACCCGGCCTTGAAAGTATGCCTCTGGGCTCGTGGCGACAAAGTCCATGGTTGAAGCGGATGTTTGGCCTGTATGGGGTGTAGGAGACTCTGTTGTCACTGTTGAATTTGAGGGGGATTAGGAACGAACGACGACAAGGGGAGCAAGCCAGATGGAAGAAGACGGGAAGGGGCAGATGAGAGGTACCAAGGAGGAGACAGAGAGGTCACTGCGAGGAAGGAAAGGAGATGTCTGGATCGCTTTGCAAGGAAGAAGGAGAGGAGAAGGACGAGGATGGGATGGGATGAGGGTTAGCGAGAGGTAGAAAGAGGCAGAGAAGGAGGAGGAGGAGGAGGAGGAGATGTAAATACATACCCACCAGCGGTAGCGACGATAGGTCGACCAAGCGGCTGCATCCCTGGCGGCTCTGATCATATCAGTCACATTTCATTCAGTCATTCAACTCACTCGATCATTCATGCATTCATGCATTCTTGCATCCGCGTCTGCACCTCCCACCTCCCACCTCCACCTCCTCGTCCTCGTCCATCGGCATTCTCCTTTGAACCGCAGTAAATCTGCAGATTCCCTGCTTCGGCGAAGCTTGGACCCTCACTAGCCGACAACAGTCTTTACTCAAACTGCCCTGTCGACCCGCCATCATCAACACCTGCAGCACTCTCCGGCTCGCCTGGGTTGGATGTGAGCGTCAATTTGATGCCACCACCGCTCTGCATCCCACAATATCCAAACACATGTCAAGATCTGCACACACGGCAGGGGCAGGGAACAAGGCAAAGGAGACCGCTGGGGGCGGGGCGGAAGAAGGGGAGTGGAGGGGGGAAAGAAACCAACTTTTCTCTCGCAATGGATCAGAAGGGCACTCTCACCCCAAGGAGTACGAGTAACACAACATCCAGAGACTAAATTCCAACCCAGAGGCTAAACGGGCCTCGCGGATCCTGACTGGTGCCCGACCGCCACTTGCACGCATGCCACGGCAGGTGTGGGAAAAGGCAGTAGAAAAGCATCCATCGAGAGGGCGTAGGTGGAAAATGAAAAGGGCCGCCTCTGGATCAAGCCTATCGTGTACCTCGTAGTGTGCCAGACTCCTGCGCCAACGTTGTGTAACCACACCGAAAAACCTCCCCTCTTGGCACCACCGGGGTTGACGTCTTTGACGCCCTGGCAGCCTTTCTCTCAGGCTAGTGAGAAGCCCTCTCCTATTCCGGATGGCCAGAATAAAAGCACCGACAGGTCCATTCGGATTCCGGTCAAATCAAGACCGACAACTTGTCTAGCTGGCGTGCAAGCGACTCTGGGCCTCAAGTTTTCCTGGGCCTCGTGACAAGAGCTCTTTCGACGTTATTCAATCCTGTATTGGTAATCACTGCGCCGCACATGCGTGAGCTGGTCCCGGTCTTCTCTGTCTGTTGCTGCCCCCTCATGCGCCCGCCTTACTGTCCCAAGTGGAATAAGAATCTGCCCGTCGTCCTCACAGTCCAGAGAAGCGAAAACAAGCCTTGGGTAGATGGACATCTGTAATTCGGTTACTTTCGAGGAGCAAAGACGTGAATCCATGATTGTTGGGAACCCTGGTCTTATCGGGGAGACATGTTCGCCTGCTTTTACCAGTGTTGAAGAAAAGCAGCAGAAGCGAGGCAATCGACAGGCTGTTGGCAGGAGATAATTTCCGAATGTGTACGCAGCGCGTGAAGACATAGTAGATCTGAGCACCGGATGAGATGATGGTAACGAGGTAGTGCTTGCTCCATGGGATGGGCCTGCACGGCCGAGGAGGAGTGAACCCACAACATGCATACCATCGCCAGGTACATGATTCGGACCTTTTTATTTGATTTCTTTTTTAGCCCGATCGACGTGGGCGTTCACCCTGTCGTTGCCGTCGCCGGCAAGCAGGTGGCTGTGGTGGATCATTTGTCCCCGTGGAAGATGGCGTAGGACGGCGGATGGATGTTTTACAACCCATTTTCCTTTCAAGTTCTTGCATCGAAAGATTTCCTCGTTTGTATCTGCCATCGTATAGTCAGGTCGGTCGAAATAGTCTGCAAACTGGTCCAGTATTAGACTAGTCACCGTTGGCCTACACCCGAGTAGTAGAGACATACTCCTCGCAGGTGTGACACGTCAGGGCCTCCACGACGGGACAATCTCCGAGGATGTTGTCGAGCTTGCCATCTAGATGTTCAACATCGTGTGCAAGGCTGTAGAGCGGTCACGGACCCGTCTCTTTGTGAACCCGACGGTCATCCTCCGCTAGAGAAGCGAGGGTGGATGTAATTCTGAACAGTGAACCCCAGAAGCCGGCGTAGTCACTGTGCCAATAGAGCACTAGGCGAAGCAAAGCGTTGAGGGGGAGGTTTCAGAGGACTTGCCCATAGGACTGACGATGATGCATTGATGCCACGAAAGAAGACGCACGAGGTATGTTGGTATGGGTGCGGTGATGGTGGTCGTGTCGTTGTTGTCTCTCACCTACCAGCGCTCTCTAGATTGCTCTGATTACAAGGGGCAGCTACGCCCTTAACCAGATTCGAACCACCTGCAGCCACCACCCAGTGATTGATACATCGAGAGGAAGCCACGAGGGAAGACCAGAATCTAGAGGAAACTGCAATCGTCAAAATGGCATAGGCCAACAACGCAAAGGACCGGCGACACTGGTGGCGGCGCGAGCACCAGCAGCGACCATTTTGTGAGGCGGATCGAAATCGGGGCTAAACGTCAGTTGGTGCGGAACGTGGATGCGGGTGGTAGTCAGAGGTCCTGGTCCTTGAGCTTCACGGCCCTAGCTTGGAAGACTTGGTTCAGTGTTGCGGTGGCAGACTTTCTCTCAAGACGATGTTGATGCTGGCTGACCAGCTCCTTCGACGAATAGAACTGCTGCCTTCACTTCATTATCTGCACAAAGACATCATTCCCCGAAACTTCCTTCTGAGGACAGGAGGCCACAGTTTCGATCGACAACCGGTTGCTTGAGCAGCAGGATCAGTCGAAGATCTGTACGGACTCTGCAGGCGAGTTTCCGTGGCGGCAGCTGGCACAAAGCCGGTTGGGTACCAAAGAAGCAGAGGAGAAAATGACGGTCGACGTGTAACGACACAGCGAAATGCAGGAGAGAGAGATTCTTGGTCGGACTGAGCGAAGGAGGGAGGTGCCGGTCCGCCTTCCTGTATAACACAACCGGCTTTCTGAGGGAAATCGGCAAGACGCGAGATTGGACCTTCCAGCAGATGTTGTATCACCCGGGCTTATCCATCCAGCACAATTGCAATCGAACACGGGGTTCAACTGCGGCTGTATTGGAAATGAAGCCTTGCTCGTCGCTTCGGAGTCGCAATCCCAACCGGCTAAAACCTGCCGGGCGACGTAGGATTCCAGGCTGAGGCCGTGCATCCACCAATGATAGACATCCACCTTGCAAGAAGCCTTGGCGGTGTTGTCCATCTCAGCCTGATCATTTATCATCATCAGCCGACTCGCATCGCTTCTGAGCTCTCCCAGCATCTTTTCGTCATCGTCTTTCTCCTCTTGAAGAGCACCCATTCCATCTGAATCTTCATTTGTTTGCGGGTTTTCATCAAATCGTGTTGTCGGCTGGTCCGTTGCTTGTTGCTGCTTGTCACTGCTGCTCGCAATCACATATAATCAACGAGAGTCTCCGAATCAATCCCATCACAACTTCGACTCCTCCCAAGGCCACCCACCTATCCCCAGAAGCCACCCCCTCGCACGAAATGGCCATGATGACAGTGTATGAGGTCCAGTACAAGCGCCTGCCCGCCTTCCACGCAGCCATTTATATACACCGAGACGAGAAAGGCGGCTTCATGTACCACACCGTCGGTTCCCACACGGCGGGCTTTCGGTACGAAGCCTGTAAAAGCGAGCGACCCGAGAAGTCCAGGAGCCTGTATAAGATGTGGCCGAGGGGGAAAGTAGCACCGGAGGACTTGCCTCGAGTCGACTTGGTTTGTCAGAATGTGCCCGTACCTCGCATCCGAAGCATTTCCGGCGTGCGAATTGAGCGAGATTGCCGGCACTGGGTGCATCAAGCGCTTGGTGACTTGCGGACCGCAGGAGTTCTCCAGGAGATGAGCCGGACAAAGTGATGGTGGCGGTTTGAATGAGTCCAAGGACCGGGGGATAATGACAGCGAGGGCAATTACCATCCAATCTCATTTTCCAACATCAGCAGCCAGGCGTACTCGCTTGGATATGGGTCTAAGAATTTGCCTACCCAATGGTGCCAATCGTCCTCAAACCACCCACAGGCCATGATTGCTTGAGAATATTCCCAATAACTCGGATACCAACCTGCGAATTCCCAGTCCAGAAGGACAATCTCCAGTCCGGACTTGGGCTTGGCCCTGACCATGATATTCTTGGGTTGCAGGTCGCCGTGCGTAAGAGTCGGAGGGTGATCGCGGAACACCAGGGGAAGACTCTCCTGATAGAAACTGGCTTTCCCCTCGATGGCCTTTATAGCCTGGCATTTCTTAATGATTGCGTTGTTGAGTTCCATCTCCGTGGCGAAAGGCCCGCCGAGGCCTGGCAATTGATCCCCATGGCCACTCCAGAACAGGCCGTCGCGCAGCGGGATATCGTCGAGACTGCAAAATCCGTTTGGTGATTGAACGGCACGCATTCGACGCAAACATTCCCCGAGCTGGTTCGCAATCAGCTTCTTCTCCGAGGCGGTGAGATTGGGCCATAATGCGTGTAGCGTCTGACCATTCACTCGTTCCATGACGATGAAGTTCTTGCCCCGATCGTGATAGATGGCGTAAACGCGGGGGACTGGCATTCGGGCCCGGCTTTGCACAAACATCATCATTCGCCCTTCTTCAAGGTCAATGCCCTTGCCATACTTGACCACAAAATGAGGGCCCACCGTAACGACCTTTGCGGTGAGGCGCTCTGACAAGACCCCTCGAGATCGTTCAATGTCTTTTGTCGTGGGCAGCCTCGCCGGCAACTCGGTCGCGGAGGCATAGTATGGGATCGATATGGAAAATGGCTGGGCCTGTGTCACCTCAGGCTTGAGTGTGCGTGGGCAACTGGGGCGTCGGAAAAGATGCGAGGACTGCCGGCAGAATTGGAGAAGCAGTGTCGCAGGGAGCAGCACCAGCATCACAATCCGAGAGGCCAGACTTCTCGCTTCCATCATGGCCATCGTGAATCTGCTCGAAACACAGCAACACGGCCCAAAGGCTCATCGACTCCATGTTGATCCGGAGAAGCTCGTACAGGGCCACGAGTCCATGTGACAAGAGGTTGATGCAGGTCCCAATTTCTCGCCGAGTCGCCAATTAGTTGGTGGGGGCCGATCTGGGCAGCCCACGCAACCTTGGAAGTGACACAGTCACCCAGGCCGGTACCGCAGTCTCATCCTCCCGCAGTCTCATCCTTCCGCAGTCTTTCTCCCTTCCCACTCCTCATCGGCCCCCGACGACGTGCCAACCCCGTAATGATCGATGCGCGCCTGCCGTTCGTCTCCAAAGTCCTTATGCAGCTGATGCCTTGACCCATACTCTAACCCGCTACGAGAGAACAGACCGCTCAATGAAAGAATGGCGTCGAACTTGGAGACGTCGAAAAGTCGGTGCGCTGGAGCTGGAAGAGACGAGGCAGCAGCAATGTCTTGCAACAGCTTGCAAGGGCGCTGAAACAATCCATGACCTCTCAACGTCCCCAAATACGTACGAATGAATAGATGGCTCAATGCCCTCACCCCGAACTGTCGATAACAGTCATGGCTAGGCCTACTCAAGAGCAAGATTTGACAAACGGGAATCAACAGAAGAAAGAAAAAGAGAAAAGACATGGAGATCCGGGTTACATCTTACCATAATGTGTCGGCCGCAGCCGCCTTGTCCGGATGCGAAGCACGAGCATATCATGGACGAGTCTGGCAGGACCAAAGGAGACCAGGCTGCCGGTCCTTTTGACAGGAAAGGCGCTTCTGCAAAGGCAGTGGTTGTCTCGCAGATACGATGCCCTCGATACGGTAAGCCAGGCAGATTCGGTCTGTTATGAGCCTACGTTTCCTCGGTATGGTGAAGGGAGATCAAACACATGAGCGGGCACACAAGAGGAGGTGCCGGCCGGACAAAGCGTCCGGTGAGAGATGAGCAGCTTGGTCTTCTTGATTGCATAGCTGTGGCTTTTCAGGTCTTTTTCTCCATTGCTGTCAGCCCAAAATGCGAGATTGCCCTGTTCTCATTGAGTCGACGGCAGGCCGCACCTGTGGCTGGACTGGTCAGGTAAGTGATGAGCACACGAAACATGATTCATTCTGCACTGGACGATGGAATTCTATTGCTAGATTGCGCTGCATCACTTTATGGCATCGAGATTACTCGGTCCCTCGATCAATGTCCAGTTCGTTCTACGAATGATGGCTTAGATGAGCAAGCGAGGATACGCCGCTCAAACCCACCAGCTCAAAAAGTCAAGTCGATATTGTACCATAGCATTGCTGGCAGAATAAATATATCTGAGTGATATCATTTGCATAATATAACTCGATTTGTTGCAGAAGAATCGCAAAGTTCCGCGTCGGGTTGGATGTGGTCACGTTAGCCAGGCACCAGTGGGAGATCAGGCCGGGCAGACAATGAGCCAGCGAGATCGGAGAACAGGCGTGAGATAAGCGAGACGAGCCGAAATAAGCGCATTGGAGGTCATTGCCCATTGTTACCTACGATCACTCCATTCCTGGGTTACCGCGGGTTTGGTAGCGATTTTTGATATAGAGATCACGTGAGCGCAGAATCAACCAAGAGCCAGGAGATCTTATCATCATGTTGGGGAAAAAGAAGGCATCATCAAGAGGCAGAATGGGGTCATCGACACTGGCATATTACAAGGGCTGCGACAACAGGAAGGACATGGTCAGCTGTCACCCTCCCGGCATTTGAGTTGCACTGAGTACCTAAGTAGTACGAGCGATTGGGGGTGGCCCAGCCTGGCTCTTCTCGCCCGGATTTTGTTTGCTTGCGAAGGGCATTCATTGAAGGGATGAGGGAAGAAGAGAGCCAGTGGCGGACAGCTGTCACTCGGCCTGCAGGCCATCACGAAGAGAGCAATCAGCTGAACGAGTAATAATTCGAGTGTCCCAGCTACTCGTAGGCGGTGCTGCAAGCCAAATGTCGGGTAATTCTCTGTGAGTCGATCCGAAGTTGGGCTACCGTAGTACATGGCCCCTCGGAAGGGCAGGCAGAGGGGGAGAGAGGCTAGGGAGCGGGCTAACTGATTGCTAGGCGGTGATGGCCGGGGGTTTGCATGCATAGCGAGGGCTTCCAGGCGTGTTTGCCCTCCGTGCCCCCTGGGTGGCCCCTAGAATGTCACAATGTCCAGGTACCTACCTAGGTAGGAAGGCCTGGAGCAAGGTAGAACACCATGCACTATGCATGATGCATGGATCTTTCCTTCTTCTTCCTTTCTCTCACCAGCATTTTGGCCATCCGCTCTCTACTTTAGGTTCAGGCCACCCTCCAAGCTGAACGCCACAGCTTCTCCTTCCACCCAAGAGCCCTGAATTATTACAATCTCTGACTGTGAGAATCCCATAAGGTTATCGCTGTCAAGTGGCGGTCAGCGTGTGGGCTTCTGGCCCATTGACCCGTCGACAGCCAGGCTGCGCTAAACATCTCCGCGGCACGCCGGTCGTTGACCCTGCTTCCCCAGTGACGCTCGAGGAATATCATCATTGGCTTCTCACCACCATCTTCGGATGCCATTGATTCGTGCTGGCCACCTGTCAACCACCTCAGTCTTCGAAAACTCTACGCTCTGGACGCTGTACCTTTTGGACGGCCCAGACAATCAAGCATGGCTCTCGACTCGATAGGCGGTAGCTGGGCGGTAATATGTCCTTCCAACCAGCAATTCCCTGAACAGATGATGGTTGACAGACACAGTTCACGCAGACTATGGGAATGAGGCTGTCGGGTCTGATCGACTGTTGATCTCGCCCATTGCAACCCGCCTCGCCGCACACGCGGCTCGCTAAATTTGATCCCCTGGTGTAACCTACCTCGTACTCCCCTCCAGCCTGCCATCCGCAACATGCGTGAGCCAACCTCGATTCAAGTTCATCCCATGACAAAAGCCCCCAGACGAGCTGAATGAACCCCATGTGGGCGACATGGGCGCCCAGATCATCCTGGCCCTGGACCTTCGCAACAAGTGAGGCGCACGGACTTCCCACGTTCGACGCTGAAATGGGCCAGATCCCATGTGACTGAGAATGTGATTGTTTTACATCTCGGATTCCACGACCCCACACCTATCATCATTACGCCAGCCAGAGCAAGGAGCACGCTGTGTGCTTGTTTGCTTTCAGAGTTTTCGAACATGTCACATACGCTAACAAGCGCGGGATGGCCCTTGAGAGGGGCCACAAAAAGAAAAGCAGGATCTCGTCCCTGCGTGGAAAGGGAAAGAGTTAAGATCCTTGTTGAGAGATGGGGCTTGTCTGTGCCTATTGTGGTCTTCATTGCAGCCCGGTGAGGAGAAGTCGGCCATCCTGGACAAGTGGTGATGTCAAGGCTGTGCAATGAATGCAGCATTCCGACTCCTGGCAGAAAGGATACCGGGGTGGGGTGTGTGTGTGTGCGTGTGTCTAAGTGTGTAAGTGTGTGCGTGTGTGAAAGCATACGAGATCAAGAGCAGATGCAGCAGCGTCGTCGGTCCCCAAAGACAACAAACGATCAAAGGACCAGGGGCCCCAGCTGCTACTACTTCTACTCACTCACTCACTCACTTGGGCTGTCGGATACTTCTCCCACTGCCAGCCTCCAATTCTTGAACCCTCTCTCAATCCTGTCCATCAATCACCGCCTACTTGCCTCCCTATCTAACCCCCAACCTGCCCACTTGCCTCCTTCCATCTCCAGTCTCCTTTACAATATCAAAGCGCGTTCCTGCTCTTCTAACTGTCTGTCTCGTTCCAGACTGTGGATGAAACCACTTCGTCTGGACCGTCAAAAGTGCGTGATGGATCTCCTTCAATGCCTCTCTCACAGGAGACGGTATCCTATTCGATCGTCCCACTGATCTCTCTAGGGCACCATGGAGACTGATGCACAATCCAGAGACCTGAGCCAGTGCATCCTCGTCATTCTACTGATGTGGATCTTCGCCGACGGCAATGTCTTCGACTTGTCGCACTGGCCGGCTGCCGGAATGACCACTCCTTGGGACGTAAACCGGATCCATACGTTCATAACTACACACTTCATCGGCCGAAACCTGCGCTGGGATGACGTTTCGCAGCAAACTTCTCACCTTCGCCGACTTCTTGAGAATCCCGAGTATGAGAACCGCGATAGCATGACATGGACTTATCGTTTCAATTGGCTGATGAACGCGGCCATTGTCTACGTGGGTGCAATCTCAGGAACCGTCACCAGGGATTTTCTGAAGCCTCGGGCCTTGCCAGTGGAAGCAATGTCCCGATGGCTTTCTCGGCAGTTCGATGCTCCATTTACGGTCCAGGACCTCGAGTACCACCTCATCCACTGGGTCATCATCTTCTCTGGCTGTGCCGGAGAGGCGCAGCACAACCTGAATTACTCGGCTGTCAGGGTGGATTGGACTATGGCCAAGTATCTAATGGTCCCCTTGACTCCCTTGGCGCCAAACATCTCAGGGCAATTCTGTGGCCCATACAGGCGTTTCCACGAAGACGTGGAACAGTGGTATCCGCCTCGTGTGTGGAGGAACCGCATAACCCCCATGTCGCCATACGACACCAAAACAGGCCTCTTATTCAATTTCGATGCAGATACCTACGACTACCGTGTCTCCCGAGAAGTACTGGTGAGGCAATTTGTACCTCTGAGAAACGAGCGACGGGATATGCCGGTAATTGTGTGGTTCGCGGGAGGAGGATGGATGCTGGGGGACATATCAGGAGACAATAACATTCTCAGCCATATTTCGGCTCGTGAGTTTGTTCCCCCTCCATCAGGCATTCATGCGCTGACATCTCTATTGACTGTGGATGTCGGATTTTCAGTGGTGCTTATCGGCGCCAGCAGTTTCCTATTCCGCATGACGACGCTTTGGAGATAGCGAACTCGGTTCGAAACAGAGTGGGAAGAAAAGACGTGGTTCTTGCCGGCGTATCATCGTGAGCCTGATTTGCCCCCTCGGACTTTTTTGAAGTCGACTTCTTTTGCTGATTGATGCACCAACCAGGGGTGGGAACCTGGCCGCTGCCACAGCGTTGGCGTGGTCGGCGCAAGGACACCCTCCTGCGGGGCTGCTCCTCGTCGCTCCCAGCTTAGACAACACATGGGAGTGCGAGGAACGGTGGCGCGAAAACTGGGACGCCCCCTGGCTGACTCCCGAGGCCATGCGATTCTTCCAGAACCGCTGCTTCCAGGGGCCTGGGGACCGGTCCAGGGACAACTGGCGGGCCAGTCCGCTTTACGCCGACCAGCGGACCATCGAATCGACACGGGCCTTCCCGACAAAGGTCGTGGCCATGGCCGGCGACATCCTGTGTCGCGAAAGCATCGACTTTGTGACGCGCTTGGAGGCCGCGAACTGTGGACCCACCCTGAGCGTCTTCCCCTACGGCCACACCGGGTTGTTGATGCAGGGCATCGTGGGCACGGCTTTGCTTGAGGAGATGATGGACTGGATCAAGCAGCGAGCAAACAATGACATGGACATGGACATGGACACGAACTGAAGGCCCTCGGAGGCAGGATATGCAAATTGAAATGTGACGGGTTGAGAACGGTTGGGGGAGGCCAGGAACTGGTGTCTTGAGACCGGTAGGATGGAGGCTGTGTTTAAGAGAGCAAGCTGTCTCATGCCGGAGACTAAGGTCAGGACAGTGATTTGGAAAGCTTTTGTTTTTTGTTTTGTTTTTTAATTTGCTGTTTGTCTCTCCCCACGATAATGACCGACCTATGTAGGGACTTTGCTTTCCAGCCTGGAGAAGAAGACACTACCAGATGGGTCTTTTCGTTGTTGAAGGCCGCTTTCATTCTCCGCTATAATAAGTATACGTAGCAAAAAGCACACATGGATGGACACGGAAACGAAATATTGAGACAGTCACCGTTTCTGGAGACCCTCGCCATTTACTGAGTACCTTTCCCTTCTCTCCAACGCCCTATCGCGTTCGGGTTAATAGGCGACGCAAGGGGAGGAGGTTTCATGGGGATGTACCTCGTATGTATGCCGGAGACGGGGTGTTGTGTACTTGTACACCAATTTTACCTACCTAGGCGGGTCGACAGATACCTAGGTAGGTACCTAATCGACACTCAACAATTTCCCAGCACGAAAAGGCCTTCCTTCCTTCCTTCCTTCCAGGTTTTGCAGGTCCGCAGGGTCCAGCTGGGGATAGAACTGCCGGGGAGGGTGGGGGGGAGGGGGATAGCCTTGATTCTTATGCTGAGTTGGATTTTGTAGGTAGATAGGTACCTAGGTAGGTAGGTGGCGGTGTAGCCTCGGGGGGCTGGCTGGCTGGCGACGGACTTTCAAGTTTCCAGAGGGTCGAATTACCAAGGTACCGAGGACGCAAGATACGAGTTTGTCATGTACGAGGTACCTAACCTACCTAGGCACTTGAAGGAGAAGGATATTTGAAGGTATCTTCCCCCTCGCGATCGACTCAAACGCCCCCTTTGAAGTGGTCGCCTCGCCTCGTCCGCTATTGAGCACTCTTTGTGTCAGACTGCTATTTACACTTCAAAGGTTGCTCGGCACCAAGAGACACAATCGCAGTGGGTATATCGAGTGTTTGTAACGCAGATGGTCTTGATTTCATTTGGCTTTGGTCAGCTAAGCTACATGGAATACTGACACGGATACTGCAGTTGTAATAGTACATGGAGAAAACTATGAAATTTTGGGTCCTTGTACGAGAGAGCGTTTACAATGGGTATTCCGTGCCTATCCTGCCATGTCAAGTCCTACTCCCCGTGTCTCTTCCGTCGTCATCCAACCTGTTCCATCATTCCTAACACTAGGCGATATGACAGGAAAGGAAAGGAGAAAAAGAGAGACTGAAAGGAAAAAGGGTAAGAAAAGCGCCGAAAGCTCCTGGCGCTCCCAGACTATGAAGAAATAACCCGAAATCATGACCAAGCCAAGTGAAAGCCTCGCTGGAGGTGTTGTGGCTGGTCGGTGGTGTGATGTCCATGTTGATGTTCCTGCCCGTGTCTCCTGTGAGCCCATGTTCATTGAGCCGGTTGTGTGAGAATGTGGGCGTCGTCAATGTCGTAACAGTCATACAAGAGGCTTAGCCACCCCCTTCCCTAGCCAGAGAGGAAAAGGAAGGTGGGAAAAAGGAGGAAGAGCAGTAGCAAGCTGCAACCTTCAGCCGTGATGCCTCGATCGTGTTTGGTGCTTTTCTGAATGTTTTTAGTTGTTTCGTTGCTTTTGCTGTTCAAGTGTCATCTCATCTCGTCCCTGCCATCGTCGGGAAGGGTGTGGCTTTTGTGCCATGGTCGTAGTGATACATCATTCGCGTTTCAGTGACAGTGCGAGGAGACGCCTGTTGACTCTCGAGTCAAAAATGGTTCCCTTGCCCAATCCATGTCTCCCGTCCTAGTCTAGTCGTCGTACCAGACCTTGCTCCTGGGCTTCTTGATGCGGTGGACGTACCACTTGGCTCGCACCCACTGGTATACGTTGATCGAGGGCACCTGGATGATCTCGACCTGCTTGGGCTGCTGCACGACGAAGCGGCGAAGCAAGAACTCAAACGGCGTCTGCACCCCCCAGCCATGATGCGGGGAAAAGTGGAAGTACCCGGCGCCCATGTTCTTGGCCAGATCGAGCCCGGTGTCGTACGCCACCGTCTGCCCGTGATAGTCGGTCATGGTGCCGACCAGGGCCACCAGGCGCCGGCGGCTGTTCTGGTACCGCATCACCGAGTGGAAGGTCGCCGAGGACGAGGTGCTGAAGACAAAGATCATGGCATCGAACTCGGGATAGTCCACGGGGTCGTTGCCCGTTTCGATGATGTCGAGTTCGATCAGCTCCGACTCGACTTTGACCCATTTGCCGTAGTGCACCATGTTTTTGTGCTCTTCGAGATATTGCCCGAAGAGATACTGCGATGCCACAACGAACAACACGTCAGTGTGATGATCGCCTCGAACCCGAACTGGATCCCCACCAACCAAGGCGCAGGCTTACCTGATGGATGAGTGTTGTCTTGCCCGCCCCCGGGTCGCCAAACACGCCGACGGTGAACTTCTTTGATTTGCCCGCCATTCTCTCTGTTGGTCCTTGCGGTGATGATAGGATTGAAAGTTTTCGGGGCTCGGACGGAGATCACGTATGGGGGAAATTGCACGAATCTATCTGAGAAAAGAGAAAGAGAAAAAGGAGAGACTGAGGGATGGACATTCGGCCCTCTAAGTAAGGGAAATCACAGCCCACCGATTGCAAACATTCATTCAACCTCCAAGTTCAGGGTGTGCCATGATTGGATCAGTCGGCGGTGTAAGTTTCAATGGAAGGCAGGGAGGTGCATGTAGCAAGATAGATCCCAGGCGTCCAGGATGGAGAGGTAGCTTCCCACCTTTGCATGCATCTAACAAGGGCCTGATGGCGTCCGACCCTGAGACACGCGACAGCTGCCACAAGATGCAGAGACGAGGGGTCGACTACCTCGTACCCTGTTGATCATGCCAGAGATGGCGCCATGGAGGAGGGGTCTACCTCTGCTCAGATCGTACGGTTCACCTCCTTCCGCAAGGGAGATCGGCACCAAAATCTGGGAAAATAGTGGGGTTGGCCTTGTCTTGTGTTTTTGGGGTATAATCTTATAAGCATCTTGCTTTTTCTCCTCAAAGTGCTGGGAAAAGAGTGCACAGTCCGGCTGGTAAAAGCAAGAGGTCGGCCACGGGAAACGTGGGTTCAGAGACGCATGCTCAAACAAGAGCCACCGAAGCCGGGAGATGGGTCCGGAAGGCTTTAGCGGTAGACAGGATTATGCCAGGGAGCCCATCTGGCAGGCTGTGTGCACAGATACTGCAAATCGTTTGGTGACTGGATCTCAACTTCATGTCGGCCCTTCATTGTTCTGCATACGGAGGGCTGAGTCAAAGGGCTCATTGGGGCGCCGCGCCGTCACCCTTGAGGAGCAGGCAGGATATTTTCGAGACATGATCCGGTAGCTTGACAACTGTAGCGGCGAATAGCAGGCAATTGGAGGGAGGAAGGTCATGGGTATGAAAGAGGCGTGCATTTTGGCAGCTCACTTGGAGTGAAAAATCCCCTATTCGTAGGTACGCAGGTCAGGCTGGTCCAATGAGATGGAATAGCAACATAGGGGGGCAGCAAGGGGAAGCCGCATCTGCTCACTAGTAGCCCGGGGAAGCAAACGAAGAACAATTGAGTTGTGACGGGGGGCTGAGTGAAGTCAAGGAGGGAGAGAAAAAAGAGAAAAAGAGAGCGAAGGAGACGGCGAGGACGGATAAGGCGCAGTTTGCGGCCCGCGCCAGCCTTACGACTCCTGCCACGTACACCATTCACATCGATACCAACCTGTGTAAGATAGGTAGCCTCCCCAGCCCATCCCATCCAAGTTCAGCTCCTGGACAGGTTACAAGGCACGCATACATCCATGTAAGTTGTACCCTCGTTACGGCTCTGGAGACAGATGGCCATGGACCAGAACAAGAGAAAAGTGGTTGACAGGTGGTGGTGTCGTCGGTCATGCGAGGGGTTTGCCCTTGGACTCTCTTGGCCATGGAGACGACGGGCTACTACTACTACTACTACTACTACTACTACTACTACTACTACTACTACAACAAGGCCGGCGGGTGGTGCCATGCATAGCTTACGAGCTAGGAAAGACTTGCTGAAGCCTGAAAGCATGGAGTGGTCCATCCCTAGAACAGCAAGCCACCGGATGATCCATCGGGTCATATCCGAAGTTTGACATGTTCGCACTGGCAGCTGGAAGCTGGAAGCTGTTCAACCATCGCCGAAATTTCCACTGTGTCGTGTCGAAGTGTCAGTGTCAGCCAGTGTCGTCTCCATCCCTGGACCATACAGCAAATGTGCAAACAACCTGGCGCTCTCCATGTCTCTCCACGACCCTTTGGAAGATGCCAATGAGCCTTGTCTGAAGCCCCCGTGCATGCCAATGTGTGTCCAGGTGCTCAAGGATCACAGCTCTCTCCTGCCACGTCCTCTTCGGATACCGTCTTTCCCGTCTCAAAGAGAGACTTGATGTGCCCCAAGCGTCTCCTGACGCAGAAGTCCGACTCCGAACTGACAGTCTTTGGCGTGCCAGTAACTGAAGCAAGAACTTCCCGCGCCGAGGCAGGAAGCCTTTTGAACAAAATCGGCGTCTGCCACATCCATGCAGAATGCGATCCAATACACTGTCCACGAACCTGCTTTTCTGGAGCTTTAACTGCCATGGCGAATGCTGATCTCTTCACATCGTGACTTAGCGATTTCCACGCGGGACGAACCCTGAGGGCGATCTATCCCAGGGACCTTAGAGTTGAGGACAGGGCCCTTGAGTTGGGAGCAGGACCCTGACGGGTACATCCAAACAGGCACTAGAGGCTCCAGTGGAGTCAACGCTATTCCAAGGCGAAAGTGAGAATAGGGCGATGTTCAGAGTCATGGCTATTTCGGTCAAAATGCATCCCGCCTCTGAAAAGGTCATCCACCCTACCTGACAGTCTGCGGGATTTATCGACCCCTTCGACGACACGGCAAGACAGGGAGATCGGTCCCGAATGCACCTCTGGCAATTCCCTGCCACTGTTTTCAGGTAAGTGGGAGGGTGAAGTGCAGGTGGCGTCCACAAAGGTGAGCTGGTCGAGTGAAAACACGATGGCAGTGCTTGCCTGCCTGGTTCAATCAGTTCCCCAATATTGTGGCTCTATTATTGCATACGGCCCCCGAAAGTCGACGAGTGACAGCACCACCAAGCAAATAGAGATACCATACACAGCCTCGCAAAATGTCGCCAGAGCAGACGCCAGAGCAGACACGCGTGGATGAGTCGGCTTCATGTGGTTCCCAATATATGGATGCGTGGGGCATGTGCCACTTCCTGTCCTGGAGCCAATTTGGCCAGCGCTGGGCAAGATACCCAAGGGCACAAGGCTCTATCGTATCTCCAGCCGCTCGGGCCCTCGCTCTGGAGGGCGCCAAAAGCACTTCCTCACAGGCACAAACCTCTCCTCCTTCACCTTCCAGCGTGGCCGTCTTTACCAATCCGACTTTGGTAAGCCATGCTTGCACCTTTTGGGGATCGATTTGTGACGGGAACGAGTTCATCACGAAACATCATTCGCTTGCAACTCAGCATTTCCAACTTTGATCGTTTTGCCTGTGCCAGCTCGGCGGAGTCCAACGCGCTTGCTCTGAGTCCGGCCGACTTTTCAATGACCAGCGAGTTCTCGTTATCGACGGCGGTAAGATCGGACGGTTTGCTGATACCGCTGTCTTTCCATGTGGCCAGTTTTGCCCCCAATTCCTCGTGGATATAGCCAACGCAGTGGATTCGTGGTCGGACGCGGTTTCCTCAATGACTGACTTGAGTGGCGCGTTGATGCGTTTGAGCATTTCCAGTGTTGTACGGAATCCTTCCAGCTTTGAACCCCCCATGAGGTCGCCACAGAGAAGGCTAACATCTACACGCTGGCAAGAGCTATTTGCACAGTCAAAGTCTGTGCCGTGCGTGTCTAACAAGAAAAGTAGTCGAGTGGTAATGGAATGAGCCATCGTGTCCATCCGCCGGAAGGACGAATCGAGCACAAGATTACCGCTCGACTTATCCAGTGGCTTTGTATAAAATCAGCGTTTAGCGGTGTAGAATAAGACGAGCTCTGAGATAGTCCCAAAACATTCTATAAGTCTGGTTGTGAGAGATGTTCTGATGTGCCTGCTTGTCCATGAGAACCTGTTAAGACCGGGAGCTGCTCGTCCTCAGACTCATTAGCGGTGCTCTTGAGCACTAAACCCGTTAGCCTTTCGCAAACCCCTATTAGTAGGCTATCACAACTACATATGTACCTAGGTACCTTGTGTAGTTACGAAAAGCGTCTATTTCTTCCCCAGCAAAGGCGCCGAAATCACCCGAAACAGCTGGGTAGATGCAGTTTCAGCTTTCTCCTGCCATCAGACTGCCCCCAGCAGCTCAGTCTTCATAACGGCACACACAAACACTTGTAGGTACCACAGCTGTCGTTTTAGCATCGATGATTTATCTCCTTACCTCCGAAAGTTCTCCAGTATTTCCACTGTGAAGCAGCCTCCGATCATGTGAATGTGGGAGCATTGCTATGGAGCTTGTGACGTTGACCTCCCCGACACTGCAAGATTGCTTCGCCTTGGGCCTGGGCGGCACTTCTGCCCAAATTATATATATACACACGGGAGACGTTGAGAATTTGCTATCCTGATCTGGGACTCGCGGGACTGCAGACATCATGATGCGCTGGCTCGCAGCCGAGCGGATCAAGGCACATATCGGACCCCTCCATGCACGTCTGCGGACCTATTCGACCTTGTTTCTCTTTGCCTGCATTGGTAAGTGCGACTGGCCTTGATCCTTGACTTCGATATAGGTCCTACCGCGGCCTCTGTGAGCTTCACTCCCTACGACACCATAGAGCAAGGACAGAAGTGGGCTGCGGCATTCTCATCTGTGGTCGAAATCACCTCGGAGAAGGGACTTGCGACTTACCTAGTGATCAACACCGTCAAACACATGCAGGAAAAGGATTCATAGGCACTTGCTCCATTCGTTCGCTTGTGAGAATGTCAAGCCCTTGACAATACCAGAAAGCTGATCCTTTCCGTTCTTTCGTTCTACGAATGCATGTGCACAACCAGCCTCCTATTCTTTGTTTGACGGATCACAATCATTGGCTTACGTTTGATATCTTGCATTACAAATGCATATCCATTTCAACGAGTTCTTGGACCAATTGCTATTGGAGACACGTTGCACAGGACGGTCAACTGCGGGCCAACAACATCCTACGGATCTCCAACACATTCTCCACCATGGGAGTGAGTGGTTGGCCTCAATCGACCCATTACTGTCAGGTCAGCAACAAAGCGAGGTACGTACTCTGCCCTAGGATATTAATGTGACAGAGATACTCTATGGACCGCTCCCTTCTCTCCACTTTCTACGACTCCTGGTCCACGAGTACAAAGATGGGTGTTTTCGAAGCCATATGGTTCGGGACGAAATCGTCGCTCTTCCTTCCGCTTGCTTGCTCAGCTTTGTGGATTTGCTATAATGTCGGGCTTGTCGTCTATCGCCTCTATTTCAGCCCTATCGCTCACTTTCCGGGTCCCAAGATCGCGGCGGTGACCTACTGGTAAGAGAGCTGTCGCTTTACATTTCCAATCTGTCTATTTCACAGAGACCAATCCCCCAAGGGTCTTGTCATGACATCCTTCCTAGGTACGAGTTCTACTACGACGTTATTCTAGGCGGGCAGTACACTTTCCGCATCCTTGACCTCCACAAGCAATATGGCCCAGTCGTCCGGATCAACCCGCGAGAACTACACTTCTATCCTCCTCAATTCTACGAAGAGATTTATGCGGGCCCCACCCGGCGACGGGATCGTTGGGAACGCTACACCCAGGGCTTTGGCATGCCTGGTGCTGGGGCAAGCACGAACCCGCACGACCTGCACAAGGCAAGACGAGCAGCCCTGAGTCCCTACTTCAGCATGCAAAGTGAGTTCCTCTTTCCAAACGACCTTGGAGTTCAGCCTTTGTCGGTATGGGTATAGACTGACGGAGACCTGCAGGCGTTCGGAAACTGCAAAGCGTCATCGAGGAGAAGGCGGATCTCTTGATGGCGAGATTCAGAGAGTTTGGCAACATGAGAAAAGAAGACGTAAGGAAACCCTTGAACTTGGAAGTTGCCTTTGCCGCGTATGCGTACGGTAGGTCTCGGGCCTTGGTCCCCCTCCTTATTTCCTGCTCGCAGACGAGGCTGGCACTGATCCAGGTCAGATGTCATTACCGAGTACGCCTTTGCTCGAAGCGAACATCACCTCGAAGCTGAGGACTTTGACCCCTGGATGTTGAAAGCGGCCTCTTCCACAAGCTCACTCGGCCAAATTGCAAAGCAAATGTACTGGCTCTTTTGGTTGGTCCTGAATATTCCGGATTGGATGGCTGAACAACTCGACCCAAATGGTAAGGTTGGCTTCCTTGAACCTGAGGAATCAACGACCCCATTGGTAGTAATACATCCCAACTGACTGAGTGCAGCCGTCCGTTATTTCCAGTTCAAGCGGGTGAGTGGTGGAATGCCATGTTCCTTGCTTGTTTATTTCCCCCTCGGTGTTTGTCTGGCTGTTGAGCCACCACTTTTCCATCAACTGACAAGGATTTTGCTCCGCCTTGGGTAGGGCATCAAAAACCAAATCGAAAACATTCGCAACGGTATCGACACCGCCCACAAGACGGTCTCGCACCCAACGATCTTCCACGAAATACTCGACAGCTCTCTCCCCGCCGCCGAAAAGCGCACTTCCCGCCTCGCAGACGAAGGAGCCACGGTTGTGAGCGCGGGGGCGGTGACCACGGGCTGGACCCTGCCAGTGATCATGTTCTATCTACTGTCCAACCCGACGGTCCTGCAGAAGCTGAAAGAAGAGCTCTACGAAGCAATACCCGATCCAACAAAGCCCACACCACTGCCCGAACTCGAACGCCTGCCTTACCTGACGGGCGTTATCCAAGAAGGGCTGCGACTGAGCTACGGGATCTGCACGCGACTCGAACGGATCGCGCAGGACGAGGCCCTCGTGTTCGACGACGGCGCGAGAACCTGGACGATCCCGCCCGGCACACCGTGCTCGATGACCAGTTACATGGTCCATCGGAACCCGAACATTTTCCCCGCGCCCCACGAATACCGGCCCGAACGGTGGATCGAGAACCCGCGGCTGGACAAGTACCTCGTCAGCTTCTCCAAGGGCAAGATGCAGTGTCTGGGCATCAACCTCGCGTACGCAGAGCTCTACCTCATGGTGGCAAAGCTGTTCCGCGTCTACGGCAGCACGGAGGTGAAGTTTGATGGTGACATGGGCTGTTTGGAGCTGTTTGAGACGACTTTTGACAAGGACATCGACATGCGGGAGGACAGGTTCATCCCCTTGCCGAGCAGGGATACAAAAGGCGTGAGGGTCCTGGTTGAGCTCTACTAGATATAAGAGCACCGAAACCTAGCCCCTTGCGTCAGGGTACTTTTTGGGACGTCAGCGTTCGGTTCCGTCTGTACGAGTTTTGATAGAATCCACCCCGAAAGGAAAACCGTTGTTCAAAATCCAGACCCCAAACGATCCTTCCCTCCTTTCTCCAACCCAGTCCAGAGCCCCCTTTCCTCGCTTCTCATACCTCGTCTCTTGTCCTGGTATGCTCGACGTCCTCTCGAGGAACGTAGCCAGCGAAGCCCCCTCCAGATTCAGGATGTGCCTGCGCAGAGCATTTGAGCCGTGAGGTGTTGGCCCCCAGAGCCTGCTCGCCTGCTCAAAAGCCCCATCCAATCGACAGTGGCTCGGTGTGGTGCAGAACAAGAAAACAGCCTTTCGCAGTCTTTGGATGGTGGAGGGGATCGATCTCTTGCTCGAGCGCGTGAAGGAGAGCCGGATCTCCAAATGATTAGAAGTAGTCTTTTCGAAAAGTCAATTCCACACGCAGGCCCGCGCCCCCTAAAACCGGTGCCTTCGCAGGTCTCACGTCGCCCGGCCTGGTCAAAGTCGGCCTCAAAACTGCGCGTCGCGCGCTCTGCGCTCTTGTTCGTCGAACAACTTGGGGGGCAAGCAAAAAGGTTGGTATCGTCTAACTTGACGTGCTTTGGGAAAACCTGGTCTTCACCTCTTCTCCTGTGCCCTCTCCAAGAAGTCCAGCACTCACGAACGATTGACAGGATCTGTCACCGCAACCACCACTACCCCGGCGAATGTCATCCTCGGGATTGGTGAGCCTGTTGTACGTCCGTCCGGTCAGCTTTGGCGTTGGCGTGCACCCAAGTCACGGCGGAGTCACCCGTTGAGCGTAAACCTCAAGGTTTGGGATGAGGCCGGGCGGTCGCTGTGGTTTGGGTCCGTTGTCACTCACACGGTGTGCAAGAGCGGTTTCTCGTTAGAGCGGCGTTCATTTAGGGAGGCCTGTGTGATGTGGGCGTCTGTCTGTCGGACGGGGAAATGTAAGCAGGTCACGCTAGAATTGAAGCGAGCGAACTCCCTGAAAGACAGCTCGTACCGACCTCAGCACATCCCTCCGGCGAGGCGGGTAGAAGACAAGGCAAGGGTGTGAGAGTGTAGAAAGCAGGAATTTTTTTCAGCGTTGAGAGGAGGTCCAAAGAAGCGGCGCGCATATCGAAAGGAATCGATGAATCGACAAGTGAATAGAAGGGCAAATGAACCAACCGCAGCACTATCTTTCCCTTGCCCTTGCCACCAGCTCAGGATAATATTGACTGCAAAAGAACTGTCAACGATCCAAGCAGAGGCGCAGGCTGCGCCACACAACACTCCTTCCACTGTGGCGAGGTCTCGAGGCCATCCAGGCCGAAATCTTGACCTCCGACAGCCTAAGGTGGAACCAACTCTCAACGGTCCTCCTTCACTTATTCGGGACGACGTACACCTGACCATATTCTTGCCGATATCCATAATCTGGTTGATACGAAGGAGGTCTCTGATATCCCGCTGCTCCCTGGTAGTGCATCCCATATCCCTCCTGCGGGGGCATCTGCTGACTTGCCGGTGCGTACCGTCCTCGTTTGGTGGATCTTTTGCTGCGCAGGACACAGCAACCGATGAATAGAAGGAGGACTAATCCGCAGAAGCCGGCAATGGCCCCGATGAGTATTGCCTTGTGTGCGGAGATCCAAGATACGGTATCATCAACGCCTGCGCCATCGTTGCCCGGGGAGGAGGTCGAGGTCGAGGTCGAGGTCGAGGTCGAGGTCGAGTCCGAAGTTGGGGTAGCAGTGCTTCCGTACCAGTAACTGGAGAAGTATCTGGGTAGATTCTCAATCGTCGCGTTTCCGCCATAGTACGTGAGCATCATCTGTAAATCTGTCGTTAGCTCAGATAGATATCGTCAAGGGCCTCCTTCAACACGAAATCGTCTTTTGATGAGACGGGAGCCCTTACCGTGTCCGTTGTGCCGATGGTATCTGTGCAGCTGAGATACGTGTAGCCCGCTGGACCACCGAAAGTCGCCGTCGCGCAAAGGGAATAGTCTTCATCACTGTGCACACAGTCCAAGTCAGCAACTAATCACCGTGGAAGATGTTCGTGACGTTTCCCAGTAGTACAGGAGCAAGCCGGGATCATGGCACTTACCAAACAGTATTGAGATAGTTCCCTTGACAGGCCATATCACAGCCATTATTCACCATGGAATAAGGCACACAGGAGGTCACCCAGGCGCAATCTGTCGTTGCTGCGTCCGCACAACAGCCGACGGCATGGAGTTCAGGAGACCAAAGGCAGGCTTGGTAGTCGCAGACCAGAGGGGTGTCTAGACAAGCAAACGCGGGAGAGTGATTAGGAGTGTACTGTCCGAATTCTCGACGACGAGCGGCCACGTAATAGAGCTGAGGCATTGCAGTAGGCGGTCAACATTGATGTAATGCATCCACTTACTGAGATCACCATTGACCCATCCACACGTGTTATCCTCGACTGTGTCCGTATCGGACCTTTTGATCAAGTCGCGCTGGTGGGTTAGGATGGGAGCTGAAGTGATGGGACTGACGGGGATAGCTTTCGCCGTCGCCCGCTGACTGGCAGTGACTGAAGCGGTGATTCCGGTCATAGCGGTCCAAGTATCAACTTGCTGTCTATGTGCAGAATCCGAAGACGCAAACAGAACTCAGAACAGAACCTGACAACCAACTTCCACAAAACAGGTGATCTCGGGGGAGACAGAGAGAGGTACAGAGTACTTATTATGGGCGGATGGGCGACAGGCGGCACTGGGCTGCCCTCATAGAAAAGCCATGGTCCGTTCAAAAAGCCCAAAAGAGCAAGAGCACTTGAGTCCGGAAAAAGGACATGCTAGCAAAAGATCAAAAGATCACTCGACCACTGTGTCGGGTCTGCGCCTCGAAAGCAAAAGGTCGCCGGTGCCCGCGACAAACAGTGCCCAAGCTCAACGTGATTGAGCATGTCGCTAAATGGGCAATCTTGGTCCTCTTGGCATTGGGATATGGTCAAAGTTAGAGAGAGCAAATTGCCCTGGTGTATGCCTTGCGCTGGCGAACTTTGCCGTAGCGAGCCTCTTGAATACGAGATGGCAGCATCTTCTGATGGAAATCCCAAGGAAGACGTTGGCGTAGAGCTGAGCGAAGGTTTTGACCAGCCTTGAATACGCCAATCACGGGCCACAAATAGCGAGGCTGGATGGGGGCGAGGCGGCCTGGACGCATCGAGACCCGAGACATTCACGGACAGACCAGGCACAGCGGGATGGACTCACGGCCAGGGAAATGAGCAAGAAGAGGGAGTCAGAGAAGAGAAGAAAAGATAAAGAGGTATGCCGCGTGATTTCTATATCAGAGAGCATCTTTTGTGCGCCCGCTATCAAATAGGCCCAACACAACCAACACGACACGAGTCGACTTGGATAAGGCTGCATTGTCGTGATCCTTCATCCTAACGAGCCGTAAAGACGTCTTCTAATCCCAGAATCTCGCATTTCCCAGCGATCCCCTAGACCTCCTGGATATAGTTGGCGGGAACACTTCTGGTCTCGCCATTCTTCTCCACATCCGCCCACCCATCTCCGGTGCCCATACTGATCAGGATAAATTTCTCCCCCTCCGCCATGTCGAACTCGGCGTCACTCTGCGCAGTGTAAGGATAGAGAGCTTCGACATATTTGACCTTCTTCGCTCCTCGTTTGGGCGCCACTGCTGGACCTTGCTTCTTTTTGCTCCCGCCAGCCAGGTTGGACGATGCCAGGGAGGCACTCGAGTTGGAATATAATGATGGTGGGCGCTCTTGCGCGGGCGTACTCGCCGCAGTGGGCAGTTCTTCCAGGTAAGCTGTGGGCACCAGGCCTTCTTTGCCCAAGCCAGCGTGGACTTTGGTCCAGCCACCGTCTGCTGCTGTTCAGTATGGAAGAGTACAGTTACATGCAGTTTACGTACCGTCAGGTTCCACTATCTTCACTTCCGCGCCCTCTGGAAGAGATATTTCGCCCTCGTCTCTGGCTTCATAGGGGTACAGCATCTTACCTCTGGGTTGACCGCTCCCGTTGGCAGCCAAGTCAGGGCCAGGCGCGCTGACATATGCTGCTGGAGGTGGCGCAACAACCCTGTTTCGTCTCGCCGCAGTGACCGTCGTGGATCCGGAGTTGGAAGTGATAGTCGTTAGTGGAGAGGTGGTGGCTGAATCGTCCATTGCTGACAGCCTCGGAACACCGCCAGACAACGACCTGGTGGCACTAGCCGCGTAGCCAGATGACAGACTGCTCATCGTATCGTGTCTCACCAAGGGAGGAGGAGACGTAGCACCGTTCGAGGCAGGCGGCGGGGCTTCCACTGCCATCAGGGCTGCCGCTTGTCGTTCCGCTTTCAACTTCTTCTTCTCTTCCTTCGTCTGTTCTCCAGGACAGTCCGCAGGCACTTTCATCTGGCACTTGCTGTGACAAGTAAAGCCGCAATCAGTACATATGAAGCCTTTGGCACTCAGGCCCCAGATGCGATCACCACATAGATCACAATTGGTAGGGATTTTGAAGGTCTCGGATTTGAAGTTGTGGCTCTTGCCATACATGCTAAGATCGCCCGCGACTGAGGTGATTATCGACGTCTCCACTTCTGCCGTCAGTCGTTTTCGCTCAACGGCATGCAGCTCCTCCTGCAAGGCGAATTGCGACCGCACTGAATCTACTTCGTCCCGCTTGTCCTTGCGTTCTCGCCGCGCCTGTTTAACATTTTCCAGCTCTCGCCTTTTTTGAGCCGATTCTGCCTTGAGTTGGTTGATGAGCGGCTTGCTCTTCAGCAGGATGTTGCGCAGGAAAACTTTGGAGGCTTCATCGGTCATCATGTGATCCTGATCCAACCACACTGGAGACGGTTCAAAGACCATGTCAGGAGGCTCCTGCCATTGCACAGCATTGTGCCGCACAAACATATTGCTGTCGAGGCTTGGGTTGTTTCGGGGAATCTCGTTTGAGAGACGGGTCATGAGCTCGGTGCTTCTCTTGAGCGTATTGGTCTCGAGGGCCGCGGCGACTAGCCATATCGAGTTCAGTTTCGAGACACGAGTCTCGTTCAGGTCCTGCAAGGAATCGAGCAGTTCCGGGACGTATTCGTGGTAGTAGCATTCCTTCATCTTATTCGCGACACTGATGCCAATCAGGTACGTGTTCTTGACATTGTTCATTTCCATCAATTGTTGGTTGTACGTGCTTTGTGCCTTGCTTTTGTCCATGGACGATTCAGCCTTTTTTCTTCGGTTCTCGACCTCTTGACACACAGCATCGTATCTCTGTTTCAACTTTTTTAGATCGCCATAAGATGAATCTCTCTCTTTGACAAGTTTGGCATTATATTCTGCATGGCTCTTTCTCAACTCCTCAAGTTTCGTAGCGGTATACTCCAGCGGGGTTGCGACTTGACTTATGAGATCTTTGGAGAATTTCGCATGTTCATTCGCTCGTGCCTCAAGCGTAGACAAATGAGTCGTCCATGTTGTGAGAGAGGCGGATTCTAAAGAACCCGGAGTCAGGGCGGGGTTGTCGCCGACGCTCAGGTTGCTGGACTTTCTCGATTTCTTGTCATAGTATTTCTTTGCCAGAGCGGTCAACTTCTGGCTGTATTCCTTCTCTATAGCGGAACGTTCTTGGTAGAATTCTTGGATTTCGGTGAGCCATGTAATGCCCAGGTTGACCCAATTGTCGACCGGCTTGTAGCCGTCCTAGATCAACATCAGCGTAATGTCCAACCAAAGGAGCACAGGGGCCAGACCTTGAGCTCATTGCCGAAGTTGACTGTCGCAACCTGAGCCATTGTGATCGCAGACGAGCAGGCAATCCAGACGGCAACAGCATCATTCCATATCGTCAATCAAGCGTAGATGAAGAGGGTTTGTGGTTCTCCGATTTCTTTTGATCTTAGTGCCGACTGCGGCGCAGCTGGGGATGTTTGCGTACTCGTCTCATGGACAGCCGTGACAGCTCACGCCCAGCGATTGGCGAGGGGCAGTCGATCAATCACCAACGGCCTGAGGCACTGGTGGCACTGGTGGCACGGGTTGTTTGGCGTGACATTGAGCGGCAACGAGTGCGGGTGACTGCCCCCCAAAAGTCCCTGGCTCCAGGTACAACGCACCCATGGCAACCCAAACGTAGGTACAGGCACTAACTGACCCCAGGCACCCAGGCTCAACCCCGCGCCTGCCACCGACCACCTGCCACCACGCGTGCGCCACAACGCTTGTCCAAACGCGCCACAGTTTTAGTGGGATCTGGTCCCTTGGTCACCAATTTTCCATTCCACCACCGCAGCCTGAATCTTTTGAAGAATCATAACATTCTTCCCAGCTGCCTGACCTTTATTCATAATTTCTTACCTTGGCGGTGCAATCTTGCAGACACCGGATACATGCAGCGGTATCTCCGCTTGCATTTTTAGCCAGCGACTTCTTTGTTCACTTCAACCTGACTTCTTCACCTTCACCCTCTGTCGACCTCGCCTTTTCCAGTCTGAAGCAGCCATTGATACACCGAAGCACTCACATCATTAGGAGATCGCGCGTCCTCCTCACCTTGCCACCATGTCTGGAGCACCATCAGGAAGCGGCTCTTTAGAAGACCGCATCTCCAAACCAGAGTCTACCTCATGGGCAGATGAAGTAGCCTCTCCCGCAACCGAGAATCCACCACCAATTGCAAATGTGGAAGCGAAAGAGCCGGAGCCAGCACCACAGGATAACGGACAAGTCGATGGAGCTACAGAACCGTTCGGGGGATCGCAGCTGGAAGAGCCTGATTTCGAGGTGGAGGTCAAATTGGCGGACATGCAGGCAGATCCTAACAACCCCCTCTTCTCGGCCACTTCCTTTGAGCAACTAGGGCTGTAAGTCGCCCTCTTCAAGGTGTCTCTCTGCTCGACTGACCTCATCAGCAACGAAAATATCCTCAAAGGCGTTGTGAGCATGAACTTCCGAAAACCGTCAAAAGTCCAAGAGAAGACTCTTCCCCTCCTCCTTATGAACCCTCCTCAAAATTTGATCGGTCAATCTCAATCTGGGACTGGCAAGACCGCGGCTTTCGTGTTGAACATTCTACACCGTCTCGATCTTAGCAACGAACAGATGCGCAAGACTCCACAGGCACTGGTTTTGGCTCCCAGCAGAGAGCTTGCTCGTCAGATCGAGGGTGTGGTCAAAGTCATGGGGTCTTTCGTGGATGGTCTGATTGTGGCCGCTGCCATTCCTCAAGATGCTGCAAGCCGCTCGCGAAAAATCGAAGCGTCAGTGATCGTCGGAACCCCTGGCACGGTCCAGGACATGATTCGCAAGCGATCCATGGATGTCAAATCAATCAAAGTGCTGGTTCTCGATGAGGCTGACAATATGCTCGATCAACAAGGTCTCGGTGATCAGTGCATTCGTGTCAAGTCGTGAGTAGTGTCATTATTCAGCTTTTGCGTGCCCGATCGATTGACCAGCTTCTAGGATGCTACCCAAAAACCTTCAAGTCGTCTTGTTCTCCGCCACTTTCCCAGACAACGTCGTCCTATATGCCGAAACCTTTGCTCCAGGTGCCAATCAGTTAACTCTTCAGCACAAGGATTTGACGGTCGAGGGTATCAAACAGATCTACCTGGACTGCGACAGTGATGAAGCCAAGTACGAAGTCTTGGTCAGATTCTACGGTCTCATGACGATTGGCTCATCCATCATCTTTGTCAAGGTAAGCCGATGAATTCGATGCAATTTGTCTCAGCCGGCTAACGCAAGACCTAGACTCGAGAAACTGCACACAACATTGAACGACGAATGACTGCCGAAGGCCACAAGGTAGTGTCATTAACCGGAGGCATCGAAGGGGCGCAGCGCGATGTCATCATAGATGCATTCCGCATGGGTCATGCGAAGGTTCTTATCACAACCAACGTCCTCGCTCGTGGTATCGACGTCCAGTCCGTGTCGATGGTTGTCAACTACGATGTCCCGGACAGATTTGTCGGAGGTGGTCGATACGTTGCAGATCCTCAAACATATCTTCATCGTATCGGTCGAACCGGTCGATTTGGACGTGTGGGTGTGGCTGTGACATTCGTCAGCAGTCGACGCGACTGGGAGATGTTGATGGAAATCCAGAAATACTTCAATACGCACATGACCAAGGTCTCGACGGATGATTGGGACGAACTCGAGGAGCAGGTCTCGAGGATTATCAAGAGTTCGAGAGCGGGTTCAAATTTTATGGAGGGGGCGAATATGTCCATGCAATCGTGAAAGGGGACGCCATGATGTTGAGGGATTCTCCTAGCAAGAATGATTCTAGAGAGGAAACGCTCGCGCCGGACGATTTATGAACGACTCGATGGCGGAGATATGAATGCAGCGCAGGAATCTGCTTCGAGATGTGCCTTTGCTGATGTGGGAGAAAGGATTGTGAGGAAATTCAGAATGAGCATATGCCGTTTGCTCAGAGCAATGGAAGGGAAATAGAAATAGTACTTTTAGTCGACGCTAAGATACCCACAAACGAAACTTCAGTAGGGCAGAAAAGGATGAACAAGCGGATAGAGCAAATGAGCCTTCCGAAGACGTACAATTCATTTGCCTTGATCAGCTCTTCCTTTGGAGATGGACTTTTAGATATCCACAGGGTCACCAGTCGCAGGATGATGCCAACAGTGCCGCTACTTTCTCGAGGCCCTCTCGGTCTTGATCATCGAAGCCGTTGAGCTGCGTGCAGTCAATGTCGATTACGCCGACGACCTGGGCCGATGTCAACTGACCGTAGCGTCACCAGAGAAAGAGACAGGAGGATGGGAAGACACGAGACCAAGGGGGCGAAGGCAAACGGTAAAATGGATGGGGTCAGAGAGAGGAAAACTCACCTTCCCAGCACTTCGGATCGGGACGACAATCTCGCTCTTGGTCTCGCCGTCGCAGGCAATATGGCCGGGAAAGGCCTCGACGTCTTTCACCACAAGGCTCTTTCCCGTCCCATCGTCGCCCGTCGCCGCGGTCCCGCATACGCCTTTCCCCAAGGTGATGGTCTGGCATGCGACCTTGCCCATGAAGGGGCCGAGGATCAGCTGTCTCGTCGGCGCCGCTGGATCGAGGACGTAGAATCCCGCCCAATTGACGCCCGCGGCCTCCCGGGACACCGCCGGTGGCAGGGCGTGGTACATGTGCCAGAGCAGCGAGGCCGCGTTGGCCAGATTGCACACCCAGTTGCGCTGGGCCTCGAGCAGGGCCTCGAGCGACGCCACGACCTGCGCGTACGCCGCCGGCTTGGTGGCCATGTCCGGAAAGTGCGAGTACGAGGCGTGAGGCTGCTGGTGCTGCTGGTGCTCTTGCTGGGCCATGGTTCAAATCCACCCCCTTCTCTAACCCAATGGTCCGGTCGATATTAAAAAAGTGGTATTATCGTCGTATAAAAACAATGGCTGTTGTTGTTGTTGTTGTTGTTGATTTGTTTCACTTCCTGCGCTCTCCTTTGATGAACTCTTTTGTTTTCCCTTTCTCCTTGCTCTCTCGCCTCGTTGCCTCTTGAAAAGTGACGTGTCTATGTAGGTAGGTATGCAAGAGCTCGTCCTCGAGGCCGTTCCAAGTCTACCACCTGCAGTGTGACCGACAGGGTTGCCAAGGGAATGTAATAATACTAGTAGGTAAAGACGGCCCCGGCTCATGGTGGTCACGGACTAGCCCATTTTAGGATTTCGGTCGAAAAGCCCTCAGGGCAAGGCTGGTATTAATTATCGCTGTCCCAATGTTCCCGATAGTATATACCTAGGTAGGTAGGTACCTACCCTCGCCACCTGGGTTGTTCAGAGACAGTCCCCCGGACCTAGTAGAATTCACCATGTTCCTCCTCGCATTGAGTCCAAGAATAATCAACCAGAGCCCATTTTCAAGGCAACCCAGATATTTCGCAGCATTGGGGTGGGGATGTTGAGCCGATAGACGTTTCGCATACGCGACGGTCAAACAACACTGTCGTCGTTTGTCCAGATATTCTTCCAAAACTTCTCTCTTTATCGATGCAGTAAACTGTTCCTGTCTTCCCAACGCGTAGGTACCCCGGGTCTTTCACACGATACTGAAAGGAATTTCTGGGTTGTTGAGAGAATGAGGCATGTATAAAGGTTTGAGGGGCATCACGCAAAGAGGAAATGGAAAGCTCCTTGGAATCAAACTTGAACATGAACTTGAACATGAACTTGAACCTGAACTTGAACCTGAACTTGAACTTGAAGGACATGACCAAGGGTAGAGGTTGGCGCGCACGCTTGGTAAGGGCACCTCGGCAGCCTTGGTCCTTCGGTGCAAACGTGAGCGGAATACCAAGGGCCCAATACATGATAATACAAGTATTTATGGTTTTCTTGGGCCTCAAGATTGATATTGTGTCGCTATTTGGACAGGTACTTCATGTGGATGATGCATCAAAGATAAGCCCCTTTTACTTGTGCGCCCTATCGTGAACCAGCAGTTGAGAAGAAGCACCGGATGCTTAGAAGCTTCGGTTCATTCCGAAAGCGCCTCTCAGCCTACATTTTGTCAGGCTGCCAGAACGCTGGCCGGCTTCAGCACAAGTCAGAATGTGGAAAGCTGAACCCCAACCCTTTCGCCACCGCTTAATTGCATTCTGAAGAACTTTCTCTGTAAGAAGAATCATCGAGATCCTCGCGCTGCTAGACACGTTCTTCGTCCTCAACGTAAGCCTTCTCGTCACTGTCTTCAAGTTGCTCCTCAGGTGTCGGTGCTCGACGACGCTTCTTCAGCGGTGGGCTTGGTTCCGGCTTTTTTGATTTGGTGATCTTCGCAACGGCTTCCCCTCTTTCAAGGAACTGGTACAGCTCCTCGCAAGACACGAAGATGTCTCTGTCTATGTCATTGAACTGTCGGCACGTTTCCTGGTCTGCAAAGTCTTCCAGGCAAAGATGTAAACCGGCATTTTGGTCAATATTTGGCGTACCATCATCGTGTCGGAATATCTACCCCATGTCAGCTTCCGTGAAGTAGTAGACTCAGCTAAACTTACCTGGTTCGCTACTACAGCTTCGGCAACCCAAGCTTTGTCATCGTCTGGACCCCGTAATCTAGCCCGCCAGATAGAGAAAGTAGCCCGTTTGCTCCTGCGGTAGTCGAGATCCACTCCAATGAGAACACCGATCTTGAGATCGGAACCGAGAATATATTCGTCTGCGAGGGTTCTCAGATCCTTTCTATTCTGTGAATAAGCCACCTCAATAACGACATTCGGATCTGGCGACTTAGAATGCTGGAAGGCCCCGTCTGGACAGTGGGTCCCATATTCTGGGTCCCGAGATGTTATTGTTACAGATCCCACATCTAGAATATCCTTTGCAAATTCCGCAGCCGACCCAGACCCGTGCGAGAATGTACGTAGATGCTCGGTGATACGTGAAGAAAGGCTGCGTGAGAAATGCTCATGCTCTATCTCAGGCACACGTAAGACGAGCCTCTCGATCGAAGGAAAATAATCAAACCTGTGCTTCGACATCAGCGTGACAACACCGTTGACCTGGTGAACGGATCTGGCATACCGTAGCTTATCATCGTGCAGCAGGTCTGAACTCACCGCAGTCCACACTGTCTTGTCGACCTTGTATATTGCCTGGCCCCGATAACTAGACTTGTGTTCTGCGATTTGTCGAAGAATGTAGCTTTTGTCACACGCCGTCTTCTCGTCTGTAGGAGGAGGGGTGAGAGGAGGACCGTGGAAGCTCGAAGGAGGAGTGATCTCGTCACTACCGCCGTGCGCCGGTACGCTCATCGCTAACCACGGTCGATCTGGCCGACGACGACGACGACGCTGTCGGTAAAGGTTGTTGGTACTCAAGTCACAGGCTCGGCAAGCAACAACGCGACTTCCACCACTTTGAAAGCCAAGACTGCCCGGTTAATTTTCGGCTGTCACCCCGGACGCAATGACGTCATTTCGTTCGTGTCTGCGTGCACGTTCTCACGTGACAGAAATCGGGCACTAGCCTAACGACGTTGAAGTTTTCCCCATCAAATGTGCGCGACTAGGTGAAACACTCCGAAACAAGCATTTAGCGTAATAATAGTACAAGGCTTACAGGCGAGGCTGACGGTCGGAGATGGAGATGGAGGTAGTTACAGGCCAACGGCGTTTCCGGGCCAACTCCACCTTGTTCTCGACACTTCAAAAACTGCTACCAACAATGCCTCATCAATTCTACCGCAGGCCGTTCCGCAGTAACCAAAATGCCATCATCTTCTGGTCCTCTTACGCACGCCACTGCTGCCTACGATCTTGAGGAAGTCCAATTCTTACTCGAATCGGACTCTGTGGATGTAACCCAGACTGAGGTCGCCGCCGACCGGGTCAATGCTATGAGCACGGCAATTGAAAAGAACTATCTGTTGATTGTGGATCTTTTCCTAGCGAAGGGTATCAAACCAACAGGATGGGATATCATCAGTGCCATCAAACGGCGATCGTACGCGTTGCTGGAACTTCTACTGTCGGACGGGTACGATATCAATACATATGTACGGGATGACTGGCCTCCTCCTCTGGCGTAAGACGGCTCTCTGTGGGGTTTTCCAGATCCTAACACACATAGCGACGCATTATTCGATCCGCTCCTCGTTAAATGGCTCATCGACCACGGTGCCAATCCAAATGCTCGATGCAGCTATGATATTACACCATTATCGATTGCAGTCCGGGAAGGGTCAAGACATGTTATTGAGATGTTATTGGAGCTCGGCGCTTCCATCAAATACGGTCAGCCACTGCATTACGCTGTCAGGGCTAATCGGGAGAATGACATCATTGAACTCCTTCTGAGAAAGGGTGCTTCGCCAAATAAGATCATGTTTGAGGATCACCTGGTGTCGTTCCTTCAGTTCCAATGCCTCGGCCTTGGGACACCGCTGCATGAAGCCGCCTCCCAGAAGAACGACGCCTTGATACAACTTCTTCTGAGACACGGAGCGGATTCAAAGATTAGAAATACTCTTGGGGAGTTACCCCACGTCACACGGCTTCCCTTCGATGCTGCTCTCTGAATCACCAAAGACACTATTACAATGGCGCGAAACAGCCATCTGGCGGGTCTGCCATGGACAGATATGGCTACTAGACATGAATGATGCTGGCGTTGGTTCTACAAAGGATGGAACCGATCGAGAGGGCCGCAAGAGATCGTGTGCTAATGCCTTCGCCCACGAGATTCAGAAAACTTGAACCCACGACTGCGTTTCTCACTTTGGCATGAGGCTTAAGGGCTCCCTGACCGCGGACCTTAGTGATGACCAGCCCGTGAGTCAAAACCGGTGTGACGGAGATCAACGATGGTGCATAAGCCTTGGGGCGTGGACCGGTGGTGCATGGTGCATGGTACCTAATGCAGTGTCTTCACACACCAGAAGCATTCGGGGAGAGGGAGGTTGGACATCCAGCCTCAGTGCACCTTCCGTGAGGGTCCAAGGCGCAAGCGGGCGTGCCTTAGGATGGTGTCGCTCTCCTGCCCACAGAGATGTGAATCACACCGCAATTTGTTCCAGGTGATGGGCCCATGCTCGACCAGCATCAGTAAATGCAGGTCTAAGTACATTCCAAACGGCAAGACGATATTTACCCCTCCTGAAACGCACCAAACCCCGAACCAACGGCCGACAGTATTGACTAGCCGACTACAAGCACTCAGTCTCGTTCTACAGCATTACGCCTACGCAGCGCATCAAATCCAGCCGTGGCTACCTCCCTAGTTATGTCGCTCAAAGCTGCCCAGGAAAGGAATCTGAAACGAAAGAGCGAAGAAGAACTAAGGCAGCCAAAAGGGGAGGAGGAGGAGGAGGACCGTGAAGGACAATTTCAGATCGAGGCGATGCTGAGAGAGCTGCGAATTCAACGATCATCCGGCCAGAAGGATTATGTTGTAAAGTCGGTCCGTCGGAGGAGAGGCCCATTTTGTTGTCACTGCCAACAGGAATGTGCAATTAGAGGGAACAAAGACGGAGGCGAATGCACGAACTGCGGTCACGATCGGTGCATCGAATGTTTGGCCGGCAAGCCGACAAAAAAAGGAAAGGGAAAGGGAAAGGGAACGGAACGTCAAGCTAATAATTCCCAACTCTCCTCGCCCGCGGTTTCAGAGAATCTAAGCTGAGCGATGACGACTAGAGAAGTCAAATAGTTAGGATGTGCTTGGTTTCCATTCGCTACTCTCCTGCCCTTGCCTTGGAAGCTGCCGCAAGTCGCATTTAGGCTTCCTCGAGCTTCCGCAGCGGAGGAATCCTCGCATCCAGGCCAGCCGGCTTTCAAAAGGAGACGTATCAACGGTGGCGTAGAGTTCTTGGTGTTGAGAAATGAGGTGTTGAAATGGCGCCCCAGCATTGTCGGGATTTTTGTTGGAAACGGTGTAGTAACCTGCACCAATGCGCTGTGCGAATGCCTCGCCCTCCTCATCATAGACCTTCCTCGGTTCAATGTCAGTTTTCGTCCCGACCAGGACGATGAGGATTCCTCGACGGCTAATCCAGGCCAGAAAGTTTTGCAGCCCCCGGGCGTATGTGAAGGAGACTTTCGACCGAGTGCTGAAGACGAATATTATAGCATCGAAGTTTTCAAACTTGCCAGGGTGAAGCTGAGAACTGCAATCAGTGATGATGAGTTCCAACCGCCCTGAATCGGTGACAATCTCTTTTCGATATGTGGCCTTAACTGTGGCCACATGCCGATCGGGGAAATGGCCCATAACATACTGCGCGCGTATACAGGGGTTACCACGAGTCCCAGCAGCATCGACGGGATTTTACCTGAAGGCACGGGGCTGTTTTCCCTACGGCGGCGTACCCTACCACTGCCACGTTAAGCTTCTGTATCGGCATCGCAGGAGTCACGGGCGGTGAAGAAGTGAGGCGTGAGGAAGGGCGAAAATGGGTTGGGAAGAGCCGGTCTGCTGCGAGGCAACCATATTGAGGACTTTCCGCATTTTTATGCACCTCACCCTGTGTCCGTGTCGCTAAGTTGCTACATGCTTGCCTCAAGAACAGATGCCAGGCTTGATTATTGAAGGTGGTCTCGCGATTCGCGCTCCCCGGTAGAGCGTGTGCGTCGTCGACTTCGGTATTCATCCCTGGTCTAGATCCGTGTGGCGTTGGAAATCGGTAGCTGGGAAAGGGCCGTCCACTTGAAGGGTTACCATGAAAGGGCTCTCGCTTATTTGGTCGACTAACGTCTAGATTAACTATGATTTGAGACTAGTCAAGGAGTGGAGCTTGCTACGACAGGGAGAGCTGCCGAGTACTTCATACACTCTACAGGTCCACACGAGGCCATATAAGTCCACACGAGTCCAGGTAAGTCCACATGAGGCCACACGAGTCTAGATAAGTCCACAGGAGTCCACACTAGTCTACACGAGTCCATACTAGTCCACCCCAGTCCACCCCAGTCCACCCCAGTCCGTTCGAGTCCGTATCAATCTTTTTGAGTCTTTTTCGAGTTCATTTGGCCTATGGACCTATGGACTTGGGTATTTACTGGTTAGCTAAAGTCGTTGGCGAAGGGCGCTAGATCTCTAGCACCCTATAACGTATCGATTGGCTCCGAGAGTGACAGAGATATACTGCTAGGTGTATAATAATAATGTGATGGGTATCGGTATCTAAACTAGGCGATTGCTATGACGACTAGAATTCCCCTGGAATCTCTCCAACGACAAGCTGCAATCCCGAGGTCCGATATGACCTGTCAGCCCATTAATAGGAATAGCCACTTGTCGAGTTCGATGTGCAGACGTGAAGAGAGTTGTTCCAGACAAAGTAACCGCTCAAGCTGCCTCCACGGGATGAACATGGGTTGTACCGGAGTTTTTGAGAAGCGGAAGTCGAGAGTCACTCCTTTTGGCTCTACGACGCACAGATATCGAGTTGACTGATAGTACTCCTCGTGGTCTTTTGATGAGATCAGTACTGGCTTTCTCCAGAACGTCAGCAAAATGTACGAGATATACATCTTTCCCAAAGCTTCCATTGTGTTGGTGGATTGGGAATGTTGTTGATGTTGTAGGAGGCACTGAACCTCCTGTTCTAATAGATTCTGAAGGGCATCATAAGCTTTTGCAGCGGAATTGTCAGCTGTGTAGCTATCTCCCTGCTCCAAAAGATGGTATTGAAGCCCCAAAGAGAGTTGGACGAGTTGATCCGTGATTGGCAGGTACCATTCGGCCAGCTTTTTCAAAGCCTGTGCAGCCGCCAGGTCGATAGTCGTGTCGAATTCCAGGCAGGCAACCTCCCTGACAGCGTTCAATTCTCCAAAAGGCGGTTGAAGATAAAGTATGTTACCCTGTGCGTCCACTTCAGTGTGCACGGGGTCATGGTTGATTGGTGTCGATGTGATGATGGGAATTGAGAGGGAGGTCAGCTCTCTGGTGATACGGCAGGCGGAGGGTCAAAACCTGGAGAGCCAACCATCGACTTGATCGAATAGTATGCCTTTGAGGGCCGAGATTCCCCCTCCATGTTTGTATGAACAGCCCGAGGAGGAATTGTTCCCGGGTGAATGGCCAAGATGTCTCTCACCAGCCGCCACTGTTCTTCATATAATGAAACGCAGGTCCAAGGCTGCGATCCAACAGGGCGGAACGTGTAGTTATATAGCTCTCTGCCTAAGTCAAGGCCGAACACGCCTTACCTTGAGCCTTGCGTCTAACAAGCATGTCTCCAAGCTACGTCTGCAGCCATGATGAGACGGGGATTACCATTTATGGGAGCTGGCTTGCCGCGGCCGCCTTGCACTTGCACAGAAATTCCTCCCAGGAAGGTGCAATCTGACTGAGTGATTGGCTGTAATTCTTACACAAAACCGGTGAGGATTCAATGGACACACACTTGGTTGCCCCGCGTGTGAGTTAGCGCTGGCAGCCATTTCGAATACCTTCATATGCGTTTAATATCCCCGAGAAATATATTCCACCCCTAATTCTTCTTTTGAGTTCACCTTTCGGAAATCGACGTCACGTGCCCATCAACTGGTTTCCCCGCCTACCATGTACGAGGGCGCGCGCCAAAAGTACCTAGGTACCTAGCGAGGAGGTATGCGATGGAGAGTCTTCAGTGTAGGTGCCTCTCGGCGCAACCTGCGGGGTGGAAAAGTCGGTCACATCTGGCTCCGAACCGGAATCGGGCCAACCTTGCGAATGCCCCGCTGATGACTACCTACCTAGGTAGGTAACCTACTCGCTAGGTGTATAGTCAGGCGTCCTGAGTCGACTATAACAGGCTAGTGACTATAGTCTCGACGTGGCTCGCGAAGGAAACAGGCGCTGAAGAGCTTATCACTGCACCCGCAACTCAAGCGTCGATCCCTGTCTGCCACCAATCATACACAAAATGCTGTCCTTGCGGGCCGGATGCCCGGTGTGTGCGACGGGGTATTGGACAGGAGCAGGACAGCCCACGGCCCCGGGCCCGGACCCCTCTTAAAGAGCTCCTCCGGCCTGATCGAAACCCCTCAACCACACCTACACCTCCATTGTGTACCAAAGCGGGCCTGAAAACAAAGAGATAAAGAGGCAGCTCTATCCAGCCCTGCCGCTGTCGCTATCCTTCGTTCCTGGAAAACAGAGAGAGAGAACACCAATCAAACATGTCCTGTCCCGACTGCTTTCGCGGCGCTGTGCACGACCACTCGGAGCCCACGGGCAAGATCGAGACCGTCCATGGGATCACGACCTACGTGGCCGGCGGCAGTGACCCATCACGCTCCAAATCCGCCATCATTTACTTGCCTGACGCCTTCTCCTTGAAGTTGGTCAACAACAAGATCCTGGCCGACAAGTATGCCTCAGTCACGGGATGCAAGGTCTTGATCCCGGACGTCGTCTACAGCGGGGGAATGCCCGTGTCCGTGTTGGACAAGATGGAGTCGGTGATGGGCACTTCGTTGAGCATCACAAACTTCTTGCCCAAGGCGTACACGGTCCTGACGCTCCTCCCCTTGGCCATCCCGTTCATGCTCTGGGGCCACCCCAAGAACCCGTACCCCAACATCCTCAAATACGCGCGCGACGTGCGCGCCGAGCTTCCCCCCGGTGGGAAACTGGGCGTCGCGGGATTCTGCTGGGGCGCCTGGCCCGCCACAAAGCTGTGCACGGAACCCGCCGTCGCGGGCGGCAGTGAGCGTCTCATCGACGCGCAATTCAACGGGCACCCGTCGTACATCATCAAGGAACCACACATGGTCGTGGACGCCGTCAAGGCGTTCAAGACTCCCTATTCCTCCGCGATCGCCGAGAAGGATTTCCAGTTCAACGCCGAGGTCGCGACAAAAACCGAGGCTCAGCTCCGCGAAGCTCTGGGGGGGAGTAAAGGGGACGGTGAGGGCGGGTATAACTACGAGTTCCGCATCTACAAGGGCGCCACGCACGGGTTCTGCGTCAAGGCCCGCGAGGAGGATATGCAGAATTACCACGACGCGGCGAAGCAGGCGACGGATTGGTTCAATAAGTATCTCAACTGAACGTGACTGAGATTTTTCAAAAGTGTGTTGAACAAAAGGGCAGAAGTGGGTGCGGTGAGAGAGGGAGAGACGGACGTGATTCCGGCCCACCGACGAGTGGAACGTCTCTCATGCAGAAGAGGCCCGGGGGATTTGTGCATAGGGTGAACTGTGTCCACAAGAGTCCATCTCGGCGACCAAAGAGGCCCCTCGAATGGAAGAAGCGGACCGAAAGGGGGGAGTTTCTACCTACAGAAACGAGCCTGAGATCGACCACGACACCGGCACTGCAATCGTGATAATTACCGGGGGTGTTGGTTTTCTCATTTATTTGGAATTCCCTCTCCTTCTGCTTGTTTACGCGCTCAAACCACCATGACACACGCTCGCAGGATAAAATGGATGATGGATATTTGAAGAACGCAGCTCGATCAACCCGCACAACACAAAACACAAATAAATATTTTCCAATGTCATGCCTTGTTTTTCTCTCTCTCCCCTGTTCCCTGACCCTTTTTTCTACCCCTGTCCTTTATCTCTGTAATACTTTCGAATCATATCGACACGGGAGCCTCCGTCCCCCATATTATCTTCTTCGTGGTCCCTCGGCCGGCCTTGGGCAGGAACATACATACTACGAGGCTGAAGAGGACGAGTCAACGACAGCGGACGGAATGGGCTACATAATGACACATAGGCATTACCTCGTAGGTGAATACAAACAACCCTGGAAGACGGCGGTCGTTCTCGCGGCTGAGCAGGGAGGTTCAATCAATCAATCAATCAATCGATCGGTGTAAAACCCAGAAGTGGCAGAGGCCGCCGCCCATGCTAGATCCATTGTTTATCCCCAGCCAAAGCCGGCAGACTCATTTTGTTTCTTGCTAGATGACATGTGTTCCTAGATCCATGTATTGGTGTTCTTCTTCCTCGTCATGGTGAATCCAATGCAACATGACCCCTGTCGCCGCACGCGCCGTAGTCTCGTAAAGGCATAATATACACAAACACTCCGTCAAAAGATGTACACCACTCAGCGCCTACCGAATTAGAAATCCTCCTCATGCAAAACTCCAATATATGCTTCATATTCGGGCAGTCTCGCCGGCAATCTGGCCATACCATTTCTCATGACACTTCCAGTCCACCGACCGAACACGGTCGAGGGTATCCACCAGCCGGTTCACCTCCTCCAGGAACTCGGGCATGCCTGCGCGTGCTAGAACTTCGCCCGCACCTGTCGTAGTCCGCACTCTCTCGGCCGTGCTAGCAGCCGAAAGTCGAGCGAAGACATGTTCACGCAGTGTCTTGAGAAGGAAACTCGCAATCTGCTCGCTGAATACGTCCGCGTTGGTTGTCTCGGGGAGCTCGTTCATTGTTTGGTTAAGGCTTGCATCCTGCTGCGCTTGCACAGCTACATCGAGGTTTCTCGTTGCAGCTACGGCGCTAGGCAGAACTCGCCCAACGAAGTTGGCCAGACCTTCTTTGGTCGATTCCGGCATCATGTGGGATGATTCGATCAGGGAGACGACCCTGCTGGCGTCGATTTTCAAGAGATCCAAACCCATCAGCCGTTCTGCATCTTTTGCCCACAGAGACTCCCTGTTGCGCCTGAGTCGGATCTTGGTGGTCAGCAGAATTGCCGAAATGGCCACGAAGTGGAAAACGCGAGCTCTGAGTTTGAGCAGGCGAATATAGTCAAGCTGCAGTGTCTCGGGAATGTCGCGATGGCTCAGATGTGAGTTGCGCAACACCAGGTCGGTCAGACCTCTGGCATACACCACAGACGCGCTCACGGTCTGAGACGCAACGTTCGACTTCGCCTGTGCCCACCAGTCCCTAGTCCTCGCCAGTGTGTGGACACCTTGCTCAAGATCCCTTCCGAACGATGCAATTTCGTGCTCGTGACCGTGTTCCAGCACCGCCTGGCTGGCTAGTCTGAATTGGAAGTTGATGTGATCCAAACTCATCAAATCGATAATATTGATGAGCTCGAAAAGACGGTCGACCGTGTCACTGGTCGAGTTGGCGCCAAAGGCACTCACGATCTCGTCTCGGCCTGGAGAACAGATCTGCGCAATCAAGCCGGCGATGGTCTTAAAAAAGGAGTCGTACGAGAACATGCCGTTCCGACACTGTTGACTGATCAAAGCTGGGTCCAGAAAGCCGTCAATCGTGGCGTAAAGAGGATGTCGTGGACTGATGAGTAACATCAACTTCTCTCGAATGAGGCCTGCCATGGAATGAGTCCACCTTGCCGTAGCCTCTCTGTCTCCGTCCCGTAGGTCAGCACGCATGCTTTTCCGTAAGGAGTCCATCAAGCCTTGACGCGCATCCGTCCAAGGTTGTTGTTGTACCTCAAAACTCCCATTGATCAGTATCTCGTGCGCAATCTCCCGATTGGACGGCAGCAGGGTCATCATTTGCGAGAGACTGTCGGGAAAAGCTGTAACTCTCGCCCCCTGATCCGACCGACCGGTCCGCGGTGTGGCAGGAGGCGTCATCAGAGTTCCCTCTGCCGCATTCGACGCTTCGGCAGCAGGTGTAGAGGCTCGTGGGACTTGTTCCGTTCCCTTCGGTCGCTTCTCTGCCGCTCTTTGCTTGCGAGCCCTTCTGACTGCTGTACGAACTCTCGACAGCGCCTCCTCAGGCCCCGCAAGCCGCTTCAGCCGAGCAAGTAGTTTAACCTGCTCTTGTCGGACCGCGTCAAGATAGTCCTCGGCAACGTGGCCGTGATGATCGTCTTTGGTGGCCTGCAGGATCAGATCCAAGTTGACAAATGAATTGACCATGATGTCCACGAGAACACCCAGATCCCCACTTTTCCACGCGTCGAATGTCGAGGTGAAGTCGTTCAAGGCAAAGGCAAATGCCTCGACCCGAGCCTGCGACAACGTCGGCTGCGGCTGCGGCTGCGGCGTCATCATGGCACCGATACAAGATTCAAAAGTTTCGATCAGCGAGCGGGATTTTGTCATGAGCTCTTGCTCCTGAGGTTGACTTCCACCATGACTGAAAGCTTGTATCGGATGTGTGAGGATCAGATATGCACTCAGGAAAACCCGGACGACGCTCGTGTCTTCTTGGCCATTGTCAAGGACGCCTACGTGTCTGAGCATCGCCGTCGTCGCAGCGGTGGTCCGTTGGTCGGAAATAAATTGGGTCAGTTCTTCGAAGGAGAGCGCCTTGGCTCGCTGCAGGTCGAGTCCCAGAGCCGAGAAGTCGGAGAGGACCTTGCGCGTGTGGTAACGCCGCCAGGATCGCTGAATGACTTTTGCAGCATAGACACGGTTCAGGCGCTTCAACACTGTCGGGGCGACTTTCTTCTCCTCCACCGCCGCCAGTGAAGTTGTCCTAGACCGCCGTGCGCCTTGCTGGTACATGGACCTCCGTCTGTCGGCCTCGGCGTACTTCTCAGCCATCTCTTCCTTGAGCCTGGCCAATTCAGCGGCCTTCTTCTCCTTGGTCTCCTCGGCAATCTTTTTGGCCCGCTTTACTTCTTCCTCGCAGCGGGCTGCGATCTCCGCGAGCAATTTTTCCCGGGCTGCCTGCGCCGCCAAAGCCTTCTCCTCGTTGTATGACGCCCTTTGCGCCGCTTTGGCAGCAGCAGCCCGGAGCCGGACCTGTTCAGCATGGGCAGCGCGATCCGCGAGGCGAGCCTTTCGACTCTCAATAATGGAAGCGCGTCGCAGATGTTGTGCGATATGCGTGCTGCGGGGACCGCCATGACTCGACAACGCGGAGGAATGAGAGTGGATTGACGACAGCGAGCTTCGACGAGACGAGTTGGCAGAGGATTTTCGACGCACCGAGGGTTTGCGGTGGAAACGGGCAGCTACATGGGGCGGAGGTTCGGTATACGACGGTGGTTCATCGGTGCCAAAGTTCATCTCGACATCTTCGGAGGTTGGAGTCGTCGGCTCCATGCTGGGCACGCGACGACCGCTGGTATTGTCCGAGACGAGGTTCAATGAAGAGACCAGCAACGACCCTGAATCGAAATGGTACAAATTGTCAAGGTTGAACAAAAGGCTCAAGGCGTGGTGTAACTCGGGCTGACTCTCAGAGCAGCCGGGAACGTCGTGCGAACAACGCACAACAAAGAAAATCTATACAAGAAGGGAAATGTTCGCAGAAGAGCAGAAGAGCAGAAGAGAGCGTCGGAAGAAGATGACTCAAGACTCAAGGAAATGCTCAAGAGGCGACAAGGTGGGAGGCTGGGAGAGAATGGAGGGGGAACATGGGAAAGTTTGTGCCAGTGTGCCATTTGGGAATGACGAAGCCATGGTTTGTAGTTTGCCGCAGCTGTGGCTAGCAGTGGTACCTACCAGGTACTTAGGTACCTGGTAGGTAGGCTGTACGGAGTACGAGGCGAGGTACCTTGTAGGTACTCGGTAGTAGGCTGCGGGTGGTGCTGGAACCTGCCAGCATCGTCGGCCAGTCGGCATTCTGTGCGGCACGGAGCCACTAGTGGCGCTATGCCTAGAATCCAGGCGCCTGGCTGGCAGTGGCTGCCCATTGTTAGCCCATTGGCCCCTAAGTTCCCCCAGCCTCGCCTCAACAGCACCCCGGAGCTCGGCAAACGACCGCTAAGAGAGAGTTTGAGGAATTGTCCATTGTGCCTTCTCCACCCCTCTGACACCAGTCAAATGTCTACCTCGTCCAGCTGCTATCTTGAAATCGAGCGCACCTTCTCAGATCCAGAGGTAGATTCCTCCTGCTCCCGTCTGAATTCTCGATTTAATTAGATTGTACCCGACTCCGCACGAACCGAGACACTCTCAATCCCTCTCTTTACTCCCTGTTCTTCATCGAATCCAGTATGCCTCGGGCATCGACGAAGTCAAACTCTTCCAGTGTCTCTCTCCACACTTGCTCGATTAGCTGTTTGCCATGCGGGGTGTACAAGACTGGGGCGAATCTAGAGAGAACAATGCCTGCGTCAACAGTCTTTTCCCATGCACATGGGCACGAAAGAGACGGGAAGAGTCATGCACTTACGGCCGGATTTGCCAGTCTGCGAGGTAACACCCATGGGACTCTTTGCCCTTCGAGATTACGGCGTCAAGATACGTCGACGCGCCACGTGCTGTACTTCTGCCTGTCGCCGCACCCAAGAGCCAGGTAACCACCGCTCCGATCCCAGTGACTTGACGCGCAAGCTGGGTTCCTTTGACATAGCCAGGGTCCACCAGGTTCACAACCACGTCGTTGGCCGAGACCTTGTCCTGAAGCTGGTATAGGAACATATGCGCGAGGAGCTTGGAGACGGAATAATTGGTCATGGGATTGAACTTGTCGGGCTCGTCGAGAGCCTTGAAAACTCCTTGCTCACTTGGTGGAATCTTCGCAACAAGAGCCAGCCCAGAGCTTACAATCGAGAGACGACCTGGGACGTTGGGCGGAGATTTCTGTTTCAGAACCGGTAGGAGGAGGATGGCAAGGAGTATCGTCGAAAGGTAATTGACCTGCATCATTGCTTCGTGTCCCGTACTCGCGTTCACTTCGAGGTGAGGGTTGCCCACCCCGGCGTTGAGAATGACCAAGTCCAAACGGGTCAGTTCGCTTCCCGCCCGTTTGGCAAAAGCTTCAACGGACTGGTACGAAGACATATCCAAGGGCCAGACCTTGATGATTGCTTTCGGATACTGTTTGGACAGCCTGGCAGCTGCCCCTTGGCCCTTTTGAACGGTCCGGACGGCGAGGACCAGGTCAGAGAGGTTGAAAGACAGCAGTTGGCAGGCGGCCTCGAATCCAAGACCAATATTGGATCCTGTGACGATCGCGACTGATGTGCTCTCAAAGGTCATATCAGCACACGGGTCTTCACACGGATATAAAGGCTCACAGTCCAGATCGCCGGGTGTGTGATCGTGGAGGACATACCTTTGCCGGAGAGATTGGTCCCGTCCGGAAATTGTGGAGGTTTGGTGCAGAATTGAGACTTGAAGAAGATCCTCATGTAGCTCTCCGTCAAGGGAGGAAGGTCCTTGGAAGAGGCCATCGTGCCCAGTACCAGGCTGTCTCGTCGGAGTCCGCAAAACGGTGAACATGGTGCATGGACTACCAGGACCATTCGATGACATTATATAGGGGTTCCCGTCACGGTCCCCTTTCCTGCTCCCACAAGTTCCCTGTCGGAAGGAGTTTCACGGCAATAAAGCGCAAGCGGAGGTAAGTGACCGGACTCCGTTCTGGATGTACGCTAATAGCATGAGCGCAGAGATTTCGTGAGAGGGAATGCTCTCTCGGGAGTATTGACGGACGACAAAGGCTCTCTCGTCTTTGGTAACTAGACTTTGAGAGAAGGCGCCATACCCAGACCGGCAAACAATCTCAAGCGGAGTAGACCGGAGTAGAAAGGGCGCTGCCGGAGCTCGAGATTTTGGAACGGCGCCGAAGCTGTCCGTGCAAAAGCCTGTGTGGTCTGGCTTTGAGCAATGTCTGCTTTGCATCGAGGTTCTCGCTGTCCCCGCTGGCCATGCTGTCGCCTTCGTTGCTTACTCTAGCCGGTAATGGCAAACAATCCAACAGGCTGAGCCAACCAAAGAGCCAGCAGCAACCCTCTGCTCTTGACAAGAACTATCGTCCCATTGTGGACCCCCGGCCTTCGCCATCGATCGATTTGGTCAGCTTCGAGGACTCTGTCATTCCGAGTGATTGCAGGAACCTCCTTACTGATCCAGCAATACTACGCCAGGACAATCGGAACGTCAAGTTTCTCACTTGGTCGGAACAGACACTGTCTCCGGAGACTTTCCGGTTGAACCTACCATACGTGGGCCTTGTACCTTTCTCTTGACCGGCAGGTGGGAGGCCACGATCGGGTTCCCGAACCAGAAAGAGGCCACTGTGGTGCCAGGACAGAACTTCAGCGTGAGTGGACGTGTGGCATCCGACCGTGCCAGACTCTCAGCCCGTGGTGATAGTGTTGTACTATCAGCCTGGTTGGGGGTTTTAGTGTGCTGAGCACGTCTCCATAGGCTCCTTGAAAGGGCAGGTCAGGACCTCCCTTCGCCAACCGCCCATCTGAGATGGCCCTGGGCGGAAATGGCAAAAGGCTTTCAACGAGCAGAGAACAGCCTTCTCCTGGATTGTGTCACGCTGCTCCAGATCTTGTCGCTCTGGAAGTCTTTGCGACGTGGCCATTTCGCCGTCTCGTCTAGTATTGGGCGTGTGATTTGGACGGCGGCGTTGTTGACGAGGATGTGGATCTCTGCTCCAAGGTGCGAGATCGAGTCAGGAGATTGAAACACCGCTTAGCGAGGTGCAACAGCGACGCGTGATCCAGAAGCTCCAGGATCCCAAGGCGGCGGTGATCCAACTGCTCTTCATCCCGGAGGAAGTCTGTAGGTGGTTGGGGTGGACAAGCAATACACGAGTCGAATGTGATGAACGGGTCGTCGGCTGTTGACATCTCGTACGCTCCTTGCTTCGAAGATGCTAGCCGATCGACTCATGTCAATGAACTCCTGGGGACTCCGAAGCAGAAGGAGAATCTTACCGACTTCATCTCGGCGTCCTCCGTTCTGTCACTGAACCTTGGTCGAATCGACTGCAGATCCCATGAACCCTGGAGCTTGAAAGAGTTCATCAAGGAACAGCCAGCACGTCAAACCCCAACGACTCTCGGCGAAACTCATGGCCTCTGCGTCCCTGGTCACGATTGAGCACTGACTCGTGCTGGTACAGTGCAGGAAATCCACCCCAGTCCCAAGGAGATCACTGATGCTCACGTCCGGGTGGCCTTTCCCCCAAGGACGACAAGTGCCAGCAGTGGGCCTCAGATTCGCCTCCTTCCCTTTACACGGTGGGGAATTGCTTTCATCCATACTTGTGTGGACAACCAAAGGAGCATTTGACCAGGATCCTTGGACCTCTTTGCATGTCGGGCTTTGCTTCAGAGGAGAGTGAGCCGCTTCAGTCGCTCTTGTCTTACCTGGATGCGGCAGTAGACCTAGGGATGCGACTATTTGGGACAGTAAGGCCGAAAAGTCCACCGATCGTTGACGGCATAACTCTTTCTATCTACTAGCGCGATGGGAGGACTTTTCTGATTGCACACGAACCCCTCTCTCGACGTCCTGGGACCTGACTCTTGAGTGCGGAAGCTCTGCCCCTGGTTTCACCATCTCTTTGCTGCCCACCTTTTCCTGCTGTCACTGGAGGGCTTGACAGGTGACGGCGGATTCAACTAGGTACACCTCCAGGATGTTCCCAGAGTCTTAGACTTGAGAAGAGGAGCAGCGTCTGCCACACCTTGCCAGAGACTTGCCAGAAGCATCCGGGTGTGCATTGCTTTCTCGACGCTGGCTCGCGCATGTTTCCTGGTCACCACACGACTCTTGAGGGTTTGCAAAGGTGATGATAGCATGGCCCATCTTAGTAGCGCAATCCGTGATTGTGTCGACTGGCCCTTCACATGGACATCCCGCAGCAACCGGCAAAAACTACCGTACACCAAAGGTCGACACAATGCGGGACGACGCCCACCGCGACCTGGGAAGTGCCGGAAGGTTGAGAGGAGATATCCACACTGACCGCCGATTCTGGACTGCCCCCCTGACACCATGGATTCAGTTATGCATTCATCTTCTCTGCCCAAGCTTTGAGACTGACCCTGGCAGCGATGCAGTTGAGCTGGGTCTGTTAGCGTCCTTGGTCGCTATCCTATCGTTGCGGAGTCTCAGGCTGTGCCAGAGACTGACATCTGTGGTCTCCTTGCCACAAAAGTTAAAAATTGCCATTTCCCATCGCCTACGGTGGGGACTTTGAACTATTTCGGCCTCACGCTATCTCGCAAGAATGAGCTAAGGCCTTGCTGCGAGCGAAATCCCGATCTTGGTGGGGATCGAAGATGGCTGCGACTTCGAACCTTGCTCGGGGATCGGCCATTTCGATGAGAAGCACCCTGGCCAGCAAGGGCGTCTTTGGTCGCCAGAAGAGCAACGCTTGCAAGTATCGGACTTGCTCAGGTCGCTTCCAGAGATCTCCACAAGACAGAGGCGCTCCCGGGGAAGGACTGAAAAAAGCTCGATCAAGTCGCCACACCTCTTTCAGCTCACTCCAACTCGGGCTGTTCCAGGGAAACAACAAGCGAGATCTCCACACTACTGCTGCAGCCTGCAATGCCTCCTCTCCAGCATGTGACCTGTCACATTGAAGTCAGTCGCAGGAAGAGACCTTGCAACGTCTCTCGTCTATTGGTCGTGGCGTTCTGCCAGCTGCTGCATTTTGAGTTTTCTAGGTCTTTGCGAGTCTGGGATTGTTTGAAAGAAATCAGCCCCCAGGTTTCGTTGATTGCCCACGCTCAGGACGCTCGACCACATGGAAAATTAGCCAACGGCCCGCCAGGCTTGATCACAGCGATCGTGGGGGACCTTGCAAGTGCCTGTGCTACCGGGGAGCTTGAGTTGCATCCGCGCGTCAATGGGCGACCGTCGACCACAACGCAAGCTTCATCCCAGGATTTAGCGTCGTGGCCGCTTCGTATCTTGAGCGAAAAAGTCCCGCTTGGCCTTGTTGAAATTTCGTATCTCATGTCCAGGGGGGAGGCAGCCCGTGTCAACTGGACGGGGTGGTGGCTTTTATGAAACCCCCTCCTTTTTCCCTTGCTGTCAATGCACCAACTCAACACGAGAAAGTCGGTGGTTGGATCTGCCTCTCATAGCCCGCCAAAGGGACCCGCGCCAAGTGTCTTCGAAGCGGACGTATCGACGAATGAAACGGGCGATAGGGACGCCACCAACGTTCGAGATCCAACTTGCAGCCGGTTCGCCCGTCTCTCTCGCGCAGGCTACCACGATCCGAGATTTGCAGGGCTTTCCTGGAAGCTGCCGACCTCTTCGTGAAAGGGGATAGCGGAGACCTTTGACGACCTGCAAGCGCACTAGGGAATCCCAGCCCATCCTATGAAGGGCGAGTCTGCACACCACCAATGCTCATTCTTTCCAAAGTAGGGAATTCCAATGCCTACACCTGCAGACCTGCGGGAGGGGATTGACTATGGAGTGCCCTCAATCGATGTTTTTGAGATTCGCCGTCGGTCTCGTATTTGCTGCTTTACAGTCAACTGGTGTTCATGGCATGGCTAAAGGGCTAAAGCGAGTTCCTGGTCTGCCACCTCGATGGCCTGAACACCCTGGACGTTCCGCATCTTTCATCGACATATGCAAGCTGCATCCGGATCGGGTTGAGATGCCTTTGAACTTGCAGCTCAGTCTGCATGTCGGTATCAAGCTTCATAGAAGCGTGCGCTCAGCCTAACCTCTGTCTCTCCAGACAGAGGCCATGTTGACACAATTATAAACCTGTCTCCTCCATCCTTCGCCGATTCCCTCTCTATGCTTCTTCGTACTGAGGCTGCCGCCACCGATTGCATCGGTTCCCTTCCATATCACCAATGGCAAAATCTTGTGCTTTAAATCTAGCACCCATCCAGCTCTTGAAAGACCTTGAGGCGCAAAAGGCCAACAAGAAAAGAGAGCTCGAGGTCACCGACGCTGACGACCAACAGGAGAGGAACAGAAGAAACAAGAAGCAAGTACACTGGGATTTGCCTCCGATGCCGCCGTCTCCTTCTCCTTATTCTTCCTCCTCCAATGTCCATTCGGACTTGGCCCCGTCTTCAACTCGGCACAAGTAGGTTCTCGTTTTGTCCTTCGACACATTTGTCACTGACAAAGACGAACGATAGGCTCGTGGAGCCTGATGTCCCAGATGCGCACCATGGTAAACCTCCCTGCAAACGGCGAGAGTTACCACGCTCTGGGTCTGCAGAGGTGGCCTTCACCCAGGCGGCATTTCACTATTCGGGCTCTCCTTGCTATTGTAGTCCTGCCACCGCCTCATGGATACCCAAATTACCATTGTTCGAAATGCCATGGCTCTTGTCGGGCTCTCCACAGGTTCCAGCGTTGGCCGAGCTAATCGATCGCTCGGAAGTCACCCAACCGGCCTCTCATGGTAACGGGTGGATCAATTCACTTAAACTGCCTCCAATCCGCTGGCAAGGCCCAGAAAATCCTCAAGGCGCGACTGCCACCGGAAACAAGTCGATCGAGCACAATGACACCGAATTTCGCGCTGAGGATGTCGCTTCAGGACGGCCTGAGCCGGATGCCAATACCTCAGTTCCCGTGCGGGACTCTGGGACAGCGGACGCGCTGCCCATCAGCCATCTGCTTAACCAAGGTTCGGAGCACAGTACTCCGCCATACACCTCCTACGTGAGGGACAACATGGTGCCACAAGACTCCGCGCCAATTGCAGTCAGGCCCGTACCGGTCTCCGACATGTCCTTCTGCCGCCAGGTTGACCAAGGTGCGGCATACAGCTATGCTCCCCCTTCACCTGCCTACCCTGTTGGGGGATACACTCCACCAAACTCGGCGGTCGGGCCATCTCCCGTCATGCCTACCCCCGGCCTCGCCCCTACTGTCACCAGCCGTCCAGTTGAACAAAGCACGACCTACGGCTATCCTCCTCCTCCGCCGCCTCGTGCAGAGAAATCTATCTCGATAGAGGTACCACCATGCCACCAAGCCACCGTTGCTGCTATTGTTGCATGGCCTACGCTGCCTAACGACCAGTCTTACATATGTCCAGTCCAAGAAGCACCGGTATGTATTTGATCCTCGTCTCGTTCATGACCGCCCTGGACGACTGACGCTCTGCGTGATCCAGCATCCCTTCAATTGGCAGTATGGCACCAGCTGGGCGCCATGGCCCGTTTCCCTCTGATCGCCTCAGACTGCCACCAGATCTGCCTGTCATTAGTACGACTGAGCATATCGACCAGGAGCAAAAAAAGCATCCACGCATGTGCCACACTCATGCGACGCGAGATGGGTGTGGTAAGGGCCTGCGTGGAAACCAAGTATTTGCCCCAAAATTGTCCATCATCTCGTTTGGCGGTCTGACCAGCGTCACTCGTTGAGAAAGAGTCGATGTAATATGGATTATGTTTGCCCCATTTCTTGTCTCTTTTGTGGTCTATTCTGTTTTTGCCAGGGAGGTGGAAGTAATACTTGGGAAAATTGTCAAAAAAAGAAGGAAAGAAAAAGGAAAAAGTTCATGGCTTGGGAATCATTTACATCTCGGGTTTTTTCTTTTTTTTTCCCCTTTTCTTTTTTTTTGTATTTCCTCACCACAAAACGACACCAGCATCGGCAACAGCTGGCGACGGCATAGTAGCAAAGTACCTAGGTATCCCACGCGAATGAGATCACGAACATTCACTTGAGTCCCTTGAATGAATGAATATCACGTCCATTGGACCGAATCATTCAACTGATTTAATTCTGCGTTTCTCTCCCCTCGGCGGCGTGCGTTGAGGAAGACCACCCATCGCCGCTGTAACAACGAGGCATCGAGGACAAGATCTACCGTCCTCCACGCCCACCCTCCCATCTGTCCATCATCGCCCGCAACAAAGTATCGAGGGCAAGGTCTACCGTCCTTAGGAATCCACCAGCGTACTCACCGTTTGTCCATACATGCATCATTCGGATCTTCTCTGGTGGTCTGGTCTCCACTGACTGCCTAGGGACAAGTAAGAGCACGATTTCCCCGCCCTCAGTCCCGGGCCTGGGATGGTGTGGTCTGGAATGTCCGCAGAGATCGCAGGCCATTACTCTGTTTGGACTGTGGTCCTGCGCAATTCTGCGTCCAACTCGAGCCGACGATCACGGTTGAGATGCTGGGGTACGGGCCCCTGGACAGGAGTTCTAACACCACCTGTCTAGATATCCACTCATGGTCATTGCTGTTTGCGAAGTGCGGTCCCGCCTGCAAGCTCGGACCTCCAGCAGGCCCTGGACTCAGAGGCGAAAGCAAGAATCAAAAGCCATGGTTGAAAGCCATAGGTGGACGCGGGATCAGAGACAGCGGCAGAGACAGCGGCAGAGGTAGAGGCAGAGGCAGAGGGAGGACCGGTGACCAACCACCCATGTCCTCTTTGTTACGTGCGCTCCTTGTCACCTGGCCAAGCAGCTCTCCACAGAGTGCCACCTTCGTATAGAAGGGCCGAAAGGACCTACTCGTCATGACTCATGCACTATTCAACCCGCTTCCCTTTTCCACCGCATTTTGGACATGGGTTCATGCAAAGACCACCCGTGCCCCGGTCCTAGTGGTTCAATTCCTTGGAAAGAGGACAGAGCGAAAGGGACAACAAGTATCTGGATGGTTGATCCCCCGCACAAGAAGCTGGAGCGTCATCAGGCTGAGCCGTTGTTGTGTGTGAGAGCAGGGGAGGGAGTCTGAGGCTGGTGCATTCGGATCTCGTATCAAAGGCACTAAAAGGAGGATTAAAAATGTCATGGCTTTCTGGATCAGGCCCCGCAAGCAAAGTGCGGCACCGCGAGAAGGAAGACGAAGATGGAGCACCTGGAAATGAAATAAATGCATGCATGCATGAGTTGAGCTGGGGGAGGTGGAGGCATCCTCTTTAGCCCGTCCAAAGCTGGGGCGGGCACCTCACTTTGACATCAAACCTTGGTGTGTCGGCTTTTGCAGCCGAATCAGATGCGGGCGCGTTTAATGTTCCGCCCTTCGGGACGACGGAAGGGGAAGAGCAGAGACTCAGAGAGAGTTTTGGACTCTTGATCGAGTGTGGATGCGGATCATGACCTGTTGTTGCTAGCTTTTGTTGATAGAGTTTCGTGTCGACGTGCTCGAAAGGTCACAAAAGCTTCGTCTACCTTGGCCTCAGCTGCAGCATCAAGAGTGGTGACGAGTACCGACGTGCATGTATCATGCATCATGCATCATGCACTTTGAATTGTGACGACTAGGATGATTGTGGGCATACCTGAGCTGACCAGCAACCCCCAGCGCTTGTAGCTGGTTGGTTACACAGGGGATGGCCATGCCATGCCGTACTCCGAGAGTCTTGGGGGCGCCCGCACTGCTTGCACTAGATCTGCCCCCTCTTTTTTGGCCCAGCAGCTTCCAGTGATCACCAGGTGGACAGACGGAGAAATGGGCCAGGGAGAAGGAGAGACAAAACTCGTCTTGCTCGCTTAGTGGCGTGGGTGGTTGATCTGAAATCTCAGTTCCAGCTAGTGAGTTGCGGTCGGTGTCTGTGCTCATTCCCTGTCGTAGTGGTGGAGAAGGAAGAGGAGGAGGCAGAAGGGGGATGAAGCGAGCGAGTTTCTGTGACAGGCTGACAGGAGCCAGAATTGCTATTAGGTAGGTAGTGGTGGATAAGCACTGTTAATACGGTGGCGTTAATACGGTGGTTAACACGGTCGTGTTAATACGGTGGTGATGGTGGTGATGGTGGTGGTGGTGGTGGTGATGGTGGTGGTGGTGATGGTGGTGGTGGTGATGGTGGTGGTGGTGGTGGTGATGCTGGATCGATCGCAGTGAGTGACACATCGACACTCGACGCCCATGCAGTGATCGGCTGAATGAATCTGGCCGGTGCCAAGTCGCCAGTGCCTTTCGGGTTTAGCAACCATTGACAGAGAAGAGACTCGCAGGGCAATGGAATGTTAGCAGACTCCGAAACTCCGGGGGCAAATCGCGGGGGCAACTCTACTAGGTATACCGAGTACACAAGCCCCATGGCGAACAAAGGGGATTTCCAGTTCATATGGACATGAGCATTTATACCTAGGTACTATATAATGATCGAGATGATGCTGACGGTCAAAGGTGTTCACTGTCTGCAGCAGGTGCCAGCTAGACTCTGGCATTGATCAACGTTGGCAGCAGTAACGGCCCAAAACCCACCATCCACAGCTAGGTACTGACTTGTCCCGTCTCCAGCCCCCATCATGGCAGATCATGGTCTGGTTTTGGTGACAGGCGGGTCCGGTTTCCTGGCAGCCCACTGTATCCTCGCCTGCCTTGAGCGTGGCTACCGTGTCCGAACCACCGTCCGATCGTCCAAGCGAATAGAAGATGTGCGAAGCATGCTCAAGGCGAGCAGCAGCAGCAGCAGCAGCAGTGGCAACGAATCAACACTCAACCTCGACGACAGGCTCACCTTCTCCGTGGCAGACCTGACCAAGGACGACGGGTGGGCAGAAGCTGTTGAAGGGTGCTCTTACGTCTTGCACGTCGCCTCCCCCTTTCCTGCCGGCGCCCCCAAGCATGAGGACGACCTGATCGTGCCCGCCCGCGAAGGCACGCTGCGAGTCCTGCGTGCCGCGCGAGATGCCCGGAGCGTCAAGCGTGTCGTCGTCACCTCGTCCTTTGCGGCTATCGGCTACGGCCACACCGACAAGGACCACCCGCCCAATGTGCCCTACACCGAGGACGTGTGGACGAACGTCAACGGACCCGGGATGGGCGCGTACCAGAAGAGCAAGACGCTGGCGGAGCGCGCGGCCTGGGACTTTGTCAAGGGCCCCGAGGGTGGCGGACTAGAGCTCGCCGTGGTCAACCCCGTGGGCATCTTCGGGCCCGTCATGGGCAGCGACTTCGCGACTTCGATCCTGGTGGTGCAGCGCCTGCTCAACGGCTCCTTACCGGGCTGTCCCCAGGTGCAGTTCAGCATCGTCGACGTGCGCGACGTCGCCGACCTGCACCTCCGCGCCATGACCCACCCAAAGGCCAAGGGCGAGCGCTTCCTCGCCGTCTCCCCGCCGGGAATGACCATCCAGCAGATCTCGCTGGCCCTGCGCGAGAGGATGGGCACCGCGGCCAAGCTCGCGCCCACCCGACAACTGCCCAACTTTCTCCTGAGGCTGGTCGCCCTCTTCGACCCCAGTGTCGCTCTGGTCGTCCCGGAGCTCGGCAAGACTAAAGTCCTCTCCAACGACAAGGCAAAGACCCTGTTGGGTTGGCAGCCTCGGCCGCCCGTCGATGCCCTCGTGGCTACTGCAGAGAGTCTGATCAAGTTTGGCATTCTCAAAGCAACATAAAGGGTGGTATGAGACCGGGGAATTGGGGAACCGGGGAACTCTTCCAGTATGGCAGGTTTTCGTACATCGAATACCCTCATTAGCATGGGTCTCTCATATTTGTCTTTTTACAAAGGTCTATCTCGAGCGCTTTCTGGAACAAATACGAACACCGTGCAAGCATGCTCATGCTCGTCTCATCATTCTCGTCAGAAAATCCTTTCCAAGCCTATGATATGCCATGGCGCCAGACAATGCCTCTAGAATTCACAGATCACAGCCTTGCTTTGCGCAGATGAATACATCAAAAACCAAGCAATGTCACAGTCGTTAATCTTCATGTCAGCTCCCACACGTATGCGTGCCTCCAAAGCTCTGCCGCTGTAGTGCCGCCACCTTGCTCCAGACACAGCTGAGATCTGATCAGGTAAACTCGACGCTTCCACCGGTCCTCCCTTCCCTGGCCAGCCTCGCCTGCGCCCGCTCCGCTCGCCTTCTCCTTCTGTTATTAGCATACTCCGTCGCTCCACTCGTCTCCGTTCCAGGAGAAGTGACACCGCTTCCCGCTGGGTAGCCTAGATTGCTCGCTGATCCTGGGATAGGCGGCGGAGGCGGAAGAGGCACTTGGTATGTTTGGCCGGTACCTGTTTGCACATTATGCGGCTCAGGTGGAGTAGGGTATGGTATCGTCGGAGCGGGACTGAGCCCAGCAACAGACGCTGGCGGCTGAGGAGTCCTGGCTGCGGCTGAGTGTGGCGTGGCAGCAGCTTGACCGGCAGCTTCGTTCTGCGCCGCCTGCTCGGCTTCCAGCGCTTCAGTGCGTCTCCATCGTCGATCAGCACTGGTTGCACCCATCGCCTCACTGTCGCTCCCGCTGAAACTTGAGCCTCTCCTGGATCTTCTGGCCGCCGCAGAAGCCTGACGTTCTCTTCTCCGCGCCTCACGCTGTGCTGCGGCTTCTTCTTCCGTCAACCGCCGAAGGGTCACTTGGCGGCCATCGTTATGCATGTTGATTTTGACACTGACAGGAGGAGATTCCACGCTGTCGGTCCTGTCGTTGTTGCGACTACTTTGTCTCCGCCGACGGTGGGAGCCCTCCGCCGCCGCAGCTCCGAGGGCTGCTCCCGCCAGTCCAGCTGCGGCTTCATCGCGAAGATGATGTCGATGTCGTTGCCTGCCGGATCCCGTGGTGTAAAGTTCGCTGCCCGATGAGTCCAGGTGAGGCGGGGGTATAGGAGGAATTTCTGCTTGGCCTGGCCCGGGAACGGGATATGCAGCAGCAGGCGGACCGGGAACTGGATAAGCAGCAGAAGGAGGACCCGGCTGAACGATAGGAGGATCGTGGCCGACGGGTCTGATCCGATCTCTATCGGCAAGGGCACTTGCTGCTGCGGCACCTACCCCTGCTCCTGCTGCTGCTGGGATGGCTCCGCTCATTCCAGGAGGGCCCAGCTCGGTCGATATATCTGATGCAGTCTGACTGCCCATCCTGCCGTGGCGGACTCGTCTCGGGGGAGCAACTCCATCGCCCGTGTACCTATGACCCGAGTCCATGCGCGCTCTTCGCTCGTCCTCTATCCTCTCTCTCCTCAGTTGTTCCGCACGAAGATCTTCTTTCCGTTGTCGGCGGTTTTTGAAAAGTTGTCGAATGGCGAACACGGTCCCTCCTGCAGCCACAGCATCTCGGAATGCATGCGATCTCCGATCGCGCCGCGATGGAGACCCAGACATGTACGAATCGTACGAGTACAATGACCCGGATGGTCTGCGTCCATCCGGTCCTGGCGTCATTGGAGTTTGGGCGAGAGGATGCGTGGGTCTAACGTGGCCCGGACTAGCACCACCCGGTGTCACTGGACGAATGGAGGGCGGCCTGCCTTCTTCAATTCGCGACATCGAGTCTGTCGTGACAGACTGATTGCCACCGAGCGGTGGTCTGTAAGGGCCAACGTCCGAGTCGTCGTCGCGGTCTCTGCGACCCATCAGTTTCTTCACTGCGGCGACAGCTCCTCCGATCGCCGCGACTTGTAGAAGACGATGCCCGATGCCGTGGCGCGACCGATCGGACATTTTGTCGTCATCGTAGTAGTAGGACGATCCGCTTCCGGTCACTTCGGTTCCAGATCCTCCGTGCACACGGTGAGGCGAATCATCCCTCCTCGATCGTCTCCTGAACAATGCTGCGAGGCCCGCACCAGCTGCACCAGCCAGAGCCAGTTTTCCCAGCCCTGTGTGCCTGCGGTCATCGACGGGCTCAACAACATCAACCTGGTGATTACTGCCGCCAGGCCCATAGCGACCTCTTCGCCTCTCGGCCAGAAACTGCAGGACAAAATACAGGAAAAGCAGGAAAAAGCCCCATAGTGAATAAAGAACAAACAAGTAGGGAGGCGACCCGTAAAGAGTCAAGCCAAGGGGAACCTGAACGATCCCGAGCAGAGCAATAGCCCGGCCCAGCCAATGATGGAGCATGGCGCTGAGAGGAATGTGTGCCCGCTTCCTCCCTTTTTCTCTTCGGTGTACCATACAGCCTCCCATGACCTGAACCCAGATCAAGACGTATATTGCGACACCAATCCCGTGATGTGGATTGGTCAAGCTTCTGTTGGGACCAACTGCCTGAAAGCCGAGAATGATGACCACCGTGCTCAAGAGGAGGGTTAGGATTTGGAGCCATATGTGCAGTCGGAGGGCGAGTCGGGGCTGGCGGCCGTAGAATCGCATGAGGAAAATCGCGAGCGGGACGATTCCGAGGAATGTGATTGCGGCGATGATGCCGTGCGCTTCGACCAGACTATGATATCCGGTCAGGGAGAAGAACCGGTTTCCCATTCCTTATTTGTGACCACGTCAGCCTTCCATCTCATGGTAGAATTGCTGTCTTCTCTCTTCTTACCGTTGTATCTCATTGTCGCAAAATTCAGTCCAACGAGATTGGGCAGGAGAAAGTCGTCTCTTCCTGCATCCCAAGTCCCATCGCCCACATGCATCGTGTTCGAATCATATGTGCTGCTCCCCGGAGGAGAGAGTTGCGGTGAGGGCGACATAGCTCGAGTGCAGAGACGGTATCTGCAATTGACAGATGGACTTATGTGGAGGCTTTTCCTCCGACGATCAAGAGGCTTGAACCATCCAAGGTGAGAATGATTTTGACCTTTTTTTCCCTTCTGGATGGCAGTTGTTTGGTGGCTTTGCGGCTCGAGCGGGAGCTCTCACTGATCTTCGCTTTGTTTACTCGAGCTCAGCAAGCGGGGTAGATGAGTGGCCGACTTTTTTTTTACTGGAAAAAGTCGAATGGAATATACGGTGGGAATGCGAGGGAATGGATCTTGGAGCTGAAACGGTCCCTACTCGTAGGTTTGGTAGGAAAAAGTATCACAAGAGCAAGTCCGCAACGGGAGAATGGGATTGTCTGGATGCACCCAGAGTGAGGAGTGAGTTGTCCTGCTTGCTTGCGAAAGCTCACTAGGCGCAGGTGACTTGCCAAGATCAAACCAGAGCCGTAGGATGGGCAACAACCACAACCCCGGCGCCCATCCGGGGCACCACCCCAAAAGAACCGCTTAACCACAGGCCACTAAGGGCGGCCACTGGCGGCCAGGTGCAGTGGCGTACGGGCACCAGCGGGCTTGTCGATTTCTCCATTGTCCATTCGTCACGCCATCGCCTCAGCCCGTGGCTACCCGCACACTATCAACACCCTTGCTCGTGCCTTGAAAGCGTCCGCCTTGGGACATCGATCATCCTCCAACGTAAGAAAAAAACAGGTCCACGAGAAAACCAAACGACCCCAAAGGTCGATGCCACTGCCGTCGTCGCTGCCGTCATCAGATTCATATCCGCCTTCTTGCACCATCGACAATGATTGATGACGACCAGTGGGCTCGCATTGTAAGGGCCGTGTCAAGGTACGAACTGTTTGAATTTTAGTCGCCCTTATCAGTGCCCAGATAAACTAGAGACAGACCCTTGGTGCTAATCGATACATTTCTCCAGACTTCTCGGATGGGTCTAGTAAGTCACTCGACAGACCAGAATAGCATTGGCTACAGGCCTGGCCGCTGATTCTCGCGACAGTACATTATCCTGGAGTGCTTCGTTCTATCCCCAACCGTGGCTGAATTGGAAACGTCGGTCCACTCATGGCCTTACCATCGACTTTCCGCTTCTCAACGTCCTCGGTTTTGTATGCTACAGCATATCGACCTGCTCTTTCCTGTATTCACCAACAATCCGAGAACAATATGCCGTGAGGCACCCCTTATCCCCAGAGCCGACCGTTCAGGTGAATGATGTTGCCTTTGGCCTGCACGCCGTTGTCCTCGTCATCTTGACGTATTCGCAATTCTTCTCGCGGCTTTGGGGCTTTCGAGACGCAGCCCATCAGCGAGCCACTCGCCCAGTTTTGGCAATAGTGTGGGGGAGCCTTCTGGCTGTGGCTGGCACGGTTGTGATGGTACTTTTCCGCTCAGGATTGAGGGACCAGGATCCGATGGACTGGGCATGGATAGATGTGGTAAGATGTGTCCTTCCAGCTCTTCGTCGTTGACTCGATCGACTGCTAACGGGTGCCCTCCGCAGCTGTACACTTTGGGATATGTCAAGCTCGTCTGCACATTCGTTAAGTACATTCCACAAGCGTTCTTCAACTATAAGCGCCAATCGACCGAGGGATGGAGCATACTGCAAATCTTGTTCGATCTTACCGGAGGTGTGCTGTCCATAGCTCAGCTGATTCTCGATGCGAGCTTCGGCGGTGACTGGAGTGGAATCACTGGAAATCCTCTGAAGTTGGGGCTCGCGAATATTAGCATGGGCTTTGACCTGCTTTTCATCGTCCAGCACTATATTCTGTACCGGGGCCGAGAAGGGACGAGCAAAGGCTCGGACGATGACAACGACCCCGAACGGCCGCTACTCAGTCGTTGACTGCACGACCCAGCCATCTCGCGTGTCTCCCCGAGCGAGGCCATAGTCCCGTGGTTCGCATGAACAGTCAGGTGAGGACGAGGACTCAGCGCCGAATACTGTGTCGGCGGTCTCGGAGGTATAAGATATCCTCGAGTCGAAAAGGACGATCGGTTCCAGCTCAGACGCCAACAACCTTTCCCCTTTGGGCTCGCATGGGTTTCTTAATTTGCACTCTCGTTTGAGAGGCTTTTCGCCGGATCTGGACCAACGGCAGTGTGGGCTGTGCAGAATAAGGGTCACTGGCTCCTCGCTAAGCCACGTCTCTAACGAAATCCAGCAGGATTGAATTAATGAAGTCCGACGGCCTGCTCGCAGGAGGTATAGATTGTCGAAATCAGGCATTTGAGCACCGGCTCACAGTGGAGTCAACGCCGACAACCTCCCTGTGCCAAAAACAAGTAACTTGGTCTGTCACGACTCACCGACTCACCAGCTCACCGACTCACTGGTGTTCATCACACTTTGAATCACATAGACATCACATCGAAGAGCAATAATAGATTCCGTGCGAGGGTTGGTGATGTTTGTCCGTTTCTCCATATGCTACAATAGGATTGGGGAGCCCGTGCCGAGTCACAAATCCTTTGAGAACCTGACCGAATACGGCTTCCACGCTAGGTTTCATGTGCTTCGACGGGATCCCTGCTTCGACAGTCCGATCCCCAGTAATCGTGCGAGTATACTCGGTATACCTCGCACTTTCTTCCTTCACGACCCTCGCCGGCAGCCGGGAATATGCCAACATTATTGCAGGACTCCATTTCTGCCTCGTATTTGTAGCCAGATTTGGGAAGAGAACCTTGCAAGGCGTTGGTAGGAGTACATCTCCGAGCTGCTGTAGCTCTCCGGAAGCTACATCCCTGATGAGCCTAGTTAGCGCTCCCGTCGGAGGGGGCTGAGTGATTTTGTTCGCTTCGGATGAGGAAGGGATTAGACCGAAGCAGACTAGACTGGCACGGCATGGAGGACGGCATCGGCCAACAAGATGAGTCTCCGTGCACTTTTGAAGCAGTTTCTTTGGCTGTTCACGAGTCGAACGGCAAATGCGCTCGTACGTCTTGCATATTTAGGGCAGAGCCCTTGTTTCCTGGAGAGGTTTGAGCCACAAGGGTCCCGGGGAGGTGAAGAAGTTGCGGGCGAGTTCCAAGCAAGTTCTCTGCGACTGCGGGGCGTCCCAGGGGAGCTAAAAAGGGCCACAAGTCAGCTAGGCATATGAACTGAGGCTCTGGAACTGCCCGTTGGGAGGAAGAATGCCAGATTGTGACAGACTGTGGGGAAACAGGTTGAAAGAACCACCGTGTGAGAGAGATACAGAGAGGCAAGAGAGAGACGACAGAAGATGGAGGATGGAGGATGGGCAGGGGACACATCAGTCCTTGCAACGCGGTTGAGACTATCACGGCGTTGACTACGGCGTTTGGGGGAGAATTGTTGCCTTGAGGCCCAATTTGCGAGGTGAGGCAAGCCAGAGACACCAATAAGAAACGAAGGCTTAGCAGTTGGAACCAGTTGCTGTTGGCCTGCTAGGCCTGCTGGGCCTGCTGGGCCGACTGGGCTGCTCGTCTGCTGGTGCCATGCCAGCGCCTTGTGCCTGTGCGCATGCCTATTGCAGGAGGTGTTGGATGGCATCAGCTGCCGCGTTCTGCTCTACTGCTCCAGCAGTTGCTTGGTTGGGTAGCGGGCAGGAGCAGCCGAGCACAGAAGCGAAAGAGAGAGCAGAGTCAGAGATGACAGAGAAAGAGATTCTCACCTTCTCACCCTTGTACCTCGTACGTGTCAACCCTGATGGGCCATGGCTGTTGCGCATAATTCCAGGGCGCAACCCTCTTCCGTGCCTGTCTCGTTCCTCACTTCCCAATCGCACTCTACTACTGCCGCTCCACTGCTCTTCCTATTCTTTTATTTTCTTTTTGTTCTTCTTTCGCCCTCGCAACGGTATCTGACATGCTGGTCGGGTCGGAATACAAAGCCTCCGTAAAGCACCGTGCTATGGCCGTTGGCGTTGCTATTTCCCGCCGAATGCTCCGTAAGATGTATGATAATGTGATATTTCTGGCCTTCCGGCAATTTCCAGCAACCCTCTTTTCCCTGGCCCGGCTCTCGGGGGGGTTGGTGGGCAGGGGCCTCTTCATTGGCGTCAGCCTCCCTTGTGTGGGTCGCTGGCTTAGGGACTTGGGGGGTACTCTCGCCTATCATGTCGAGGCGTCCAACCCCCCCAAGCCAAGTCTTCGATCTGATTGATCTCCATTAGCAACCATGCGAGCAGTGCTCAGTCGCCTACCTAAGGAGCCTCTTGGTCTGCCCTTTCAGCTTTCTTCCCGCGAGCCTCCATGAATAACGAGGTGCGTTAGAGGGGTCCATAGCCCATTCATTAACAGCCTCAATCCAGACCATGCGTGGCTCCCTAATGCAACAAAGGCACAAACTAAGTCTTGATTTAGCTACACAGCGACGCACTCCCAGTGACCTCTCATGGAGTGGCCAAACCTTCATCTTCGCAACATAGCCCGTACAAAGGCCAAGGATCATCCTAGCGAAGCTGTATCCCCCGTTCAATTCCAGTTTTCTCTCTTCTCTGCCCTCTAAAAGACTCGTAACCATTGATTCCGTCCAAGTTGCTTTGGCGGCGGGGCTGTGCTGGCAACCTGCGCACGCATCTGCGCTAAGCCTCCCAAGGCTCCAGCGATTGTGAATTTCTGCTCCCTCATCCTTTCAAACCTTGGGAAGAGCGGGAAGGAGAGCGAGACGAGGGGGAGAGAATGAGAGGGTGAAGTTAGGGACTTGACTCGTCGCTTCTATTCAAACCTAAACACTCTCTGCTCGGCTCGGCATCCAACAGCCTCGCAACCAGAACGTCGTTCCTCTCCGAGTCGCCTGCTGGTTGCCGCTCGTACGTACGCTCGATTCAAAATCTTTCTTCCTGTCTACGCCCTTCTGTCACCGCCTTCAACCTCCAGCGATTCCGAGCATTCCAAACCCCCCAGACCACCAGACTCGACCAAGTTCTGTGCCTCCAGCCCCGACTCTGCCGGTGCTTCCTTCTCAGCCAATTCCTCAAGAGCCTCCAAGAGCCTCATCCCGCTGTGGACTGGTTTCACAAATACCCCTCACTTCCCGCCAGCATCAACTGACCAAGTCACCCACGAGTCACCCCCGTTACCAACCTTACCAGCATCAAGCCAGTTTGCATCCCGGTATGAGTCTTACCACCCCTTCCCCATTTTTGCTTTCATCTTGTGGCCAATGCATTCCCATCGTTCTTCAGCCGCTATCTGCCCGAATACGCAAGTCACCACACTTGTGATCCCGGCCTGACGTGGTCTGGAACCTTTGAACCTTTTGAGTTCCGAGTCGTCGAGGCCCCCCCTCCCCCATTCCCCCGCTGCTGTGTCTTGGTGGCAGGAAGTTTGGATATCCTGCGATCCATGGACACGGGCAATAGCACGCCCAATAAGTCTCTGTCATTCCATGTCATGCGCTCTTGATGGAAGTGTGTCCAACCAGTAAAAGTTGAAAATCTCACTCACTGACACGGCATATGATCCAGAGACATCGATCCCAGACGACTATTTGCACCGATAGTCAAGAAACCTCTCTGCCTATCTCTGGGCCATCACCTCATCCCTTTTTTTGGATGGTCTGCCATGTGATTTGTCGGGCTCACTCATGTCCCAAGATCAAGATATCTTTTACGACTACGAGCGGGATATCATTGCACCCCTCCGGAGCCCGGGACTGGAGCCAGTAAAACCCGAGTACGGGCCACGAGAAAGTCCTGCACCTCTTGTACCCGCCGACGATACATCCTCTGATTCCTCCGGGGCGGAGGACACGGAAGCGGTACCACGTCGGGAGAAACCTATAGCACGAAAGGGTCGAGCAAACCGCACCTTTGCCGATGGCGTGCTGATTCTTTCCTTAGATCCTAATCAACGCGCACTTGCCAGCCAGGCACGGCAAGAACCGTTGGACTCGAGGAGTCAGTCAGAAGAGGAAGAGGATGATGACGGCGACGACAATGCGGCTCGAGGGGGCCGGAGACAGATGAGGAGGCTCGGGAGGGTCCTTCGACATGGAGCAAACACGGCTCCAGTCAAAGCAATGCCGGTACCGCGGACTGCCCTGCCCGCCGATCCTGATGGTCTCGACGATGACGACGACGACGACTTCCCCATGGTTGACAGTCCAGCCAATGTGGCTGCAGAGCAACCGGTACGGTCGCCTCCGAGACCTGCGCACGCCATACAAAAGTCAGAAGGGCAGTCTCAATCTACCTATACTACGTCCAAGAAAGTGGATCTGTCAAGAAAGCAATTCAATACAATTCCACCCCCAAGGACTCGCCAGCTGTATCCAAATCTACGGCTGAATCTTACTCCGAGCATTCGTGACGGCGATCAAGATGACGACTCAATCCTCAAGTCACCTATTCTCCGACAGTTTGCGATTTCGCCCCGTGATGCACATCCGGATTTCACCTTGCCAGCCATGCAACAAAGATCCCCTCCACGTTCCTCGCCCGCAGGTCTACCGGACTATAGGACGACGCTCCCATCTCTGAAGATCGCCATTGGCGATCTCCCGGAACCAAGCATGGGAGGATTTGCCTGCCAGTCTCCGAGCATGGGTCCGCCTTTATCGGCCCAGTTTGCGTCTTATGCATCTCCGGCTTCGTACTCAGCGTATTTTGCCATGTCCCCTCCGGATCCGCCGTCTCACAGCAATTGGCGGACAACGACTGGGAATTCCACTGCATCGACATTCTCCGATCATACTTCATCAGCTTCTGTCTCTGGCTCAACGCCAGCCTCGTCAATCATCACGCCATCTCCAGCAGCCTCTGGTCCCTCTGCGTTGACTCCTCTACCTGAGCACGATCTAGAGGAACAAGTAGAGGACAGCAGGACGCAGAACATCCCCTTCAAAGAGACGGATCTGGCATCTCAAGGTGAACCTCGACTCATACCTCGGCCTCGGCCTCGGCCTCAGCCTAAAGCGCCCTCAAAACCTCGATCCCAACCTGCAGCGCGATTGAAACTTCAATCCCAGCGTGCCGCTCGACCGAAACCTCAGCCCAGTCCTGCCACTCGATCGAAACCTCAGCTCCAGCCTCAGCCTCCGCCTCCTGACCCTGAACCCCAACTTCAACCTGAATCTCAAATCGAAGCGGAACACAAGGCTGGATCCGAGACCGAATCCGAACTCTCCGAGCTCTCCGAACTTGAATCTGAACTTGACTCGGAGCCTGAGCCTCAGCCCGAATCCAAACCACAATCCAAATCGCAACCAAAACGTCCATCCGTGTCTCAGTCAAAGTCTCAGTCCGAGGTGGTCCCTAGCCCCCCCACAGGGCCTCGCTTTTCACTGGGACCTTTCAAGTGCACATACGAAGGGTGTACCGCCGCACCCTTTCAGACTCAATATTTGTTAAACAGTCACATGAATGTCCATTCTAACACCCGAACTCATTTCTGTCCCGTCAAAGATTGCCCTCGAGGGTATGGTGGCCTGGGATTTAAGAGGAAGAATGAGATGATCAGGTGAGATGATCCCTCCGAAAATAGGATTTCCGTCCATTGCTCATTGCTCTCGTCCCGACAGACATGGCTTAGTTCATACATCTCCCGGGTACATATGTCCTTTCTGCCCCGATCAGCAACACAGATATCCCCGGCCGGATAACCTACAGCGTCACGTACGACAACATCACTCGGATGAGGATCGCCTTGACCCTAGACTCCGTGAAGTACTCAATCAGCGCACCGATGGAAACCCCAAGGCAGGAAAAAGGCGTATGCGCTTGTTCTGACTGTTTGAGACTACCGTCCTCGAGCCCTTTGGATTTTCGGGTCGAATCGCTTTCACCGTATTGGCAAGCGGTTCTGAGGACGAAGCGCGACAGATCTGCGTAACTGGAAATTTCTAGCGTTGGATTCTTGTACAGCACATTCGAATCAAATTTACCGGCGCCAGCTTTTGTACTTCTTCTGTGCTTCTACCGACCCACAGCAGCAACCTGAATGAAGAATTCTATCTCGAAGGGTATGATTTCCCGTTGCAAAGCACATGACCAATTTAGAAGGGGATTATTCGAACCATTGTGCCCAGCCTCTGGCACCTGGACAGCTCCCGATATTCTCGGCCAGTTGGTTCTGCTTTTATCACCTCTCAACGGAGGGGAACGGATGCACCGAAAGCCATGGCTCAAAGCACGGAGCGCGAATTGGGGGTTTACTGAAAACGTCTGGGTCGCATGATGGATTTCATCCGGATGATTTTACGATATTATGACTTTGATGACCGCAGCCCTGCCCTGCTACATCTCTTGCTTCTGGCAGAGCTGCAAGCAACCCTGGCAATGTCTATATAGCCCTAGGACCGATGGTAAAGAGGCGACTGGAGCTATTGGGATACAACGTGACTGGTCACACACAAGGAGACGAGTTGCGAAGGAGAAAAGTGCGGAAATTGTCTGTACGAACTGAAGCTGATGTCTCGAAATCCTGTGCATGTTCATGCTGCCGGGTAGGTGAGGTTCTCACGCCCACACAAACGGATCTCGAAGCAAAGTCGGGCCGTCAGGAGCATGTCCGCTCAGCAAGCCATGAATGCGCCACAAGCACGAGCACGCAGATTGTCGACGTACGCAGTCAGCGGCAGAAGGTTGGCTTACAGTCCGGACGGTGCGATGTGTCCGACGCATTTCGTACGTGCGTAGATTACTGCTACTGAACGACGACGCACATCTCGTCCACCCTCCGTCGCCGAATTGACGGTGAAACGTACCTTTGGTTCCCGGTAGCGTATAATACTACGCTGATTTCCCCCTTTTTTTTCGCTTGCCCTGGCATATTGCATCCGCTCCATAGACAGACGGATGGCTATCTTCTTCATGTATATTATTATACCTCGTATCTCGTACCTATCCCAAGTACCTCGTATCTGTGTGACATATCATAAGTGTTTTGCTGTTCTAAGGATATAAGTTCCTGACTACAGCCACCCAGCCCCTCAGGACCCGAGTGAGTCCTCCTCCCTCTCAGTCTCACAGTCCCGGAGGGCCGGCAAGGGGGGAGACAAACAGTAGTAATTCCGTATGACGGGGTGGGATCCGATCCCCCAAACATTCCTGCTCTATACGCGCGCTGGCTATCTTGGGGGGGTGGTTGGGTGCCCGTCCTGTATCGGATCCGCCCAGGGAAGGAAGAAAGAGGAGGCATGTCCCAGCTTAACTTCGCACAAGCCGATGGCACATCGTTGCGAGATTGTTCTACGACTAGGTAGGCCGGGCCTGTTTGTCGTAGCGGTTGGCAACGGGCTACCTACCACTGCAGCTGATGTTGCACAAAGGGGTTTTATGCTTTTCATGCGGGCAGGACACCTTAGGTAGTCAGAAGAAAATAATTAGAAAACATGTGAGTGATACTCTTCTCGGAAAGATGTTTGGTATGTAGGTAGTTTCGCATCGTACCGGAGCCTATTCGATGATCAACTGCCTTCTCAGAAATCTGATCCGCCACTAGATTATCTTCGACTAGGCGCCCGCGACACCGGAGATCTTGTCCTGTATCCGCTCTACAAGGGTGGTGCCCGATTCCTGTCCCTTGCCCTCGAGCAACGTATCAATCTCCTTCATGGTGGACGGTTCCGTGAGACCCCATACCTTCCAAGGCCCTTCCTCGCCCTTTATGGTCATCTTTTGTATCACCACGTAGTCAATGTGCTTCAGGATGCTGTCCTTGTCCCGATCGGCGAGGAAATAGTTCTGGACGCTGCGGATGCGGACAATACACTGTCGGAGATATGTGTCAGCGAACGGCAAGGGGGCGAGCCTGTCCGAGACGACTCTGGTGCTCGCTTTGGGTAGAAAGACTGAGAGGGGCCACCGCTCAAGCCAAGCTGGATACTGAATGCCCGAGTAACTCATCATCTTCCAAGGTTCTTTGGTCCGGCGGAAGGCTTTCCGTTGCTCGACTCGCGTCCTCGCCTGGGCCAGCAGACCCTCGCAGCAAATAGCCTGTAGCCTTTTCAGATCCCCTTCGCCCAGGGCCTCGTGGAATTCCTTGTGTAGGTCGCGCGCGATCTGGTGTCTCTGGGAGAGCTCCAGGGGTTTTCTCATCTTTTTCCCCGTCACAGGGTCTCGTTTGACGTCCCATCTCAGGAAAACCACCAAGCTATGAATGAAGCAGGTCAGCCGTTGCCCCAGATTGTTTTTCCCAAGATCGAAGTCACATCTCCTCACCTCCACCAGTCTTTGAGAGCAGTCTTGAATCGTAGCCAGTGGATCCTTGTTCTCTTCATGAATTGGGGGCCCATCCAGGCCGGAAGGTCCGTGGCAGCAGGAAGCACCAAGGTCTGCGGCAGTTTTCCCAGATCCGTGCCGATCTGTTGCCGATTGGCTTTCTTCATCTGACTCTTCACCGAAACATGTTTAGGCAGCTTGGAGTCGATATTGACATTGCTCGAAAGGACGCCGGCGGCAGCGTTTCTGCGTCGAGTGGTTGTGAACTGACGGGTGTAAACCGAGGGTAAACGATGCGCGCATTGAGGGCAGATCTGAATGGATTGACCGGAAGGTGTCAGAGGTGAGGGTGACTTGAGACCCTTGCTTGAGATTCTGGCCACAGGATGCGCCATCTTGAATTGAGAGCGCACAGTAAAGACTGCTCTGCCCATTGAAAACCCTTTTTGGCGAGGTCGACAAAGCTCGAGGAGAAAAGAGAGCGCGAGCGCATTCGATGGACAGATGTGACGCTGCCCTATTTCTCATGGAGTCTGCCTGTCACCTTTTTTAAAGCAGCGCTACCATACTGACAGCGCAGCTCGCTTTACCTTCCTCTTATATGACCTTACGAGAAGCTTGTCCACGTGATATCGTTACACTTGCCTGTTGAGGCACACTCTCCAAATCCAGCTCAGATCCGGGGTTTTACCAGCTAAAGGACCTGCGTGGACCTTTCGGCTGAGTTCTCGCTCTCGAAACTGGCTTTCACGTCGTATACATTTTGCTGAACGCCCATCTTGACCTTGCTAGACTCCAGTCATGTCTTCTAAAAAGGACATGCGAAGGGCGGACCTCGGTCAGTTCTGAGACTTTGTCAAATTTTGAGGCACGCAGACACTGACGAGCACCTCTCAGTCATTCCCTATGTCGAGCCCAAAGACGAGAAGCCCACGGACTTCAGTTCGACAATAACGAGTACCATGCCCATGGCAGCTGTAAGTGTAAGATGCGACCGTTGTGATTCTGACATGCTGATGGCGGAGATAGATGTTCACGAGAAACAGGTAAGAGGCAGCACCTCTGAAATACTGTTTATCGCTAACCATAACGATCAGGATGCTTGGCTGGTAAGAGGGATGGAAACAAGACCATTGCCTTGAGTTGACGGGACCAGGTTTGCTCTATTAACAGCTCTTCTAAACTGGCTGGGCGAGTCACCAGCCCAGAGGACGAGTCCTAACGGCACGCCCGGATATTTGTCCTTTGGCATGGCTGGTAAGTGGCATAACAGTCTTTGCATTCGTGGTTCAGAGGCTGATATATCCGAAAGTGCTTGCCGTTGGCGTGGTATGTTGTGTTCCTGTCTAGCCTCAACTACGAGGTACTGAACACCGACTCACGGGTAACAGACATATATGCCCTTGTTTCTGCCGCCGCCGCCGAATGCAAGAGGCTCAGCAGCACCGCCAGCTGCTTCAACATGATGGATGGCAAAAGCAGGCAGCATTGAAGAGCTGTTTTGTGAAGAAGGGCTGTGTAAGTTTTGTACAGGTCATTTGGTGGCTTCGCGACATGGGCGGCAATTTATGGAGGCATTCGCATCAATTTGCTCTCGGGTGTTTGAGGCCCAGGTCACTCTTGGATCTTTTCTCCTGTTTCTAGTCAGAAGAGCTGCAATGGCGAGTGCGAGATAAAGGCAGCAAAGGCAATGCCGATCAAGCCCAGAATTTGACGGTGGAAACACTATTATCGACTGGGATTGGGGATCCCGATATCTGCACATGCCATTATCAGTACCTAGCACAAGCAGCGGATTCCCCGACTTTGTTCCTGGGGGTGGCCATTCCGAGCCTCAGGTAGAGCGGCTAGAACCTGAAAATCTGGAGCCTATCAATTATTTTTGCCACAGGCCTAGGTGGTAGCCCCCGGCAGGTGCCATCGGTGTCACCCTCTGTCAAGGGCATTTTTCCAGGCCTTGGCGGCCCCCAACGACGCAACTACAGCCTCTGCAGGCGCCGTTTGGGGGGCACCCGTCAACCCCCCGTTGTGTGTGAAAGAGGCGTGCGAGGGCAGCTTCTCTCGGCTTCCTTTCCTCGCTCGCCCAACCCCACCAAACTGGCGCGCACCAACCAGTCAAGCCAGTCACTGCCTCCTGCGGTTTCGCCTCTTGCATCAGCCCTTTCCTGCCCCCGTTCCTTTTCTCTCTCTTTCTCATACAAGACCATCGATCCATCGTCAGACTCTCCACTCAACGACAACTCTTTCGCTTGCAATTCAGCAGTCTTCATCGTCACAGAACCAACACTACTCTTTTCAAATCAACCCGTTCTTCGAGACAAACGAGTTTATGTCAACTATCCAAAACCTCAAAACTTTTGGTAAGCCGACCCCTCTTCTCACCCCCTCTTGCCACTTCCGCCGCTGCTCGTCACCCAAATCACTTGCCTCTATCGCGTGCCTCGACAGCGCCTGATGTTGCGAGTGGTTTTTGGAGAGCATGGTTCGAATCTGCCGTCAATCACCTCCTGCAACTCTCGCGTGCTCGACGGGCTGAAAGACTCCTTGTGTGACTCATGACTGACTGCTTTGTCTCATAGACCCCTTCGCGGAGGCCGACGACGACACTGGGGAAGCGAAGCAATCCCAGAATTACATCCATATCCGTATCCAGCAGCGCAATGGTCGTAAGACTCTGACCACCGTTCAAGGCCTTCCGAAGAAATTCGACCAGAAGAAGATCCTCAAAGTGATCAAGAAGAAATTCGGTACGTGAAAAGAGGATGGCCCTTAAGGACATCGGCTGACAAGAGAAATAGCCTGCAATGGCACAATCGTCACGGACAGTGAGATGGGCGAGGTGATTCAGCTTCAAGGCGATCAGCGCAAAGATGTTCAAGAATTCTTGGTCGCCAAGGACGGCCTCGAGCTCGACGCAAAGACTATCAAGGTGAGCAGATTCTGCTGCGCCGCACGCAATGACGCCTGACTAACCTTGTGCCAGGTCCATGGTTTCTAAACGCCTCAGCCGGCATCCTGTGCTATCCTGCTCGGTTATCGAGGACAGATAGAAGTTGTCGACTGGGCCTCAAATCACTTTTCTAACGATTACTTCTGGCCTGTGTGTCTTCGCTGGTCGATGCAGTGGCCTGGTCACGATAGCACTTTTGGGATGCGATAAGGTTACGCGTTTGATGATACCCACGATGGAAATTTTGCCTTCGGACGGAATGGGTGGCACGGGATTGTTGCAGTACGGGATAGGGATCAGCAACATTTGGCTGTGACGAAGGTGCTCACAGCACTCGGCTGGGGACGCGAGATACGAGGATTGGGCTGGTTTCTATCATTGATCCCACCAGTCCATGCATGGTAGCTTTGAAATCATTATCGGAGTGTTGGAAACAACCAGTGTCACTTGGGCGGCGTCCGTCTTTTCCATTGTTCTCGTCGAGTTCCCATTCTGATGACCTGCCGTTCTTGCGCCACCGGAATACACGCTTTGGATCAACCAATGCCTTTGTACATGGACTAACCTCATTCCACCTGGTTTAGATGAATGTACCAGCTCCTGTACCAGCTGGAGCGGCCGGAATGGCTCTGCCGCCAAGAGTCTGGGGTAATTTGAAGCGAGCAGGCTTTGACGTTCGTGTGGTTCAGGTTGTGCCTCTTGTCGCGTCTGGCATATATAACAGGTCACGCGCCTCCTTTCTGCCACCACTGCTCTTCACCCTTTTGCCTCGCGTTGACGCATGGTTTGTCTCCTCAAAAACCCTAAGCCTTGTATAAGAAGACCAGGAGAGTTTGGGCTTTTTTGACTTTGGGAACTGGGACAAGATATTTACTAGTTTTTTTCCTTTTTGCCTGGAAAAGGGCGGGAGACCACCACCTCCTCACAACATCCCTGCGGAAGGAGGCTATGCAGTCGCCATAGCGCTGCAGAACCATTTTCCAACTGGCGAACTCGGGCCAACATCTGGCAGGCCCACCATCATACGGCGATGGCGATGCTTTTGTTCAACGACAACAACAGCAACGACGCAACGACAGGGGAAGCTTCCGCTATGCTGCTGCCAGTGTTGGTCCTTCAAGCCCGTCAGGCCCGTCCCGGTGGTCACCACCCCCGGCCCAGGTCCAGCCCAGCAGCCTTGTGCCCGGGGTAGGCGGCGAGAACGCTACCAACATCGCCAGTGTCGCCATGTCGGCTCGATACCCACGCGTAGCGGTGCTCCTGGGCGTGCAGCCTCGATGGCACGTGCCGCTCTTGCTCTGTCGGGCTCTCTCGACCGTGTCGGCCGCGTGGTGGGCGTGCCAGACTTGTTTCAGCATCTATCTGCTCATCTCGGACTACGATACAACGGCGGCGGCGGACACCACGACGACGTCGTCGTCATCGTCGTCCTTGTTCACGACGCTGTCAGCAGCAGGTGGTGGCGGCGGTGGTGGTATCACTGGCGGAATGAGCGCTGCTGCTGCTGGAGCTGGAGCTGGAGCTGGGAACAGTGGTTCTCGTTCGCTTTTGTTGGAGAATCGCGTCTTCAGGCGCATGGCTGTTGCGCAGGTGTGCTTGAGCTTTCTCTGGGTATGTTCTTGTTCCCATTATTGTCCTTGATCCTTGATCCCTCTTTGCCTCAGGGGGAATGTTTATGGAGAATTTGCCTTGCGCCCATCATCCTCATCACCCGTTGCAATGCCCAACGGATGTTTCTTCATGATATCTGGTCCGGCTCGAAGATGCTAGCTAGCTCTCGGGCTCAGCCTTGCATTGAAACCAAACCCCCCGTCCTATTTTCCCTCGTTCAACGCGAGCCAAATTTAAGGAAGAAAGATCAGACCAAACTCAAGCTAACCTGCCGCTCTCTCGTTTGTTTCCTTATCTAGGCCGGCGCCGCAGCCTACCTCGCACACATGTTCGCCTCGTCCCTAATGTCGCGGTGGCTCTTACACTACTCTCCCCTAGCGGTCCTCGTGCGTCTCTGCAGCCTCTCGATCCTGCTGTCTTTCGGATGCCTGCAGATCTTCCGGGCCTCGCAGGCGACGGAACCGAACTTGCACCTGCTGAGTCGCAGCCTGCTGGCCTGGATCGCCATCTCGATCGCTCTGATGCTCGCGTACTTTTGTACCCAGCAGGACATTTTCTCTGCGGCGGCCTACGAGCAACACGGCCGCCACGATGACAGAGACCGCGAGGAGAGAGATAATCGTCGCCGTCGCCAGATTCTTCGCCTCAAGTGTCTCTATGTTATTTCGGCGTGTAGTCTTTTTAGTCTGTTGGTCTTGGTGGGCATCGTACAGTTTGATGACATCGACATGAGTTTCATGGGATTGTATACGGCTGCTCTTGAGAGAGGCAGTCAGGGCTGCGTTAGCACTTTTGAGGATTGCAAGGCGTTGGCGGCGGATATGCTTCGTCAATGGCGCAGGTTCGCTAATGGCGCGGTGAGGTTTGGGGCTGAATTGTGACATTTAACAACCCAAAAAAAAAGACAAAGGATGATGACCAGCGAGTTTTGTCTCTTTTGTTTTTGACTTGTTCCTTTTTTAGTTAACTGCTCAGAAATGTATGCTATGCACGGATGGACGGACGCTTCGGGTGCAACGAGGAAAGGAAACCAGAGGACGGGGGGTGCGGCGCAAAGGAGGTTGAATGGATGGGTATGAATGAATCACGCCGTTTTGATCAGCAGCAATGCAGTATCTCTCTTTCCACTTCAAACCGCCGTATCTCTCTTCCCCTCTCTATCTTCTCGCCTGACTGAGTATCATCGAATGGACTGAACACATCCATTCCGTGGCCGTCGTTATATTCACTGCCGGAGAGACCTGTTCTTTGGTCCTCCTCCATATCACCATCTCTTTATATATATCTGGATCTCTAAACGTTGTAGATCTCTCCATCATATATCCAATGTAACATCCCTTTTTCTAACTTTCTTCTTCTGCAGGAGAGGCGAGGGCTGCTGTACATATATCACTTCTCCCACGCCTCTCCCTTCATCTATTCATCGAACTGCGACTTCTCTTCCTCATGCCCACGTCGGGCCTCTGCGTCTCGCTATGACTTCCCGTCCGCCTTGTTGCGGCGGTTCCAATATCGCGACCAGATCTCTTGTTGGCCAGGACGCTCTGCAATTCGTGGCTCTCGCCTCGCTCCAATGAGTCGTCCACGACGGCGATTTCGTCGTTCTCGTCTGGAGGGGACTCTCCTCCCTCGCGGCCGGCCGGCGTGCTCTCGCCGCTCTCGCCGTACGCGCCGCCAACGCTTTCCATGACGAAGGCGCCAGCGGTGGGTGCGTCGAGGGCGCGGAGCTCTTCCTCCCGGAACCACTTGGGCATCAGCCACGTGCGGAAGGGGATCAGTAGCAGAATGATGATGGGAAAGCCGATGGCGGCGATGGTCTGGGAGATGGCAAAGGTGGCGCCGAAGCCAATCAATTCACACGCCACAAAGACCCAGATGGCGGCGCGGCGCTCGATCCGTGCCAGAGGGTCCGTCGCGTCCGTCAGCTCCTTGTCTCGCGCCAGGAAGAGTAGCTTTTGGGTAATGCCGTTGCCCACGAGGGCTTGCACGCCCATGACGAAGAACAACCCAGCAAGCACACCCTGTGGGATCAGATGGAGCACGACCAGCAGTGGCCCGCTCATTGTGACCAGGAACAAGAGACCTTGTGCCAGGTTGCTGAAGCGCTGCTCGACGACGTGATCTGTGACCCGAACGAGATGGCCTCTCGCCTTCTCGTCAGCAACTTGCCTTGTCACGCAGAGGGCATTTGTGTGGAATGGCGCCTGAGGGATGAGGCCATTGGGGAAAGGAATCCCCAAAATTCCAGCGATGCCCGTGGTGAGCCCCAGGAGGAAAATATCCCAATGGAAGCCCGGTGGTTTGCGGAGAGGAAATTCCGTCCCCTGCGCAATAAGAGATGACACTAATGCTTTGGTTAGATGACTGTCAACCCGGAAGTAGCTGCTGGGATCTTACCGTTGTGATCAAACCAGAACAGAACTGTCAGCAGGATCGCAAAGGGAATTGCCAGAAAGACCTCTCCCACACTGATGTCCCAAAAATGGACAAACCAGCCACGGTCGGCGGTTGGGTGGAACGACTTGCTCGTCGGCAGTGTCTCGAGATGGACATTCTTCATATGGCCGATGTGAACGAACCCAGTGAAGAAGATGATTGTCAGCGGAGTGCCGTAGTCCTCGATGAATTTCCGCACATGACGTTGTAACAGGTTGCTGTTGCCGAGAACACCGCACCCATAAGCGAAGCCCAGGACGAGCAAACTGACCATGACAGAAAGGTAGGCACTCGTTTCGCCGGCCAATCCCCACTGTCTGGTCAGGACTTGGATGCCCTTCTGCAGATAGATGAAGGCAACGTAGAATCCGAAAGTATCACAGCTGAATCGCGTGACGTAGGTCAACGCATTGCAACTGTTGGTGATGGCGAGGAACCAATGCATAATCAGAGCCCAGATGCCGATCCAGGCCATGAATGCAAAGAAGTTGGTGCCCTGGCCAACGATAATGTCGTACACCGTATAAGAGAAGACGGTGATGGGACCAGTAACGCCTACGATGACGAGTGGCTGGGCGGCGAAAAGAGAGAACACCACACAGGCCATGACCGAGGAGAGTAGGACTTCGTTGACGCCGTATGAGTTGTGGGTCTTTGTGAACATGTCGAGGGAGAATGCCAATGCTGGTAGGATGCTGGAATCGCAGTTAGCGTCTGAATACGACACAGGTAAGGGAGTCTAGAGGATATCGACAGGGAAAGGGGAATTTTGCAAAGACTTCAAGACAGAGAAAGACGTGTGAGGTTTGTGTCAATGGTAGATTGTGTATGGACTGCGCGTACTTTGCAAAGTACATGTACACTGTGGCAGGGATGACTCTATAATCCCAAGCGTCCCTCCAGTCACTCCAGTAGTACGGCGCCCGTCTCTTGACGTCGTCCACCATGCCCTTGAACCAGCGTATCTTGTACCATTTCGGGCTGCGACGGTGCGAAGATCGAGTCGTCTGTCGCGAAATGTGCTCTGAGAGACGTTGGATCTCTTCGGGGTCTGGTCGAGAGTGACTCGAGTGGAAGGACGGTCGATGAGTATGCTGCCATGGCTTCTTCTGGACTGAGTGAGAGGAGGATCGGCGGCGCACAATGGCGGGAGGAGTGCGAGAGGATGAGGGAGTGATGACTTCGGTGGAAGTTGTCATGCTGTCGTCGCGGGCAGCCTAGTGGTCTGGGGTCGGATTGAGGTCTGGTTCGAGCGGAATCTCAGCTGCATCGAGCGAGGATGCTGTGGAGAGTGTAATGGATGGACAGTATCCAGTGTGAGAACGGGTATAACAAGAACGAAACACGCAAGAAGAGGAAAAGACGCAGCAATCCGTCAGCCCATTCCTTGAGCAACAGACCAGGGTGGCCTCGTCGATACCATTGAGCCCGTCGGAGCGTGCGACGATACCAGATGAAAAGGACGGAGGAAGGGAGAAAGCGGTGGGGGTTCGACGGCGGCGATAATGGCGGCGACGTCAAGGATCGTCATGCATTGTGGGCATCAATGGATCACCGCCTCTTCACTCGGTATTTTCGTGCCGTTGGGCGCAGCGCAGGGGAATTTTCTGGCCCTTCACGGCGAGCATGGCACCCCGCATTGTGCGTCTTCCGTGCTCCACCGTACCCAGCGTTTCCCCAATACGGGAAATCAGATACACCCAGCCGCAGTCTTCATCGAATGCTCATCCATGATTCTGTCTATCTCGTCCACAACCTCGTCGGCACTGCTGTATTGAAAAGTCCAGCATTTTCGGATCACGGATCCCAAAATCAGACGGTCGGTATCTGGAAAGCCGCCGGCCTTGTATAGCTCCTCGATCTCCCTGTCTGTCTTGCCATGGTAGGGCTGCCACACTGTTGAAATCTCGAATATGATGCAGCCCAGAGAATACAGTTCAGTGTGTATGCTCGGCTTTTTGTTACCGATAAATAATTGAAACCCCTCATGACCACCAGGTAACACCGTAGGCTCCCCGTGGTCTATCGAAGAGCCAGCAAAGTCACATAGCTTGATGTTGTCTTGATGGTCGAGCAGGAGATTGTGAGTCCCAATGTCAACCTGAAGAACACTCTTTCCATGGATGTCCTGCATCGCCTCGCTAGTCTGCTTGGACCATTTGAAAATTTGTGCCTCAGCCGGTAGTTCATTTTTCTGCCGGAGTTCAATGAGTCGCAGCCGCAACGGGTATTGGAGCCTCTCGAGGATGATTCCTTTGTCGTGGATGGAGATACATTTGACAATGCGTGGGTGGTGACCGAGGCGCCCGTAGATTTCCCGCTCAACCATGTGGTCGCCATGATCCTCCTCGCTTCCAATGGCGACCTTGATGACGGTCTTGTCGTCCAAGGCGAACACTGCACCTGAGCCGCCCTGGGAAATATAGGGAAGATCGAAAACGAAGCCTTGGAGTTTCTCGGCCCACTCCGCCATTCCAAGTGATATGAACAACTTGAAGCGAGCAAAAGACCGGGGAGAAGAAAGCCAAAGTTCTCCATTGGCAGGTTAAAGGGGGAAGAATGCAAGGCTGCTCGACTGGACCAATCACACGAGGTTTCGCCTGAGGTGCCTCGTCCTCAGCCAATCAACGGGAGCATCACCACAGACATGGACATACCGAGTAGTGACATAGCACCTGCACCATCACTAGGTATTGAAGCCTTTGCACATAATCGTTGTCATGTGGTACCGAGTACTCTTGAGCGACATCGTGGTGTTGTGCAGCAAATGTGGCAAACTTGCCAAGGGGAGGGTGTCGTTAGGCTCTAGCCTGACTACTAGCCAGCTAGGTACTCAACTGCTGAACTCATCGAGGGTGTTCTGTTCAACGACCTTCTGCCTCAACTTCAATTGACTTCGTACCTCGATAATTACATCCAAACTGGACTGCTTCCATAACTACGATCACTAAGGTCGAATTCTCTGGGTGCGACGACGGGCGTAATCATTCCGCCACCCCGAGTGCCTCCATGTATCCTGCTCTATAACAACCACCCAAGATGAGCCCTCTGGCATTGCCTCAATGCTCACTCTCGTCGGACTTGCCGACCTTCCCAGACTACAGGATAGATGATCTTGATCACCGAGTCGCTACTGACCAGAATGTTGTCGACTGGTGCCGACACTGGCGCCAACACGCGAAGAATAGATCAGGTCAAGACCGCCTGCTCGGCGAATGGACCTCCAACCTGCTGGTCAAGATCAGCGACGAAGCGGTGGTGAAATTTGGCGTGCTGGTGACGCCGTCCGAAGCGGCCAACCAAGAGTTTGCCCGAAGCTTACTAGAGTCGCGATGTCTATCTGTACGCGTCCCTCGCGTATATCGTTTCTTTCAAAGCCAGGATATCGACAGCCACTGGCAGGACCCGGTTGGCTTCCTCATTATGGAATTCGTCCCCGGGATATCACTCTCAGATATGGCTCTTGAAAGTCTACCGCCCTACGTTGACGGAATCTCTCAGGCCATACAAGCTATGCTAGGAACTCACCGCAACACTCCAGGCCCAGTCGATGGCGGAGAGCCCAAAGGCCCTATATGGGCACCCGACTACCGTGCCTACGAACACTTCAAGTCAGTCCACGACCTTGATGCCTGGTTTGATCGGGCTCTGGTGCCAGAAGGCGCAACCATCGAACTGAATCAATACCCTCCGTCGTTCTGCCACCTCGATTTTACTCGGCGTAATATAATTGTCGCCCATGACCAGACGTTGTATCTTCTCGACTGGCAATGCTCTGGCTTCTTTCCTTGGGTCCTTGAAGTATGGAATTTCGAAATTACTCTGGCCAACGATACCGCGTACAAGGACCTTTTGATAGGGACACTTCCATCCCTCAATGAAAAAGAAAAGGTCACCCATTGGCTACTGTGGCGTGCCTACTATAACAACATGCTTCGCAATCTGTTAGTCGTCCGCGTACACAGTTGAAAGAGACTACTAATTCGCGCTAGGTCGGTCAAGGCAAAGCGACGTGGTTGGTAGAGAGGGCAGTGAACGACAAAGACGTAAGTGGAGGGAGGTTGTGAGGGCCTGTCACAAGATGCCAGGCGCTGTGACGACTCTACCGGCGTCAAAAGAATCATGAAATCATCGCGTCAAGCTTGTTCCCGCAACCTCATTCAAGAAGCAATCAACTAGCTGTTTGGACGGCCTCTCGGAAATCCCCTTGACACTGCCAGATCTTTGCATGGCTTACCACCTTCTAACGAGGCACAGATTTGACGCCCGGACAAAAACTTTCCAGACGCCACATTTTGTCAATAAAATTCCCCCAGCTCAATATTGTGTTCTATCGGAGGCAATTGAACCGAGTAGTTATTCCTCAATACTGTGGACAATTCAGCCCCAGCGTTTAGGGAGAGAATTTCAGCACCCGCGAAGTCGTTGACCACATTCCAGCTGGGCTTGTAAGTTGATGGCTTGGTCCAGCGGGAAGACAGCACTCACCACCACCATTGGCAGCCCCCATGCGACGTCATCTAGTATCTATGTCTCCGTTTCGTCTCAAGGAGGTCCTTGATCTTTCTAACGGTCACTGGGTTACTCGAGGGGCTGACTGGAAAGTCAAACCACGCTGCCGCATGAAGAGTGAGGGCATAGGGGAGACGAATGATGGAAAGCTCGCCATTCCGGGGGCCTTCTGGCTGCATGTCGAGACGGATGGACTCATCCGGGCTGGCTGTGAGCAAGGATATAGACCAGTGGTTGTAGCTGATATCAGCACCGGGCTTGACTGGGCCCATATTGTGGACAACAACCCTGACTTGGGTCACTTCAAGACAGTCGAAATGGGCCGTCTGAAAAGCATCGGATGACATGGTGGCGGGTAATTGCAGGGTTTCGGCTTGAAAGGAGAAAGGACGAAGAGGATAAAAAGGGGGCCCCCGGGGAGCCAGAGGCCGACCACTATTTAAGCACTTCCGTAAGTGGTGAAGGTGAAGAGGTGCCGTATATGTGCTGTAAAGAGATACTGCTGTCAAATCAAGATGGTACGATTCATGCCGGCCATGTTTGATGAAGGCCGTGGTTATGGCGCTACCTGCCGTACGCTGCATTGCTTTGTAGAATCGGCGGCGCGTAGTCTCCCCTTCCTTTTCCCTTGACGCTACCTAGAACTAGATATTTGCGCCCGTCCTCTATAATTAGAGGAGCTACGGTCGAGGGATCCTTGCTAGATGTAACGGTGTAGCGTTCGATCGTGATCCTTCTTTATCTTAGAGATATCCCTCTAACCGCCGCAGACCTCGTCAACTCGTTCACCCTTGCTCGAGCCTATAGGTCGTCGGTACTGGCGATACGCATACTAATGACAGCGGCAAAATGAAGGGTCAGGGGGCCTCGAAGGTACTGGCGACGGAGATATACCTTGACGGGAGGACCGTCGGCAGCTTGAGTTGGCGATGCTCGAAAGAGAACTCCACAGCCCTCGGCCTGGGAGTCGGACTCGACTTCTGGTTTCTTTTCTTCGTCCTTCTTGGAGGAGAGAAGGGGGGGAACTTCAAGGCGCAAATTTTTTAGAGCGACGGCCAGAATTTATGGGGAGCACCCAGGAACCGCACCACATCTAACCTGCCCGATAGTTTTAGATCCTGGTCGAGTGGTGGGCGTGGAGATGGGACTCCAGAAGGAACACGGGCCTGGTCAAAGACGACGGTGATGGAAGGTGAGAAGACGAGTGTGTGACGAGGTGAGCGGTTTTGAAAGAGGTGTGGTCTGGGGTGAGTCCCAAAAGGGAGCTGCGAGCACTGGCAGTTTTCACAATGCTGGTGCTGCCCAAGGCTGTCTGTGTCCAGGACGACCTGCCTCAAAACAATGCACTACATCTGTGCAATAATGTTGGACTATTGCCCAGATCGGACTGACATGGTCGACGTGCTCCTCGTAGCCAAGGGAGCAGCAATCGCTCCGCCGCCCAGGTCCTCTGACGCTGGTGACCTCGCAGCGGCCGTTCCCTCTTTCACTGTCAGTAAATCAGTACATGCTTCACCTTCCAGCACACATTAACCCTGAGAATTTTTCCCTAGAGCACATCCGCCGGGAAGTTCTTTGACCCCTGATCTCCCTCTTGACAAACCCTCTCTCTAGCGCCGTACCGGGCTTTTCACTCCTCTTGCCCTATTGCGCGCCGCGACGCATATGGCATCGGTTCCACCGGCTCAGCCTTGCCCGGCCTCGGCTTGTGATGGGACATGTCCTTGAACCTCCAATCACATCTGAGACAAGTTGTTTGCCCAGCGATAGAGTTTAGCAAAGAAAGAGAGAACTTGCTTTCAAATCCAGCCGCGAGCGGAGGACGGAGGGTCGACTTTACGCCCCGAATTCGGGCGCCGGAGACAACACCGGCGACCGCATTCGGACACACGCCCAGGTTGGTCCCACGGAGAGACAGCAAACTCTTGGTAATGCTGTCTGGTGCTGTGCTGTGAGGGGAAGGAAGTGACGGAATTCCAAATGATTCACTAATCATCCGAGGCTGTTGAACCTTAGGTAGTCAAAGGGTGGTCTTGGGTGGGGTTCACAGGGCTCGTATGTAGAGCGTATAGTTGTGAGGGCCATTCTCCAATATAAAAATTGTGGGGGATTGTCATGATTGTGTCATTGACGTCGCGAAGCACCACAGAGATAGCTATACAGCTACCTAGGTACTCGTAAGGCTATAACTCGAAACAGGCGACAAATGACCCATCGCCTTGAACAACAAGCCCAACACATCACCACCACAGGCAACCCATCCACTTCGTCCATCACCATGACGACCCCTCACACGCCCAACATCACGCTATACACGGACTCGACGCCCAACGGGCTCAAAATCTCCATCGCGCTCGAGGAGCTCGGCCTGCCCTACAAGGTCGAGCACATCGACATCTCGACCAACCGCCAAAAGGAACCCTGGTTCCTCGAGATCAACCCCAACGGCCGCATCCCCGCCATGACCGACACGTTCCGCGGCGACGGCCAGAAAATCCGCCTCTTCGAGGCCGGTGGGATCCTGCAGTATTTGATCGACGAGTACGACAGCCAGGACCACAAGATCAGTTACCCCCGCGGCACCCGCGAGTTTTATGAGATGGTCAATTGGACGTTCTGGCAGAATGCCGGGCTGGGGCCGATGCAGGGCCAGGCGAATCACTTTGTGAGGTAAGACTACCTACGGGCGACTCTCGAGGGAGGTTGTTCTTGGCCTTTTTTCACCCTACCATTTTCTTTCTGTTCTGTAGAGGGCGAAGCAGGAAGCAGAGATAGCCATGACGGAAAAGAGAGACAGAGAGGAGGGCCCACCGCGTCATACCCAAGCATGGCAAAAGCGAAGAAACATTCACATCCGAACCCAAACTCCTAATTTTTGTGTCCATAGATACGCGCCCCAGAAGATCGAGTACGGCATGAACCGCTACGTCAACGAAACCCGGCGCCTGTACGGCGTGCTGGACAAGCACCTGCAGACCTCCAAATCGGGCTTCATCGTCGGCGACCACATCTCGGTCGCCGACATCACCACCATCGGCTGGGTCATCTACGCGGGCTGGGCTGGCGTCGACATTGACGAGTTCCCCAACCTCAAAAAGTGGGAGGACATGATGAGCAGCAGGCCCGCGGTGAAAAGGGGCTGCGATGTCCCCAAGCCGCTCACCATCAAGGAGCGCCTCAAGGATAAGGCCGGGATTGAGGAGTACGCAAAGAAGGCGAGTCAGTGGATCGTGCAGGGCATGCAGGATGATGCGAAGAAGAAGTAGAAGTAAGTAGACTTCCAGGGAGGTTATATTGCAATAATGGTTTGAAATGAGCATTGTGCACGCTTTTGTATGGGGCGTGGACTGGGCTACCTACCTACCTAAGTACCTACCTGCATTCGCGAGTTTCTTTCGGTTTTGGAAACGAGATAGATAATAATGTGCTTCAGGCCAAGAATCCCCGAATTGTCTACCAGAGAGCGAATAGTCACACTACCTACCGTACCGCATGACCTCTTGGCCGATGATTTCCCGCTCTGTTGAGCCCTGCTCTGCTCTGCCCTGTCCGGGTGTGCTTCTCACGTGTCGTGCTCGGTCGAGGGCCTAGGTTTACATACGCGCTCCGATCCACACACGCACACGCATACAGAGGTGGGCCATTCTCTGCTTCGCCTTCTAGACTTGTTCTTTTGCCCCTTGCATCATCTTCATCACCTTCCGAGTCCCTACCTGACGCGACCCACAAGTTTCGCCAGGGTCGTCGCTACCGGCACGTCCAGAAAAGCTTCGGCAGGACAGGGAGACCCCCTGGTCACATCGTCATCGCCCCTCCTCATCTGAGAGCGACAACGAGCGGTGCCCTGGTTGGGGAAGCCCATCATCGTAACGCAAGACCCACACAACCTCCAAAGGCGGCTTGAATGCTCGCGTGCGTCCTTTTTCTTGCCTTATTGAAGTAACGATGGAGAGGGGAGATGGGTAGGGTCAACTTCGGCTTCGCTTGTGGATTGCATTCGCTTGGTGCGAAAGATGAAAAAAAAAAAACAAGGGCACCTCCCGACTGGCGAAGGGTGGGCAGCTCAGCGACAGGGACAGGGGGCAGACCGTCGCGTTTTCGAAGCAGTCCCGCAGCTTCCATGAGACCCTTCTCTTGCATACGGCGAGGGTGGGCAACGAAGCGACAGGGTGACGAGCTTCAAAGGGGGAAACCGTACCTTTCTCGAAGCAGGCCCACAGCTTCCATGAGACCTTTATTGCATACGTCGAAACCTTGACAGGCGTCAGGAGGGGACCGTCGCCCTTTCGAAGGAGTCCCACAGCTCCCATGAGACGTTCTCTTGCATACCTCGAACCCTTTCCAGCCTTATCCGAGCTATGTCGTGCAGGTCGGAGGAAGAGTAGCAGTCAGTAGTAGGGCATGGAGCCTGGCAAAGTGACCATCGAGAGAGCTCCACATCTTCCATGAGACCTTCTATGCAAACGTCGAATTGCAGCATGGCAAAGTAACCATCAGGGGAACTCCACAGCTCCTATGAGACCTTGTAAAGCAGCAAGAGGTGCTTAAATGAGGCTGATTTCATCTGCAGTAGTCCTCCTTGGGCGAGGGGGCTGAATACAAGTGGACAGAAGACCTTCGGTAGGTGGGTAAGGGTGTCTGTCAACCGAAGCTCCATAGCTTCCATGGATCGTTCTCTCGCATAGCCGTAGGATCAGAATCTCGCCTGTCCGGGTGATTTTCCTGGTATTCAGCCTGTTGCTGGAGCAGGGTCGCTCCTTCGAGTTGCGGCCAGACCCTAGCGTTGGTGGTGACCTAGTCTGCAGATTCATTAGCACGAAATCGTTGTACTTTGCATCCCACTGTGTGATAACGAGTGGAGAGCGCCGGCGACGTCAACGAGCACACTATCCGAGCGCCACCGCGATGGAAGTCTCCATAACGGCGTCGTCCGAAGGCTGGCGGTGACGGCATTGTGGACATGTGGCTACTTAGTTTTGTAGCCTCGTGTATCCGAGTCGATAGGAGAGCTGGCGGGGGAACGAAAAATCTCTTCCAAGGGGAGGGGCAGAGGGGCAGAAGGAGCCGGACACCGTCCACCTTATCCATCCACCTTCTTAAGCTGGAATCCGTACAGGACGGACGTTGTGTTCTGAGCGGAGCCTCCAGCCTTGCTGGTCCCAGTTGACCAAGTGCAACAGTGACAGGTTCCATGGTGGTAAAGCCCGTCCAACCTGGTCTCCAAGGGCCCAAGGAGCTAGGGGACGTGCATGCAGGTGGACTGTGCTCCCTCTAAGGTCAAACACGGTATGGTTGTCCCGACCGTCTTCTGTAGTGACTCGCTTGCTCAGATGATAGATCCTTTGGAGGGCTTGGTGGATTGGTGGTGCTGACGAGGCAGTATATTCCGTTCTAGGAAATCCCCACTGCAGGTCCAATTAGGGGGTTTCTCAACTGCCCCAAAGGCACAGCTGCATGACAAAGTAGCTCACTCAGCCAGTTTCTAGTGTTTCTAGAAGACACAGCGAAAAGGGAATGGCTAGACACCGAGATGATTCGTGCTGGCGGGTTGAAAGCATGGCTCTCTCGAATCATCCTCATGGATTCGTATGCAGGTGCCGTCTGGACCAAACCATGGCGCTCGTATTCAGCCGTGGCAAAATGCCAACGGTTCCAACCAGGGAGAGCACATCGACCGCGCCGGCAGCCAGCATGAACGCAAGATGCCTCCTTGACCAAGCTGTTGACTGGGTTTCCCCAGAGTCAAATGCTGTGTCATCCACGCCATTACCAAGTATCCCGCCTCGCGCAGTGCATTCAATGCCAGGCTCACCGTGCAGACCTCAGAATTGACGAGCTCAGCTTGCATAGCTAAGGAGATCATGTGGGGGACAAAGAGCGGCTCAGGGAAACCAGATCCTTGTGAGATCTGCTGTTTGCTGACTCAAGCCCTGTGCGAGATTCGTTCGACGGTTGGCGAGTCATTGTCATGTCTTTGTGGCACATTCTTCAGCAGGACGAGGATGGAATTGGGATACCTCTTAATGGCAAAAGGATACACAATACCGAGTACAGCTTGCAGAACGAAGTGCGAGGAGGATGCAGGCCGCACTATCAATGGCATTGCAGGGAAAAGGGTTGTCGAAACACCGGTCACGGGTTCCAAAGGTTTCATATTGGGCACAGCTTTTTGTACCGACAGGATGCGAAGGGACGATTGGCGGAGCGACGTGGCGTTGGAACCGAGACCAACCAGCAAACCAGGGCCACGGCCCCCCAGTCCCCCAACTGAAGCCTTTGGCTGATTCAACGGCCGACCAGTGAGATACAAACCCGAGCCCTGGTCTTCGCTTGGCTCGCTAAGGGCACAGATGATTTGCGATGGCTCCTTCATCCGCCGTCCGATGTCCACCAGATCTCGTCACCTGATGATCACAACCAAGTCTGGAAGCAAGCGTATCCGGTGCTCCGGATCGTCGATCTGCCGCGCCCGTGAAGCCTGTCTGGTCACTTTTGCTGTGCTCTCTGCTTGCTCTGCTGGCCCTGCTCGCTCTGCTTCGGTCAGAAGGTTCGCCAGGTCAAGCGAATGACAGAGGGAGATTAGAACGAGGGGCATCGACCGGCATGTTATTCTCAAATCATCTCAAATAAAATTATGCAACTACCTCGTATGCAGTGTGGTGCAGCAGCATTGGGGATCAGTCAGCAGCGAAGACAGCGCTAGTCCTATGAGGGTAGTGTGTCGATCTTTTACAGCATAGCGAGACGAGGAAGAGGAGGAGAGAAGAAAGATACGAGGTACCTACCTTACCTAAGGAATGGTTTGTTTGTACCATTTGATTCCAGGAGGTTGTACGAAGGCAACTCAGCCGACCTTCTGCAGCACGTGCAAGGCCACCGATCGACAGCCATCACATCACAGGAACCGGCAACGCAGCAGGTTGAAAACCTGCCAAATACCAAGCTTTGGCGACAGCTGAACCCTGATGATCGAATTGAGTACGTGAAAGGGTATACCAAACGAAGCAGGGCCAGGTTTCTCCAATGGGACCGACTTCCCAATAGGAGAAGTAAGGGTCACCGCAAATCCCTTTTCGGGCCCCAAAAGGCGTCCCGTCGCTCTGAAGGCCTGAATATCAACACATGGTTTGTTTGGGCACTGATAAGGTGACCGGGCTCTCTGGATCCTCCTCTTTGCAATCCCCTCTTTGGGAATGATGGACCAAGCAGCCTCAAACTTTGCAAACAAAAGCCACGACACTTCGAAAGAGCAATGATTCATGAGAACGCAGAATCATGGGCGTGAAAGGGCGCCTGATCAGCGTGTCCACTGACCTCTTCAGACAGAGATTTGGAGGGTATACGTACTGCCAGACAGGAGGGAGCATGTGCCAGGTCCATGCCCTCCCCAGGTCATGGTCAGATACGAAGAAGGAGGGAGTGTTTATGGACATTCGTTCACGCAGATCTTTTCTTCAAGGCAACACGCCGTGGAACTCGAAGCGATCTGAAGAGAGGGACGTTATCGCAACGAAGAAATCAAAAGAATGTTGTCGCGTCCACCTCTGCAGCTGACTCAAGCAAACAGAAACACCCCCGTGGGTATCCGGAATGATGTCGCGGGCACTGACCACTGTACTGGGAGCAGCGGAAACGTTTTCGCAGTGGAAGCCTGGCTGGTGAAAACTAACAACAGGGTGGCCAAAGACGGTGCTGCATCAGGACCGAGTAAGCCCAATGCAGGCCTGCTGGACAACCACTTCACGAGGGCAATCCTTTCAGCTTCGGTGAGCTGGAGATTCCTGAGGCAGAAAGAAAGTGGTTTTGAGAGCCAGGCCAGGCACGTTCGAAGTCATCAGGCATGGAGAGACAAACGAGTTATTCCGATGACTCTCTGTGTGGCCAAGGACATTGGCATTTGCTTACGGGAGCGGTAGGCGCTGATTGGCCATGGTTAGAAATTCAAGAATGAAAAAACACTCTTGGATTAAACATTGCTTGGTGGAGAGTGAGAGGGAGGGAATTAAGAAAACAAGTGAGAGAAGCCGAAAGTGCACTGCAGAAACGACCCATTGGGGGGCAAAAAACACAACGGAAGTAAGGAAACTAAGAAACACCAATAAGTAAGATATGGAGGAATTCGGGGCGAGTGCAGGATTCGCACGTGGGTCGCATTGTAGCCGGACGACAAAATCACGCCCCAAGATGAACCAAGGGGAGAGAATAACTGCCTAGGTAAGGGGGGTATAGCAATAATCATGATGATAATAATAATAATGAATGCTGAATAAAACCTTGAACGGTGAGCCAAAGAGCCCCAAAGAGCCAAGGGCAAAAGTGCGGCCCCCTTTGGAATTTCTGATTTGATTGAATGAATTTCCTTTCGGCCCTCGCACCAAATAATGGCTGACCACCCCCGGGCCCGAGAAAATGAATTTGGGGGGCGTTACGGGTACGAGCAGTGGTTGGTAGTAGGTACGAAGTGATCACAGGTAGTTTTTGGGGCGGCCCACGGATGGTTTCGGCCGCAAATTCAGGCCCTAAGCTCCGCTCCTGCGTACGAGAGTTGGGCCTCTGGAACGAAAAAAAGCAAAATTCCGATTCCGAGTGACTCAAGGGGACCAGCATGGCATGATCAGCAGGCAAGGCAGGCTAGGACTCTCGGAGAGATTTCATTCCAGAGTCCATCCCGCACCATCGTCGGTCGGCTTTAATCTAAGCGCGAATGGCAATCACCACCTCTGCAAACAAGGCGTAGGCGTCTGGTGATCGGAGATCGAAAGAAGTCACAGAGTTGTGCTCAAACAATGCGCAAAGGCATGAAACAATCGAACAATTTGCTTTTGTTTTTCAGATGATTATCATTTTGTCAGGTGTCTCGACCTTCGATCCTAACATCGAGGGAGAACTATCTGCCATTGTACATAGAGTAGAGTCATATTGAGAAACCAGAGCCAAGAATGTTGAAGCCGTGTCGACAACGAGGATGGGCTTCCAATTCCCACAGTGCTTCCCCAGGCTGGCACAGAGGCCACGACTACTGGGTTGGCAATGAGGCTTTGGAGTCCCTTCCCCGATCTCGCACTGCTCTCGTGCTCTTTGCTGTTGTTCCTCCTAGACTGGCCCAAATTTCCGTGTGAATACATTTTGGTTCCACCGCTAAATCCAGAAGCGTCAAATGCCCAGAAACACCATGCTCGTAAAAGACGTGAATGCTAGAACGCTCGGGGTATCACAAGAGTCGTTTTCCAAGGAACAGTCAACCAACCTGCTCAATAGGCAGCGATTATGGTTGGCTGTTGTCTTGAAGGGAGGTAGAAGCCTTCTTCTTCAAAGGCTTCCGACTCTTCGGGTGATAACGAGGCGGTGTCCTTGGCGTCGTAGAATGAAGTCGTGGCGATGGCTTGTCTTTGCTTCTCGCTCAGGACTTGTATCGTGGTGGTGGGTGGTGAGGGTGGCATGTGCTCGTCTTCCGAGTCCGAGTCGGTGTCGAGGCTGAGCTCTGGAGGTGAGTGTCGGGAGGCAGTGCGGACCAGAGTCAGGTCCTCGTTGTCATCGTCGTCATCCTCCATATCGGAGTCGACCTCGATGGCGGTCACCTGGGTGTCTGGCTTCTGCTCGGTCTCGTCCTCGGATTCCTCTTCAGACGAGGCCGCATCTTCTGGTTCCCAGTCGGCTTCGGGCTCCTCCACAATGGTCTCGACGTGTCGATGTCTCTCCTCCTCTTCCTCCTGTTGAGATCCGTTGACGATGTTGTTGAACCACCGCTCCTGCTCCTGCTCGGCGTTGGCCAGATCAAGCATCAGAGAGTCGAGCATGTTGGCGTGTCCGACCAACAGGCGGAGGTCGTGGTCAGGCCGGGCAGCCTCGCGAGAGAGCTTGCCGCGAGCACTGTGGGCGAGGAAGTAGGTCTGAGTGATGCTCATCTTCTGCTTCTTCTGAGGAGGCCGGGTGTAGATGGATTGGCTGGCGGATTTGGTGTTCGCTGTAGAAGCGGAGAAAGTGACTGAGGAAGGCATTTTGCTTGTTGATGTTTGGTATGGGATTTGTTTCTGAGTCACTGGGTGTGGGGACTGGTGGTGGTGGTTTTTAGTTTGGTAGCCGTGTTGGTTCAACTGTTGGCTCAACTGTTGGCTTGACTTCTCAATGCTGGATGTTCATCAAGATGTTGTTGTTGTTTGTTGTAGTTGTGTTGATGATGGAGAGAAGAAAGGAGGCTGGTTGGAGGGGTGGGTGGACGAGTTCTTTTGTAAACTCACGGTTGGTAAGAAGGCGCTGGTATGGGGGGCCCATTAACGTTAGGATTATTGAAGGTGCCTGAGTAAGAAACGGGTGCGAGAGAGAGGATCAAGCGTGCGTAAAGACCGAACTCCACCAAGCGACAGGGGTCCCCTGTCAGCCCCCCTGGCCCTGGTCAGCTTGCACACCTGCACGCCAGCAGGGCTGTGACGGGCCCCCCAAGACTAAACCCGAGGGCGGTGTTACGTTCTCTCCGAGTCACTCTTTTGACTCTTTGACTCTTTGCCTGGAAGGGAACAAGCGGGGCTGCAGGCTGAGAAATCTGAAAGCAGCATGTCATTGTGTCGTTATGCAGCAACACGGCCAAACTGACCACTCTGCCCACCGTGCCCAGTGTCACTCACTACTCACTGCTCACTAGGTTCGGCCGTCTTCGTCTGCCTGATCTTCGGGGGGTTTGTTGCACCTCGTTGCTCTTCCCTCTTCGGCTCCAGGCTCGCAATCAGTTCCGAGTCGAGTAATGTCCTTGACCGTCGTTCTTCGTTCTTTGGGGCTCACCCAAGCTACGAGCTACTCTCTACGAACAACTCACTCGGCTGATCTCACCCTCCACCCCCGTTTCTTACGGCATCCCTCTTCTCGTTGCCTGGTGTTGCTGTGCTTCCTTGTGTTTCATGTCTATTGGGCACATCCCTCCATCAATAGCCGGCGTAAACTGGCAAGATTACTGCGTATGGGCTGATTTCCGAGGAGGGATCATGGGCAGCTTTGGCCCGATTACTCTACGGATTCCCCCATTCTCCCATACATAATAATTTGATCAGAAAGAGGAAACAAGGCGACAAGGCGGCTGGCTCTGGCAGAAAGCTCAATGACAGCATTTCCTAGGGAGTAACTGCTGAGGACGTGCTGAGAAATGTCCTGTTGCGCTGGTCCACCCACTGACCCAATGGTTGACCGTCCTTGCTCTGCGTCTTGGTAAGCCAGTGCGTTGTAACCTTTGCTTTGGCTGATGGCCTTCCTGGTCTACTACCACCTGGCGGTCAACCGTGTTCTGGACTCTGGATGTGACAATTCAACATTGCTGTGCTCTCGTAATCCAGTTGCCCACTCAACTGGCACCCAGGGTGACTCCTGGTGCGTATTGCACTGTGCGCCTGCCCAAAACGTTGCTCGCAATCCCACCCATGCTTTCTAAACACCATGCCTTCAACACGGACTCCTTGGCTCTATTATCCGGGCAAGCCACAAAGATGAAAATTTTCCTAGCAGCATGATATTCTTCCTTGGATGTGCTCAATAATTTGGCAGCCAAACGCTTGACTGCAACGCCCAGCTCCCAGAACTCTTTCCTAATTCATCCAAGTCCTTTTGATGCTTTCGGGTTTCATCCAGCTTGTCCATCTGGTGGGGGGATCTGTGTGGAAGGACACCGCATGTGTACGTTTCCTGTGGTCAAACGGGTCGTTTCGCTTTGGTATTGGTGGAATGGCCGTCAGCTCTGAAGCCCTAGCGGTGGAGGAAGGACAACACGAGGGTCTTCTCGTTTATGGGGGCTGGCTGAGGGGCCTGAGGCCCTGCTGAGGGGTAGCTCGAGACGCCTAAGGAACTCTGTCTCAGGTGGCACAATACTGCCTGCGCGGGCTCTCAAACACTTCCAACCCCGCCTATAACTTGTTACCGAGTACACTCCCGGGGATGCTGTGCACGCCCTATCCAAGTCCCCGGAGAGTTAGGGTCGCTCGCTATCGTATTCCTCGGGCTTCATCTCATGGCGCTGATTGCTATCGCACTGGCCGAGTATCTCCTGATCGACTTGACACCCAAACCCCGTACTCGGTACTCGTAGGTAGACACTTATTCCAGGAAGTGTATTCGTTGTCGCGTCGCCGTGGGCTGAGCTTGCATCAAGATTGCTGGCTGCCTGCGATGGAGAGATCTCCCCTAAGCATCGCGCGACGAGTTCGTTCCCCAGTTCTAGGTTATCTCTACCTGATTGAGACAGGAGAGCGAGGAGAGCGAGGACAAGCCACGGCAGCCACATGGGCGCCATGATCTTCGCAATCTCGTGCCTGTTGCAACCCGTCTACCGTATTGAGTGCTCGCATTCGTATACCAATGCGGATGGTTGTTACGAGTATGCTGTGCAAGCCACCCTCACAGCCCCGTATTGGCCGTATTCGGAACAACCTGCGAACCGGTCACCCAATGGTGGTTCGTTGTTGCCTGATCGCCGTATTCAGCAGGGTTGCTGGACGAGGAAAGCGTTTCATGCTGCTTTCGAAGCTTGGCGCTCTGCCAGGCTGGCGCCAACTTGCCAGGCATCCATGCAAACAGGGGGAGACGGGCGATTGAGACTCCGGTCAAGAGCTCGGCCGGTTCTGCCAGCATACTCCCAGGTGGGTGCCAGGTATTATTTTTCGTGCCGGGTCCGAAAGTGGCCGTCGGGCATAACAAAGTCATGACGAGCCTGCACGCAGGTTATGCTTCAGGCTAGTACTGGATGGGGTATAGCGTTGACGTTGTGCAGCTTTTGTCCTTGCCAAACGCCGCCGCCAGGACGAATTATTCGTCCGAGATGCAGTCTTTGGTTTCTCTCAAGCCTCTGCCTCTGTTTGGCTCGCGCTCTCGGCCTTTCGCAATCTCCATGGACGGACCCCGCGGGCACATTCTGGTCCTCAATGCGATCGTGCACAATGCACTGTCGTCGGCCGATTTGTGCAGCCACCCAGTCACCCAGTCATCCAGTCATCCAGTCATCCATATGCAGCACCAAAACCAAAGGATCCCTCACTCTCTGTTTTGCCTCCGCCCTTCCCCACCCTTCGCAAAGCTGCACCTTCTAAAACACTCCGACTTCAGCCTCGTGATCGTGAAGGAGCGGGAGTGCGGACGATACAATGTGCGCCCTTCCGAGGTTTGCGAGGGATTCCGAATCCTCTTCGTCGCCTCAAAGTTGCGCTCGTGACCCTTTTGCGGGGGACGTTTCAAGGCTCCGAGAAGGGCATGGCAACATAATTTCCCGCACGCGTTGTTTTTCCCCCTTGGTGTCAAAGTGCACAAAATGCCACGAAAATGCATACCTAGGGCGACGAATCAGATTCGCGGTTGCCTGAGGGCAAAATCAGGCAAGGAGTCAGGCATCCTGATCAACTCCACCAGTTAACGAGATACCCAAAGCAGAAGACCCTCGTCAGCGACCCTGGCATGCGCATTCCACGGATATGCGGTGAGCTACTCGTCAAGAGATGGGAATTTGGATTCTGGGCGATCCCTATTCGCACATTGAACTGTTTTAGGAAGCGAATACACCCCCCGACCTTTGGGCGGGCTTTTGGTGTCGCAGATCGTGGGTTACAGCGCTATGACGCCTTGGCTCTCGCTAGAGCCCGCTGCTGGAGGCACTACTAGCACTACTAGTAGTAGTATGCTGGCTAGTGGCTTGGATCTCAGCAGAAAGGGTCAGGTTACCAGATACGGCAACCTTCTCGAAGGACGGGCTGATGATTGTTTGTCATGCTCTCCACACTGTCGGCAGAGGCTGTGCCAGTCAATCGTTTGTACTTTTGCGGTCAACCAATAAGCTGGCCGCGTACCATGGCGGCTGTGCATACCTAGTATTCTTAGAAGCCGAAGCGAAGTTGAACCCTCGTTGATACGCTTTCTGATTCCCTTTCCCAGTTACCCAAAAGAGGTTGGACACTATTTGCATTTGGTGTATTACGACCCTGGCTCCTTCCCCGCAAATCTTCTTGATCGCTTGCCTGATTCTCCTGCCTGATGGCTGTGCTGGACCCTAGCTTGCCCTTGGTATGCTCGCCACCAATCTGCCTTACACACACAATGCTATGCTATGGACTATCACACAAACATACGAAGAGGCGCGTCGCGCGCCCTTGCGAGAACAGGGACAAAGACAGTAAACGTGAACGAATGCGAGGTGAACCGTGGTAACATCGCGCTCGCATGTCAGTGAGTCACCCGAGAGCATCTCTTCATTCATTTATTTGCCCCTCAGCGTCTCGACCAAACGATCGAACGAACGCTGGCGCCATCGCAGCGAACCTAGTGGGATGGCAGTCCCCGTACCTGCATACTCGTTATAGTCCACCACGCCCTTTCGTAGGGTTAACTTAGGTAAGTCGGGTTGATACTAGCTGACCATCCACAAATATACAGTATATGGCACCATGTGAAGAAACCAAGCCAGCGTCCACTTATCTCCGCCGAGTATAACCCAAAAGAACCGAGGACACGGTACGAGGAGGAATATGAGTCTCAGTCTGACCGAAGTTTAATCGTGCAATTCCTCGACTGGGCATTGTTATTGGTCGGCAGGGGAAAAGCATCTCCTTCTCTGCTGACTCAACTTTTGGTGTGGAAGGGCACAAAGGGCACCGTTACAATGGGCAAAACATTGGATTCTGAGAATATGACTCCAAGCAGGAGATGTTTCCGACGAGCCAGGGCGCAAAGGCGGCTCGAATTCCGGCATTGTCATTGTCGTCGCTCAGCCCTACGTCTAGTAAGGCGGGGTTTGTACCACCACACCATGTCGGGCCTGATATTACACACGACAATAAGCGGTTCACCGTCTTAATGCCGTGCCCATATGGAAATAAAGGCTGGTTCCTCACTCACTATTGGCCCAGCTGGCTGACATGATCAGTCATCCTTCTGGTTCCTTCATCTCGATTCTCTCGGACGCCCAACGTTGCCGCTTTTGTTGCTGCTCTCCTCTCTTACACACCCGAGTCCTCGCTGTATGGGTGTGAGCAAGGCTCTCAGAACTGCTGACTATCCACCATCTCCCACAGTTCCAGACACCCGTTACGGACGGAGCTGACGGGCGAACGTTTACTTGGTCCAACAGACTACTTGTGTGTGGATGGATCTCGGCCCCCGAGCCCTGGCTGACCTATGGGACAAACATCCATCCATCCATCCATCCCCACCACACCTCGTATACAATATCCATTGACCGACTCTTGCTTATCAAAGAAACCCAGAAGATGGTATTCTTAGCCCCCCCTCTCCACCCTGGCCATGACCAGATTCGTCCCCCAGAGCCTCAAGGCCCTGCCTACCGGCCGGAAAAGAGGGTGTGCGACAAAGCTTGACCCTGTCAGCACCGCGCGCGAAGAGCCAGTAGTCCAACCCAACATGGCCAAGGTAGTACCGATTTTGGAATCAGACGCTGACCACAAGACGTTTGCCCACTCCCTCCTCTTTACACCCGCGCCACCTCCACCACTTCGGGAAAAGGCAGCAGCTCAGGGGGTTTTCATAGGCCCGGAAGGTATTGATGTGGAGACGGACACCTCGTGTTCGTTCAAACTTGCACCAGGCGGGCAGGTCATCCTGTTCCCATTTACTCTCCTTCGGGACCCTTTCTCTATGGCTCTACCCACACATGGCTCTTGCACGGCCACACCAGGCACCAACTTCTTTGGTCAGCAACAAAAAGGTACCTACTTGGTATACAGCCTCGGACCAATTAGTCCGTACGCGGTGGGAGTAACGGCTGTTGGTGATCCTCCTCACTTCCTGCAGCGCCCCAGGCACCAAAACTCTCGCGAGTTGACTGGCGCCACCTTGACGGTGAGCAGAGACAACCACTATCAGCAGCCTGTACCATTTGACCCGACCAACGCTGCCGAGGTTCATCTGACTTTCCACAGCCGCCCTTCCCCCCAGCGCGCGGGACTGAGACGATCAGTTGATTACCATATTCCCCGGGTGTTGCTGGCACACACGCGCCTCCCATACCGAACCCAGGATCCGAAGATCAATTGGTCGGTCAAGGTTCGAGACCTGAAGATCAGGCTGACTTCCGTTCTTGTGAACCAACTTACCGGGTTCGGGAGATGCGCTCGGCATCAACCCCCTCTCCCTCCAAGACCTGAGTACTTGGATCCTCAGGGAACGAGAGGTACGGCCGTTGGAGCTATTCCCCTTCCCAACTCTCGGGTCCTTTTGTCGATCGGGTCAGCCCAATAGACCAAGAACCATCTGTGATATCCCCCACGCTCAGAGCGAGCAGGTTTGCCTCTGATTCCTCTCTCTCTCCGCCAGCCCCTGTTGCTGACCGAGTTTCCCTAGACGGTCTCCGCCTCTACATTGTGGTCCAATGACGATCCACCGTGGCCGAGTCCTCAGTGGCTCGTGGTGTTTGTTGGTATTGGTTTTCGTTGTGGACCGGACATTGTTTTTCGGATCCTTCCCCAAGAGACTTGTCTCGGTCCTTTTCTTGCTGACCGTCTTGCACCACGGTATTCTGCGCGATCGGCGTATGGGGTTCGTCCATGAGACGGATATCGACGGTGACGGTTTGCACAGTCCATTTTCGCTCCTTGAGGCAGACGAGGATTGGCACATGCTGATGATGGGTGGCTGCTTCGGGAGAACATTCATCAATGTCTCTATCATGAACACCTCGGATCCTTTATCCAGGAAAAGTGATCCTGCAGAAGAGCTGATTGGCATATGCCGATGATGGTGGCCGCCCGGGGAGAACGTTTACCTATTGTCTCTCATGAACCCCTCGGATCCTCCATCCAGCAAATGCGATCCTGCGGCCCCCGGCTATATTGACATGCCCGGAAACCTCCATCCACCTGAACACGACACCGGACATCAACGACGGGGTTGGATCTGACCTTGCTTCCTCGATCGGTCGATCATCTGGATACACACTTCCCTCATTCAATCACTCACCCAAACCTAGACAGATACATAGATGGGGTTGGCAAGAACCAAGAAAACGATCCGATATCTCATGCCGGCCAGAAACCAAGGCAACCCAACCCGATGGCCTCTTAATCCGTGGGGCCGTCAGAACGAAAACGAACCCAGTTCTGTTTTCAAGGCTGGGCTCAAAATCCCAAGATACTTCCAAGGGTTCAGATGAGCCATGGGCATGCACAAAGGCGAAATCGGGAAAACTCTCATTGAATCCCCTCCCCCCCAAAACCGCTCTCCCTCTCTAGCATCCCTCTTGGAGCTTTCTAGCGGAGGTCGCCACAACGGCGCGAGGGATAGGGCTCGGGGTGTGCAAAGCATCTTTCATGACAAAAGAAAGGGAACCAAAAGCCAAGGTCTTCAGGTGTGTTCTCCCCCCTTTTTCTCAGAAAGCTCTGCAGGAGGGCCTCCTCCTCCTACCTATTCTCTCGTCAATGAACCGCAGCTGCGGTCCTTCTTCTGGTAAGTAAACACTTCATCCACCCCAAATTCCGAGCCGGTCCTCTCAGGTAGTTGTGGTATTATACCATTGTTTCCTCTCTCAGCGTGAAGAAATGCACCAGGGGCTAAGATGAGAGTGTAAAAGGTAAAGGTGCCCCTCTATGGATCAAGGATCGGAGGATCACCCTTTGCGAAGCAGAGTGATCTCCTTCATGACTGGCATAGACCACAGGGAGAAAACACATCCTTCTGAGTGGAGAGACTTTTGGATATCATTTTTCAGGGAAAGATTGGGCACCTTTCCTAGATTTCTAAGTCGAACATGCCCCCCGCTATGCTATCAATGCAAGCGACAGTCTTTGAGCATCTCCTCTTTCTCTCTCTCTGTCTCTTGCAAGTCAATGCTCCACTTCAGAGAGCTCCAACCACATGCCTATTTACAAGTGTGTGTCCTCCTTATGTTGATGCGTACATGCTCTTTCTTTGTCTAACCCTCCCATTAAATTTTGAGGTACCAAACCAGTGCCAGTGCCAGTGCCAGGCTCACAGAGAACCCTAGAGGTCATTCCTCAATACTGCCTCGCAGCCTGCTGACAAGCCTTGAGCTGTTCCATGTACCACCCGCAAATGGTCAAGTTACCCTGGTTCTGGTTCATGCAGTCGGTGAAGCTCTTGATGTCCGCGGCACAAGGGCCCGTGGCCTCAGTGGCCGAGTAGTTCGATTGAGAATACAAAGCGTTGGGCATGGCATCGCCGGTTCGGGCGTAGGCGTCGGTGGGCTGTTGCTGTTGCTGCTGTTGCTCCGCTGGCTGGGAGTAAGAGGAGCCGCCGCCGAAAAAGCCGCCGATGGCATGGCCGATTGAGGATCCAACTGCGACGCCACTATACCATTTTTTCACGCAAAGGTTAGTCAATGAATGGGACGAGAGCTTTTTCTTTTGTTTTCTTCCTCCACTCCGCTCTTTTTCTTCCTTGGAAGATGCAATGCATCCATGCTCCACAGATGCATAACTTCCTTTTCGCGGGAAACTCTCCAGCACCAGGGGATTCGGGGGGGGCCGGAGCCAAGGCAAATTGCAATGTATCACTCACGCTGCAGTGCTGGCCATCTGACCAAAGAGCCCCGGACCCTGCGATGCTTGAGCAGGAGGAGGGGCATGCTGTGCGGGTGCGTTCGGGTGGCCTCCAGCAGCAGCGGTGGTAGTCATCGGACGTTGTTGCTGCTGCTGTGGCGCGACAGACCGAGGAGCTGCGGCCGGAGCTGTCGGTCGCGACGGGGCAGGTCGGGAAGGAGCACCTCCGCGAGAACGAGGCATTTTTGGCAGGCTCTTTCTTTTTTGGTGAGTAGAACCTTTGGAGTATGTGATTGAGGAAACCGAGGTAGGGACGAAAGATAGATGAGGAGAGGTGGAAGAAGGGTGGTGAAGGCAAAGGAGTTGTAGACGAACTTGATGGAACTTTGAGGACGGCGAAGATGCTACATTCAATGCCAAGAGCGCATTTGGGCCATGCCGGTTTCGTGCCTCGTGATTGGCCCAATTCGCAGCACCGCAATCGAAGCCTCACGGCAGCCTGTCAGTGGCCAAAAGTGATCGAGAGAGAAGCGAGACGACAATATCGGGATAAATCTCAGCATTGATAAATGAATAGTACTTATTACACAACAGCAACAACCTCGCCGTAGCTGGGGTTGCCATGAAAAGCAAATGCAATTTCACCATCCTTTCAATCCAATTTTGTCTTGTTCAGCTGGTCCCTTACCCCCATGATCCTGTTCTTTCCAATCCCTCCTACTCGCATTCGCAACCGTCCACGCAATCTGGACCGAAGCCGATGAAGCATCCAACACATTATGCCGAAGGCGGTGGTGGTGGATAGTAGTCACGCATGCCTGGTGATGGGGGCGGTTGATCCGGAGGCGGAGGAGGAGCCTGTGCATCTGGAGGTGGAGGGGGAGCAGCACCGCTACCGCCATATTGCTGCAAGAAGGAGCTGAGTCCAGGAGGAGCCGACGGGGGAGGTACGCCGTACGCGGGTTGAGCATCGTAACCATGATACCCACCATACCCGTAGTGTTGCGCGGGCGGGCCCTGCTGCTGCTGCTGCTGCTGCTGTTGCGGTTGCTGCCAGGGAGCTGCTCCTTGCGCGGGAGCGCCACCATATCCTCCTTGTGCGTCTCCTCGACTCTGGGCCCACGGAGGAACCGACGAGTCGCCATCTCGGTGGCTATAATCTCGACTCTCGTAACCCCGATGGCCATGATCTCGTTGACCATGATCTCGTTGACCATGATCTCGTTGACCGTAATCTCGGTCCTGTCGTTCCTGTCGGTCTCGTTGCCAAGGAGCAACACCCCCTCCAGCCGGCTGGCGTGCCCAGGGACGAGAATCCCCGCCAGGAGCGTACGAGTCGCCCTGATCATAGCCGCCAGGAGCAGCTTCGATGCGACCCGCCGGGCCGTTGCCAGATGGGTTACCAGAAAGCT